AAGTAAACCTTCGTTCCCCGAGGAGGGGAACGGAAGTGCCATATTCCGTCGCCATAATGACTGTCCCTTAGCTGTTTGAAAGTCTCTTCAGCTTAAAAGGATGGCGTCTGCTGGCTTCAGGTGTGCTTATATGCTGAGATAATTGCAGATGTCGCACACCTGCGCAAGCTTACGCTGCCAATTAATTTCATTCATTGGCCCGTTCAATACTCTCCAGATAAGCGGCTTCTGATCCGAATCCTCCCATTCATGGCACTTCCGTTCCCCTCCTCGGGGAACGAAGGGTTACTTCTGTAACCTCGAACGTTTGTTCTGTAGACTACTGAAAAAAAAAAAATATTGCTTAAAGGGACTAATAATTTTGACATTAAAAAAATTCTGAATAATAATAAAAATTATACTATTAACTGCTTTTATTCTAGCCAAAATAAAACAAATAAGAGTTTCTCCAGAAAAATATTGTCACACTATGAACATTTCCTTGCTCTGTTAAACATCATTTGGGATATATTTAAAAAAGAAGAAAAAAAATTAGAGTGGGCTAATTATTCTGACGTCAACTGTATGTCTCTATAGCTATCCTATATTCTGTCAGTAGCCATGAAAAAGTTAGGGGAGTTCTCGGAATCTATCTGAGCTCAAACTTTCCTTTTGCCCTGCTATGAGAAGGAGCCCAGGGCTCAAGGATCTAATAATTTCCGGACTCTCTCCCAGAATATCAACAGACAGAATATCAACCGCACTTTATAATCAATCATCAGTTAAGTGTAGACTCTTGAATCAGACATGGTCCAGTACGCCATCAAGCTGCAGGCGCGGTCTCAAAAAAATATCTATGTTCACGTCAACAAGGGCCTAAATAACATTACTCTCAAGAGGAGCGAGTGTGTCAATAGAGTGAGGGGGATGTCATATAATGGTAATGAAAACTTTGCTTTAGATGCACTGTGAAAGAATGATCCACATTGTATGCATAAAAAAGAATAAAACATGACTGAATTGTTTACAGTTAAAGAAAGTTACTCCTGTAATTCATACAAAACGCCATGGGGTGTAGGGAAAAGGTGGATAAGTTCCACTAATAGCTGAAGTCTATCCTCCCCGCAGTGCTTAGTTTTAAGTAAGGGTCGAGTCAGATGTTTTCTTGCCTCTCGCTGAGGTTTGTGCTTGCCAAGGCCTTTTTACCTGTCAGTCAACACAATCTCAGCAGTCTCGACGCAGTCCAGAGAGCATCTCCAAAAGATCCCTGGTGACTGACACTTCCCAGCAGTCTCCTACTTCTCATATGCTGGAACGTGTGTGTGTGTGTGTGAGTGTGCTCGTTTGCATAGTTTCCTTTCTCAGCGAGTGGGGACCTGCTCTCTTCTTTGTATTCCCCACGTTCACCGATCAAAGAAAGAGCTGGAATTCACTTCAGCAGGTCATACTTAAACTGTGACTGGTAATAGAGAAAAACTAAAGGATCGGAAAAGAAGCTAGCGGTGTAAAAATGAGGCTGCGTTGACTGGTTGAGTAAAAGCACCGCTGCCCACATGCTCGGCACTCTTTTTATCACTCCATTTAACTAATAGGTCTTGCCACAGCCTCGTGACTGTGCGTAGGTGTAAAAACACACTGTGTGCTTCATGTTTTCATGATGACGGCCCAGTTCTTTCTTTTTGTTTCAACAGCGTACATGACTACAATAGCAAATGTTAAAAGGACATAAATAACCCATTTCCAGGGACTGTTCAGAACCTCTCATTCATACCTACAAACTTTCAAAATTGTTAACTATTTATCTACCGTTCACAAGGCTTTTGGATATTTATGGGACATAAATCTTTCCTACCATTGATGGAATTTCCTGTCAATCACTTTTATGCTGTAAGGGGATTTATGCTTTTCATGAAGTAGTACTAAATCCACATAGAAGTGAAGAAGCAGCAAACACAAGCATCACATCAGTGTAGTGACAGGAGAAACAAAGCTTTTTAAATGTCTCCATAGACATCCGCATGTATTTTACAAACCTTAATTGGTATGTTTTGCTTGTAGTTATGAGTATTTGAATGTCTGAAACCTAATATGAATGTTTTTTATTTATGTTAAAGCAACGTTAAATAGTGATTTATGACAAGCGCTACACACCTCTTTCTGTATCTTAGCGTGTGCTGTCAAATTTGAATTTTAGAAGTTGATGACGTGCACTCTGAATGTTCTAATCACACCGGTGTGATTGTATGCTTCAGGGGCCAGAAAAGGCTGTGAAAAGGTTAACAATTAAACAACTAAATTGGTTTTATGTTAAATCTACTTTAATTTGTTATAAATAATAACTTATTTATAATTTCTTGTTGTATCAACACAAATCAATTGTGTTGAACTGAATTTTTTACAGTGTATATCAACATTGATATGTGACATTGTTATATACTGTATGAAAGAACATTCATTATGTGCATTCGCAGCACAATTTCAGAACTCAGTTATTGAAAGAGAAGTGTAGGTTCTATTCATTTGATGTTGATTAGATTGAGACAGATCTGAATGTGAACTTGCAGTCAGCTACTGTGAATGAGAAGGACAATGTTTAACCAGACAAATGATCATAGAATCTCAGCACAAAACACCAGACTGAAATCTAAAGTTTCACTGAAAGTACAAGGTAAAGGCTTTGTTTAAAAAAAAAAAAAAAAAACTTCGAGGTCAGTTGGTGGTGGTAACCTTGCGGTCAGCAATGCCGACTTCTAGCATAACTGTGCCTTTGGTGATCCAAGTTTGATTACCAACTCAAGGTCGTTGAGTGCGGATTCTGTTCCCTTTATTCCATCTCATGCTTTCCTGTGTGATCTTTTTTTTGTTCTGTCCAACAACAACAACACCCCCCCCCCCCCCCCCCAAAAAAAAAAAAAAACACACAAAAAGACCAAATATATAACTTTAATGAAGCAGTCAAAATTTAAACATAAATGTATGAATCACTGTCAACAACATTAATGCATTTAGAGCATAGACTGACTTTAAGGGATTTACTTGTAAGTGTCATGAAGAGACCTAGTGGTGTCTCCCTGGTTAGTGCCCCTAGGCTCCAGTGATCGGACCACTGGTCAGCATACACCATTGGCTCCATACTTTCTGATGTTCAGCTTCCTTTGATGGTCTTGCAGACTGATGCTTTTGCTGGTCTCTGTTAGTCCAAGGCTCCAGGGCACTGGCCTCGTCCATAATCCAACCCACATCCACATAAATATTTCTCTGCTTTGTTCTATCTGAAGTGTTAATGGTCTCTCCAGTGTTTTGTTACGATCACAGCATCAGGGCTGCCTGAGGACTCCTATCTATTGTTGATGAGGGTTCTTGCTTCAACAGGTTTCTCACGGACGTCCTGAGCGGGCTGAGTGTTGCAGTCTGATCTGCACTCGAGCAGACGCTGACAATGTATGATTAATTATGGACTGATAAATAGTCTTTTTCTGGATCAAAGGCCATTTGTTTTTGTCTGTGTTTTTTCGGGCCTGCTGGAAGCTCCCCTGCTAAGTATGGAAAGTAGCAAACAGTAGTTGATGGGATTGTCATTTTCTTTCACCAGGTATGTAATTCCATCGCTGGACCGCTCTCATGCAGGCTTCTACAGATGTATTGTCAGGAACAGAGTGGGAGCATTGATGCAGAGGAGTTCACAACTCCAGGTCGCCTGTAAGTTTCACATCAATAACAAACATTTCATATCGCAATAGTTTAAATGACTATAGATACCGGCTAATATATATATATATATATATATATATATATATATATATATATATATATATATATATATATATATATATATAGTTAATTACTGCTAGTTTGCAGTCTCCTGTAGTCCTTTCTATCACTGCTAATTATTTTTAGCCATTTTGGTTGATTGCATGAGCGAAACTTGGAGAATAAAGTCATTATTAGTTGTTTATAGTCAGACCTGGATAGATTACTTATGAGTTGTAATTAGTTATTGAATACAAATTACATGACAATATTTGTAGTCAGTAATAATAATTTAAAATATTTCATTGCATTAGTAACCTAACCACTTTTAGATTACATTTTTGTTAGCACAAAAGTAATCTAAATGCAATCTAAAAGTAGTCAGGTAACTAAAGCAGTGTGAAATACGAGATTATATAACTGATTACAAATTATATTACATTTATTTTCAGTTTTGTTAACACAAAAGTCATCTAAATGTAATCTAAAAGTAGTCAGGTTACTATAGCAGTGTAATATATGAGACTATATTTCTGATTACAAATTACATTACATGATACATGAATCTACTGATGCAGGATTTTTTTTTTTTTTTTTTAAGCCTGGCTCACATTGTGTGAATTTTTTCTAATTAATTCTAGAAAATTGTCAATAATCCTAGGCAAAAATTTCAACCTTTAGATTGCTGGTTTTGACACATATTCAACAGATGGCCATCACAAGCAAAAGTTTTCTCCGATTAAATTCTGTCATTGTCAGAAAATTTTCCTGCAGTAAAGTGTAAAGAGCACTGAAGCTGATGACACAGTTAGTGCAACAACATCAAAACACTTCAGAGAAATGCTCAAGTGAGTCAGGTGGACAATACAGCAAAAAAAAAAAAAAAAAAAACATATTGAGGTATGGAGGGAAACTGTGTTGTTTATGATGTCTTGCCGATGTATTATGACAGGGTCAAAGAACATGCTGTTTGTAGGAAGATACAGGCTGCATCTGAAATTGCCCACTACTCAGTAGGTACTGAGTTTATATTAGAAATTATTACTTGACCGTTAGAAAAGTACGTTCTACACAGTATGAACGTGAGTAGTATTAATGGAACTTGGACATATTACATCTGCCATTTTGTCATGGTCACGTGACCTACCTGTATCAGTTGTGTCACTTCCCTCATATTCAGGAATTTTCCTGCGGGACATCATGGGATAGCGTAGCATGCATCAGATGCACACTTCAGAATCTCGCCATAAGTAATAGGTTATCTGGGTACTTCCCACATACAGTTTTTTAAATTCTATAAATTCGGACATACAACTCGGCTCACATACTGATTTTAGCATAATACATAGTATGGACGTATGCAGTTTCAGATGCAGCTACAAATTTCAGTTGAGATACTTTGTTCTGAAACATGACCTTTGTGTAGCTTGTGGTGTAGCATGGGGGATTGAATTGGGTTAATTCTCTAAAAATCAGAATGAAATCTCTTGTGTGTGTCTATTTTGTTTCTTTTTTTTTTTTTTTTGACATGTTGTGCCTGTCATACATTATGACAGCTGGGATGTTACAGTGTGACATGATGATTGTGTTTGTACAGTCTAACAACCTACAATCACAAAGGACTATTAAACATTGCACAATGTGAGCCCGACTTTAGTCAGCATAGCAAATCTATTTCACCAACTTGCCAACCTGTTGCATAATTTTAGATTCCAGGTATTTGGCAGCGATTTTCACAAAACTCTCTGCAGGTGAAAATCTGGACTTAAATCATAATGTGTGTACCTGACATTAACAACCTCTTCCCAAAATCATATAAACTGTAGTACATTTTTCAGCGGGAAGAACTTCTCTGCTGCTGACATTTTGTCTTTTGTTTTATACAAAATATCCTATAGCATGAGCCCACAATTTAAAAGACAATAATCCAATATATTATTTTGTCAAATTATGATAACATTACAAATTAGAATCTATCCCCCAGTGCTACTAGAGGGAAGAGTTGCAATTTAGAGCAGGTTTTAATAAGGAACATGGTCAAATGCCAGCAAACACAACAATTGAACAGTGCAAACACATGGTTAATAAACACTCACAGGACAAGCAGCCAACAATTATAGAATCCAAAAAATATAAGGGCAGGGCAGGCAGCAAAGATCCACAAAAAAGGTAAACAGCCCAAGAACAATGACCAGAAACACATTCACTGGAAGAAAACTCTTAAAGTTGCTAGACAATGCAAGACTTCACAATGTGTGTAGACTATGAGTAATTACATTTATTTTATGATAGAGACATACACATAGGTAATTAGAAAAACATACTATTTATGATTTAAAGCATACCCCTGATGTCAATTATTTATTTATTTATTTATTTATTTATTTATTTATTTATTTATTTATTTATTTATTTATTTATTGATTTATTTTTATTTTTATTTATTTATTTATTTATTTATTTATTTATTTATTTATTTATTTATTTACTTTATTTACTTTATTCACATCAGATACACCTTGTTTAGGCTACTTAACATTTATGTATTAGTGTAAATCTCACTTACGTTCATGTATTTCAAGAGAAGTTGATGAATTAACATGTAAATCCAGCAGCCACTAACATATGTTCCCACTACTAAGGTGGTGGCATCACCAGGCATAGATCAAATAATATGATTGTTATTTGTTATCAATATTAAGATTATTATTATGTTTGTCAATATTTGCAGAAAAGGGAATAACAGAAATAAAAAAGTACAATATATCCATAAATTATCAGAGCTATGGTCTTGTGATAAAGGATGCACTGCCATGGAAACTAGCTATAGGAAGTTTGGATTATTTTATTTACTCAGATCTTTGAGTCTTGTTCATTGAGATGAACAAATATTGTTTGAGTCATTATGTTCAAATTGCTTAAATAACTTTAAAATGTTATGAGATGCATATACACGCATCTATAACTAGCCCAAATAAGCACACTACAAACAAGTCATAACTAGAATGCTACTATATAATGCAATGCTAATGAGAAAGAAAAAAAAAAATTAATTGTTTACCTGGTGGCGAGGCAGTAGCGCAGTAGGTAGTGCTGTCGCCTCACAGCAAGAAGGTCGCTGGGTCGCTGGTTCGAACCTCGGCTCAGTTAAAGTTTCTGTGTGGAGTTTGCATGTTCTCCCTGCCTTCGCATGGGTGTTCTCCGATTTCCCCCACAGACATGTGGTACAGGTGAATTGGGCAGGCTAAATTGTCCGTATTGTGTGAATGTGTGTGTGGATGATTCCCTGAGATGGGTTTAAGTTGGAAGGGCATCTGCTGTGTAAAAACTTGCTGGATAAGTTGGCGGTTCATTCCGCTGTGGCGACCCCAGATTAATAAAGGGACTAACCTATCTATAATAAGCACTGCTCACTTCTTCTTTTATATTTTCAAACTTGAGTCGTTTGTTCACCTAACACCAATGGTCCTATATAAGCTTAACCAATGCGTACAGTCTGAGCCGGAAACACCCATGAATAGTTCAACTTTTGAGCCTCTAAGATTTTAAGTAGATTGTTGATGTATCACAATCATGTAAAGATATCACTAAAAACCAAAGACTCAAGAAATTAACAAATCAAGTCTTTTTCTGGCTCTAAATGCATAAGATTGGCTTCTGGCTTTCACGTGATGAACGAACGACTCAAGCTGAGGACTGAAGAGATGAACAGCTCAAATCTGTTGATTGCTCTGACTACATAGGAATGGCTTCTCTCTTTCATGTGATGAACGAATGATGCAAACACAATAGAAGTTTTCGAAAAATGAACTAACCGATCTACACAAATATGCGTATGCATGAATGAACGAATCACTCCCTGAGAGGTCTCAAGTTCTGGAGTCACATAAAAGATTAATTCAAAATGAACGAATCATTCAAGAATGATCCATCACTAATGGAAACTTGCAAGCATTATAAGTAATGGCCACATCAAAACATATACACAAGTATTTAATACTTGCCTGTGAAAGGAGTAAATAATCGATATTATTGAGAAAATGAGAGCAAGCAATCCATGTATAATATGGGTGTTAAAGAAGTCCAGGTCGTTTTTATTGTAAACCCATTTCAAAATTCCCAATTGTGTGAATTCGACACTTGAACCTTTGTCAAAGTATTGTAAGTATGTACCTTTAAACACGATGATGTTGTGATTTGAGAGGACTCAAATGCAAACAGCATGGGTCGATTAACAGAAAAATGGCATTTCGATTGGCAGTTTTGATGCTCCATACAGCATTCAACTCTAATTTAGCACAATCAAATGAGTATATAGAAAAGCTGATGCTACATCACACTAAGTTAGCACTAAATGTCAGAGCCATGAGAGTTACAAGATTGGGACTTTGTGTTTTCTTTCTCAAATGACTCAGAGTGTCTCTGTTCTTGTTTTTCCCCTTTCATCCTGATTTGTGTTCCCTCTCTCTCTTTTTCTCTGTTTCTCAGACATGGAGGGCTTTGTGGAAGCAGAGCGGTCTCAGGTGGTTTCCCAAGGGGAAGCTGCGTTGATCCAACCTCCGAAAATCCACAGCTTCCCGAGGCCTGGGATCACATGGTTCAGAGACGGACGCAAGATCCCTCCCAGCAGCCGCATGTAATCTTCTCTTCATTTGTGGATCAGTCAGCTTAATGGCTCCCGTTCTCACAGAAGGGCTATTATACCTTGCAGAAATGGAGTGCAGTGCCATAGAATAATTACTCCAGAACTTCCAGACACACTCTAGGTGTATTTATTGTTGAAACCCTCATTGATAAAGTCTGTTCTAATAAGAACCCCTGTTGACTTTAGACTAAACGTGATTGAAGGCTAGAGAGGAAGTCGGCAACACAGGACCCAATTAAACAAAGTGGACAAAAGGCTTTTATTGATGACCTTGGATGATTGGCAGACTTTGCGAGTGTAGACGGCCTACGTGTGTGTGTGTGTGTGTGTGTGTGTGTGTGTCTTTGTGTGTGTGCATGCGTGTGTGTGCGAGTGTGTATGTGTGTGTGTGTGTGTGTGTGTGTGTGCGTGCTCAGTCCGTGTTAGAAAGGTCTTAGTAATCACCAGAGATCAATTTACCTCATACGCCATCAGGAGGCTCAACAAAAACAGCCGGCGTGTTTGATGATCTATAATTCATGCTGATCGTCCGGCTTGTCACATCTGACGTGAGGGCTTTGGACACTTGCGATTGTGTTCCCTCTCCCCATCCAACTGACTGGAGAACATTCAGACACTGTTTTTCAGCTGGAGTACATGAGGAATCCCCAATGCGAAGCTGAGCGCTAAGGCAGGGGTTATGTAAACATCTGAGCTTCCAGCGGCGCTGATCAGACCTTCATTCTCTCTATCTCTCTCTCTCTCTCTCTCTCTGTCTCTCTCTCTCTCTCTCTCTCTTTCTCTGGAGCGGCAGTAATGGTGCTATATGATGGTGAGAGGGGCTGACAGCATACTATTTGTTTGCCGCTTGTTTGTTGTTCTTTCAATGCATTGATATTCCGCGGCGCATTTGGTTTGGACTCTGTGAGAGACCTCACTCTAATTGTGCTGGAGTCGGTTTAATCTGGGCTGATCAGGCCTGTGCTGACAGATACACAGGCTCTAATCTCGCTGCACTCCAAGTGTCGACTCTCATTTAACCACACACACTCACGCATGACCTGCATTTTAGCTCCAGCAATCCTAAAACACTTATCCACTAGAGTCTTCAATGCAAATAACATTACCGTCCCAACCTATTGGACGTAAACAGTTTTCCTCAGCGCCTCTGTGTGTGCCTCTGAGTTGTTTACTGACGTACTTGCCAGTTGTGGTAGAGTGTGAGAGTGCCCACCAACTTTTTTTGCAGTTCTTTTTCCAATTGTTGGTTAAAAATCAATGGAATTGAAAACCAATATATATTTTATTGCTTAGTGCACATAGGGATACTAACTTGATAACATTATTTATGGTGCTTCATGGCAGTGGGTGGAGCTGGTTTGGATTTGGTTTGGCTTTTTTTCTCACTCCGACTTTCTTATATTTTTTTGTGTAGATGATCATGGGTAATGTAGTTTTTTCTATTGTAAAACAGCAAACTCAATTGATTACCAACCTTGGAGCGCAAAACAAGTTGTAACTAGAACTAGAACTACTAGGTCAATCATTTAAAAATTTTGCAATTCGGCGCATATATTGCACTCATTCTCAGACATCCCAACCTGGCCAAAGTAGTTTGCAGGCGGGTCCCACAGGAGGTGTGTCCCATTTTTGAGACATTACATTTCACTCGAAGGCATCAGGGAGCTATTATGAATATTCTGTAGACTCCTGGAGCTTCCGAGAGACTTGGGTTGTCTGTATTTTAGCATTGACTACTTTGTCCCATGCTTTTGAATATGCACAAAAATAGAATATTCTGAAAGCAAAAACATAATATTACTTCAGACATGTCTTTTAAAAACAACATTTTCACTGTGATTAAATATTTCCCACTAGCCAGAGACCTGGGTTTAACATCTCATCCAACAGACAACGCTCATTGACAGTATAGTGTCCCCTTTCACTTTACTGACAATTGTACACACTTTTTCAGGTGGTCTAGTAACTCATATACAGCTATACTTATATATTAATATATATATATATATATATATATATATATATATATATATATATATATATATATATATATATATATATATATATAAATATATATAGGCTAATGACATTATAAAATATAATTTAAACAGACATTTAGGAATTCTACCATGTCAATAGAAGTAATGTAATTATGACACCTGCTTCGAATGTTATCCCTTGATTGAATGGGCATTATCAGTGGTTTATCAGCTGATAAATATGGGCCCGTAGGGGACTTCTGCACTCAGAAGGCTGTTATCATCCCTCCACATTGTTTATCAACTATACTAATTGTGAAGACCCCAAATCTGTTTTTACATTACTGTGACGGTTGGGTTCAGGGTTTGGGTAGGGATAGACGTTAATAAAATACAATTAATGGAAAACTTTATAAAAAATATAAATAATTCTTCTTAACTTTGCAGCCAACCATGTGTATGGATGACAACAGCCTTTTGAGCCTACCAGTAAGCACAAAAGGCTCCTATTGGCCTATAAATATATCAGATGATAACCACTGATAACACCCATTCAATCGAGTGATAACTTTCAAATCAGCTGATTGTGACATGACCAAAAATGTATTTGGTAGAGTCTGATATGAGCGGTCAGGTTGTCAGCTATGGTCATTTCTGTGGTTCCAGTGTTAAAGATTCATTAGTTACTGTAAAAAAATGTATCGCCCATTGGAAAACATTTTATTGTTTTGATAATAAAAATAAAATGTTCAAATCATTACAATTATTTTTTTACTTTCAAAAGTTGTTGCATTTTGTTGTGTTTCCTATTTTTGACTGCTGTTTTCTTATTAACTCTTATCTTAGAGCCATAACTTTGGACAACACTTTAGTGATCCTCTCCACCGTGGCCCCTGATGCAGGCCGGTATTATGCTCAGGCCGTCAACGACAAGAACGGAGAGAACAAGACCAGCCAGCCCGTCATCCTGACTGTAGAAAGTGAGTTCTGATTTAGCGTGTCAACACACACACATATATATATATATATATATATATATATATATATATATATGTAGATTTTTTTATCAGCTCAACATAAAATAGTATGATTGAGACCAAAATATTTTTTTTAAAAATGTTGATAATGATTTCATAGCACAGTAAACAAATCAGAATTTGTTGTATTATAAACATAGTTTTATGATTTATTTATGTGTAACACATTTTTAACCTTTTCATCAGAACAGTTAAGGAAAACCTTGCCCTCAATGGGTCTGTGGCAAAACAATGTGGAACTTTGGTTATCTCAAACAACTATTTGTGAAAGATGTTGGTGTGTGTTCAACAAAAATAACAAAATGGATTCATGATGAGTGATTTATTTATGAGTGATCAAATGAATGATGCGTTGTCACTTCTTCATTAAAATCCAGCACTAAAAATTTCTAAAAACAAACAAACAAAAAAAAAAAACTATAAATACACTATTCAATTGAAATCAATGTATATTGTGTCAAAGGTGCTTAACATAGAAGTTCTAGTAAATTTAAACTGCTTCAGTCCAGTTTACAGAGTTTTATTTTACTTCTGAAAGTCCAAAAAAGGAAGAGCAAATCCATCGATGTGCAGCTCAACAAGTGCCAAACCATGCAAGCCAGTGTCACACTAGTGACTATTATTTCAGTATAAAATAGTATATCTGTATTAAATACGAAAAAAAGAATTGAAAAAAATACTGAATTTGCCTAAAATGTAGAACTCAGCATTTTTAAAAACCATTAGAGAATGTGTAAAAAATGTTACAGTATTTTGATGATCTCCTTTCATCTAAGTATATCAACTAACTCTGCTTAGAGTATTGGTAAAATGTTACTGTTATCTTTGAGTTAGAGTTAGTACAAAAAGCTGACATACTTAAAATATACTAAACTATTTATAATCAGTTGATTTTCTGGTTAGGGACCATCGAAGCCTACTAAAACGTATGAAAAAAAAATTCTTTATTTATAGTTCGTTTTATTTTGTCCATTAGACATTGTGTTGACTTTTCAGCTACAGTGCCAACTAGCACACTAAGTTGCAAACATATTTATAGACATAAATGCCACTTCTTAGTGTCTTGGAGTGTTTACGCTAACTGCTTGGCAATCTTATTTATTTGCAAATGAGTTATTCACACCATCCAACAAGACACTTTAAACAAGTAAACATCTCCATCGCCTCCTAGTGGCTTAGTGCACATACTGGGTCAGTCCAGTTTTTCCCCACCAATCAATATTCCCCAACCGGCTACGCAGTAGATTTGGAATATGTGGCGTGCAGTGAAGCTTTGTGTGATAGCAGTGGTCCTGCGGTGCCACAATGACAAGGTGATTAATTGCCCTCATAAAAACAGCCCCACTCGTTAATAGACCCCACAAAAAGAGATTTATGGAAAAGAGACGCAGACCATAAAGACCCTCTGTAAGACCTATACTGTAACTCTTATCCAGGGGTTCGGCTTTGAAAAGAGAAGCAAATAAAGCCGAATCAGATCAAGATGTAGAGAGAGGGAGAAGAAAAAAACAAAAAGATCTGATTGAGGGCAGAGAATCAATGGACAGCAAATGCTGGCAAATGATTGCATGGCATTTAATCATGTCGACGGTGTCTCTCAATCAGGTCCCATTCTGTAGCACTGCACATTAGTGGAGGTATTACAGTGCACTTACTGAAGGAGAGGGTGCAGACAATTACATATATAATACTAAGCACATAATGGAGAGGGCTGCGAGGAGGAGACAAGTGCTCTGAGCTTCCAGATTAGCTTTATGTCTGCTTTCTTTCTCCGCCTCCACTCTTCCTTTCTTTATCTTCCCTAGAAGGGCGTTTTATTGTTCAGAGATTGCTCGTTCAAGTGGTTTCTGTGGTTCTGGGTTTCACGTCCAAATGGCTCCGGTGGGGTCAAGGAACGGCCAGCCGCTTGACGACCAAGGAGAAGATCACACAAGAGCTGTAATGTTGGTGTTAAATGGATAATTTCCAAAAAAAAAAAAATTATTTACTATTTACTCGCCCTTAAGTGATTAAAACTGTTATGAGTTTCTTTAATCTGTTGAACCCGACTATACACTCACCGGCAACTTTATTAGATTTGTTATTAACTGAACTGTTGATACAAGGCATGATGGATCCACACTTTTATGTTGTTGATGCCGAATTCTGACCCTGCCATCTCAAGGTCACAGCAGAACTCGAGACCAGGAAATGTTTTTCCTATCTTCTATTGTACATTTTTGGTGAGCCTGTGCGAATAGTCTCAGCACCCTGTTCTTAGCTGACAGGAGTGGCACCCAGTATGGTCTTCTGCTGCTGTACCTCATCCGTCTCAAGGTTTTGACATGTTGTGGTTTCAGAGATGCTCTTCTCCATACCTCAGTTGTAACAAGTGGTTATTTGAGTTACTGTTGCCTTTCTATCAGCTCTATCAGCTATCAGTCTGGCTATTCACACTTGACCTCTGGCATCAACAAGGCATTTGTTTACACAGAACTGCTGCTTACTGGACATTTTCTCTTTTTTTCTTTTACCATTCTCTGTAAACTCTAGAAATGGTTGTGTGTGAAAATTCAAGTATATCAGCAGTTTCTAAATTACTCAGGCCAGCCCATCTGGCACCAACAACCATCCCACAGTCAAAGTCACTTAAATCACCTTTCTGCCCCCTTCTAATGCTCAGTTTGAACTTTAGCAGATCATAATTAGAAATTAGAAATTAGAAATTTGCTTTAACAAGCAGTTGGATAATGTGCACCTAATAAGGTGGCCGGTGAGTGTCTTTTGAAGAAGGATGTAACCATTGACATCAATTGTTGTAAAAATGCAAACTATGGAAGGCAATGTACACAGGTTTCCAACATTTATCAAAATATCTTCTTTAGTGTTCAACGAACAAAAAAAAGTCTGATTTGGAACAAGTAAACAATGGCAGAATTTAGATTTTTGGGTGAACAATCCCTTTAATAGTGATTTGGACTTCGGACAAGAATTTGGATTAGCAATGCACATGAGTTCATATTGAAATGTCTTTGCTGTATAGAGGAGATTATTGAGCTGTTTTCCACATCATAAGCAAGAGAATACAGTAAAAGCCGCCCATTTAAATTTGCTGTGAATCACTTTCCCTAATCCATTTTGTGTGTATAATTTTACATGTTTCATGGAAAAACAGGATTTTAACAGAAAGGAATGAAGGTTGTGGCTTAATTTTATCCATTGGCAATTTATTATGAAAAGATTTTCTTTGGAAAAAAAAACACAATGATGATTCATAATAAAAGATGGCAAACACACAGCAAAATATGGGGACCCAAAACAACTCTATGGGTGTTAATTTCAACACTTTGAAAGTGTCTCATGGGGTCCACTCAAAACAGAGTTAAATCAACACTTTCAAAAGGGTTGGCATATTGACACCGAAGTAAGGGTTAATTTTAACTCTGGGCAGAGTTAAAAATGTAACTGTATTTAACACCGCCTGGTGTAATATATTATTTCATTCAACTCTCTTGAGTGTAAATATGGTAAAAAACTCAAATAGACTGTAAATTACAAAAGAAAAAACATTTTATTTGAAAACATTCACCACTTCAACAATTCATTCAGTTTTTAAAATGCAACAATGTCAAATATGCTTTAAATGTTTTATTAGTACAGACAGTATCAACAAAATATGTATGACCAGTGCTCAAAAAGGCTGTTTTAGTCCTTTGGTCCAAACTTGATGTTTCATCAGAGCAATTTGAAAGTTCAATATATCGTCACTCATAGTTTTCTTCTGAACGCATAGTTTTCTTCTGAAATTACATTTTAAACAACTTGGCGTGCAAATCTTTCACTTCTGGTGTTTCCTTGGTCCTCCATATCAAACACAGCAGTTTAAATGAAGGTATAAATGCTGGAAACTTGTGTGAAAACAAACTGGAGCTAGGAAATCTCATCAAGCATGTCCTGTGAATGAAGTGCTTCCCAGCCACAGGATGACCTTTTTATCCATGACGATGTAGTAGCTGCTGATCGCTCGTCTGGTGGTTCCTGATGCACGGATATAGGGTGATGCTCTTCTAAGAACTCTTCAAGACTCCAGCATGACTAAGAAAAATGTTTGAAAACAAATTGCAGTCAAATTCTATGATATATTTAAAAGAACATTTAAAGTAAATAAAACATTCAAGAAATCTAAACTCACCTTTTGAAAATCTTCATGATGATCCAGGATATGACAGGATATGGAAAAGTAGAAAAAACACATATATCACTGTTGGATCTCCAAAAACAATTAGGTTAATCACTATGACTAGAACTGGAAAAACAGGCAGCTGTCTGTCCAGAATCCTGAATTTAACACAACACATGGAGCAAAATTTAGAGGAGCTTAAAATCTTTTATATCATTTAGTGATGCTGACTTCCCCAAAATACTGGCCACAGTGTAAAAAATATTCATAAACTTAAAGTTTTCTGTAAGCGTGTGCGTGTGCGTGTGTGTGTGCGTGCGTGCGTGCGTGCGTGCGTGTTTCTTTACCAGATTCAACTTGTTAGGCCCTTTCAGGTCCAGTATTGACGCCACCTTTCCTGGAGTCTAGCAGATGTTTCAGGTCCAAATATAATCTAAAATATTAGGATAAGCAGAAGAGAAAAAGTGCAAAGCAAAGAGCAAAACATTATTTAAGTAACAGTTTACCCACAATACAAAACTTATCACCTTCATGTCATTTGTTATTCTCTAATGCTCTAATACCCTCTCAGCTTATTGTGAAACAAATACAGAACTTTATTAAACATACCTTCATTATTATCACCACATATGACCAAGAAGGTGTGCTTGGTCATTTCACCAACTCTGGAAATACACCATCCGTCTCTAATCAGCCACCGTCACAGGGTCTTATGTTATTGTATAAAGAACTGTGGCTGTTAAAAAACAACAAAACATTAGTATCTAACGCGTATGCATAACCTTCAGATAAAAAAGAGAGATGAACATCACAAAGTATGCCTCACACTTTTTCAGATATCTTTTGATTCAGATGTTGATTATTGATAATAAATCTACAAATCAAACCTGTATCATCATTAGGCTGCTCAAATATGAATCAGTTGATTAATTTTACAGACAGGTGGCTGTTTACAACGTACTAAATTGTCTTTAATAAAACGGAAATGTTGTGTACAGTACATGCTAAGTTTAGCCTAGTTTTAAGCACAATATCGTGCGGGAGAAAAAGCTTGACTAAGATGTTCCTGACTATAGAAATAGCCTAACTTACTAACGTCAGACATCCCGAGCTGAAAAAAGTCATTTTCGGGGGATACAGAGTTGATTTGCGGGAGGTAGCGGGAGAGATGAGTACCTGAAGAGCGGTGGGGTGAGTTGCGCGCGACGTACCTAAAATGCGGTGGGGGTGACTTGCGCGACGTACCTGAAGAGCTGGGAGGGATGCGGTGGAGAGGGGTGTGCAAAGTGTTTAATGACCGGGCGGGAGACGCACGATTTCCGGGAGATTATCATTCATTTGCGGGCATCTACTTGGGCATCTGGGAGTCTCTGTGCATTTGCGGGATAACGTTAACGTTAGTCCCGCAACTTCCGGGAGACTTCTGTAACGTCAAATGTCTGAGAAAGTGCAAACGCGGTCATTTAAAGACATTAATGTTAACATTCCGACTTTAATGGTTGTCAACACTTAATATAATTCAAGCGTACGTTATCACGCGAGTCTATGGACTAACGGTATATAGACGGCCACGAATGAACCAGTTTAAAAGGGCCGCGGTGTTTAAAATAACCAAATTAACATACACGGATAACAAACAATCATATGTTTTAGTCAGGAAGCCTTTTACAAGTAAGCATATGTTCATTTACTCACCAGATATGTTTTAGAAACTCCAGAGCTTATGGAAACCGTCCTGTGTTGCCGTTAGCATCCCGGCAGAGTAGGCTAGGCTGCTCCGGGGATTCCCTCGCTAGTTTGCTTCGAATTAAAGGAGAAGTGTCGATTTTTTTTTTACAGATGGGTAACAACGCACAAAATGGCATTAAGCGTGACAGAAATGTGTTGAACATGTAGGCTACATTTGATGTTTTTATGCACTATGTATGCGTTAGCATATATAAAAACATTCTTGAAAAGAAGTCAATAGTAATGCAGTTAAGCTAGATACACAAACGACCATGAATGAACCGCAGAAGTTTAAAATTGTCACTACATTCTAAAGCTATTAACTTAACAATATGTTTACAACTGTATTTCCTTAAAGAAAGTCAGTAAAATACCAACATTTAGGTAGTTTGACTCACCAGTTGCTGTTCTAAACTTCAGATGGAAAATGGCGTCTGGAAAATTCTTCAGTGACTGGGGCTGCATGAATTCCCGGATGTTGGAAATAACACCACAAATAGTAAAAAAGATAACTCCTTGATTTCGCACTGAATAAAATCAATTCTAACTCTTATTATATTCATTTATCAAAATCTAACTCTTTAACGTCAACACTTTACTCTGAAATGCTTCAACACCGAGAATTTAACTCTGATGAATTTGCTGCAGGCTCTGTTGCGTGTTGACTTAGAATGAGGTTTATTATCTAAGATTGCTACAGTTGTCTAAGATATCTAAGCAGTTGTAAACAAACACAAAAGGAGCATCTTCACAGATGCACAAGACACCTTGAAATTATCTTTCAAAAGGTTTGTAGATTTATTTACTTTTGACGTTTTTGACTGAAGCCTCTTCAAGCCAAGATATATTCCAAACAAAGTTATTTTTCATTCTTCGTTTATAGGCTAAATGGAGGATTTAAATATGTTTATGCAGTTGTATACTGTAATAAAAAAAGCTTACCATGCAGCTGAAAGCAGCATTTAGATTAATGTCTGAATATTTGACAGACTGAATATTAATTCAGTATTACAGAAAGTGGAACTTAGGGGCCACGCCTACCTATTCACTGATTAATAGTAGCTTGATATTAACCTGTCAATTCTAAAAAAAAAAAAAAAAAAAAAAAAAAACTTCTAAAAAACATTGTTTTAGCCTGATTTCAACGTTTTCAAGTTCAAAATTAGGGCAAACTAGTCCATTCTTCAATTTCATTTGAAGTACAGTCAAGTATGAAATTATTTATACCCCTGTCAAATTCTTAATTAAACAAGCAAGTTTTTTTTTTTTTTTTTAGATAGTAAAGATAATAATATGATGTTCTAGAACAGGGGTGTCAAACTCAATTCCTGGAGGGCTAAAGCCCTGCACAGTTTAGTTCCAACCATGCTCCAACACACTTACCTGTAGGTTTCAAACAAGCCTAAAGGACTCAATTAGTTTGATCAGGTGTGTTTAATTAGGGTTGGAACTAAACTGTGAAGAGCTTTTGGAACTGAGTTTGACACCTTTGTTGTAGAGGCATCATCAGTGGCGCCCCTAGAATTTTATTTTTTTAGGGGTGGCCAGAAGAGGACACACTAAATCTTGGGGTGGCACACAAAAAATAATGTATTCAGTGTTATATTATGTATGAATTTAGTGTGGTATATATATATATATATATATATATATATATATATATATATATATATATATATATATATATATATATATATATATATATATATATATATATATATATATATATATATATATATATATATATATATATAAAGTATATATGTTATATTTTTGTTTCTAGTAAATGTAATAATGTAGTTTTAATTCATTTAATTACTCTTGAAATATTGCAATTTATTCCTTGAAATAATTCAGCAAGTACAAGTGCAACACCTTTCATTTTATATATAAATAACTTTTCAGTTATTTTTCACATACTTTTATTGTACAGCATACAGCATGCCATGTCAAAAATTAATTAAGATTAATGAGTTAATAATTAAAACAAACAAACTTTTACAAAAAAATGTGCTAATGTTATTGGCCTGTGCTTCTTTTAGTATTTAAAATACTAATAATAAATTAAATAATAAATAATAAGTTGCTAGAAATGTGGCTGAGTGGTTAGTACTGTCACCTCAAAGCAAGAAGGTCACTGGTTCAATTCCCAGATCTAATTGGCAAATCTGTATGGAGCTTGCATGTTCTCCTCCTGTTGGCGTTGGTGCTCCGGTTTCCCCCCCAAGTCCAAAACATGTGCTAGGTGAATTGGATGAGCTAAATTGTCCGTAGTGTATGGGTGTTTTCACATTAGTACTTTTCTTCTGAACTTAGGTGCGCAACCACGAACCGTACCCGAGTCCACCTCAAAGAGGTGGTCTGGGGTATGGTTTATGCAAACTCTGGTCCGGTTCACTTCTGGTATGCAAGTGAACCTTCAACAGTACAACAAACTATAATTTTCATAATGTTCATTCGTGTGTGTGTGTGTGTGTGTGTGTGTGTGTGTGTGTGTGTGTGTGTGTATGTGTGTTTGTATGTGTGTGTGTGTTTGTATGTGTGTGTGTATCACATACTGTACCTATAGTGACAAGCCGTACTGAGCCAGGGCAAACCTAGAGATAATGTCTGCTTGTCTTCTCCAAAAATGATGTCTTTTGCAGACATTGTGTTATGTTTTGAATGTTTATAATATTTTTGATGCAGATGGATGTGAGTTGCTCTCTGTATGTCCAAAACTGAAAGTCTTAATAAAAGCAGAACAAACGCGATGTGTGGACGTCTTACCATTTTGCCATTTTCCTTTCATATCCATCACCTAGCAACAGCCACTTGTATCACAGCAGCTCGATGACACAAGCGTACAGGGGTTCAGAAAAAAAAAAAAGACAGTGTCAAGATAAAACAACCTAGAAAGTAGCAAGGGGGGACAATCAAACTTAGGTACAGTCCATGCAACTGAACCAAGTGCGAAAGCACCCTATGAGAGTTTGTGTGAATGAGCGAGGGTATGGGTGTTTCCCATAATGGGGTTGCAGCTGGAAGGGCATGCGTTGGGTAAAACCTATCCTGTAATAGTTGGTGGTTTATTCCGCTGTGCCATCCCCATATAAATAAGGGACTAAGCTGAAGGGAAATAAATTAATGAATAAAAATTACTGAGCATTCTCAGTTTGGGTTTTTAGCCAAGTGCATCCATAATTTTCAGCTTCGAAATTGAACTTTTATATTGGTGCATCCCTAACAACTACTTTACTGTTACTTTTTATAAATACAAATCATCCTTGCCTAACAAAAGTATTAATTTTTTAAAACTTACCACCCAAACTTTTTTTTTTTTTTTTAAACCCGGCAGTGTGTATGAACAGCCATATCTGTTCATTTATATTAAATATTCAGTATTCCACCAAGCCAGGAGGCCAATTTGCAGCTTGAGTTTCATCTCACCCCATTGCAGACAAGCAAGCCAAGCCAATTTAGGAGAAACTATTGAGATCTCATTTGTAATTTTCCTGCCTGTGTGCCTCTGTTTCTCCTCAGACGTTGGCGGCCCAGCAGACCCTATAGCTCCCTCTATTATAATCCCGCCGAAGAACACCAGCGTGATGGTGGGCACGTTTGAAGTCACGCTGGAATGTGTGGCAAATGCAAGGTGTGTGTGTGTGTGTGTAGCACTCGAAATGACCTCCATCAAACTATTAAAACTCAATTCTGTTTATTTGTTTCCTTCTGGCCACTGCTATCTCTCATTCCCCGATTGCATTTATCCGTATTTCTCTCTTTTGCTTTTCCTCCAGGCCCCTCATTAAGCTTAGCATTACATGGCGGAAAAATGGAGTGCTGGTAAACCGAGGCCTCCGGGATTTTGGACGTCGTTTGACCATCAGTGGCCCGCTGGTCAGTGACAGCGGCTACTACCAATGTGAAGCCTCCCTTCGGAGCAGCAGCGCCCCCTCTGTCAGCGCAGGAGCATATCTGCATGTCCTGGGTAAGAGTATTGCAATAAAAAAATTAATAATAATTAATAACCATCTACATATGAAAAATAAATCAATGTTTTAAGATAATAGAGATTAGAAAGAAGTCAAATTTTCTTCCAGAGGAAAATGCAGTGGTTAATGATACAGATTTTTTAAAACAAGCTTTAATAAAGTAATATATAGATATATATATATTTTACAGTGTAATAAGGCAAGTCATTAAGTCATTGTATAATGATGGTTTGTTATATGTAGAAAATCCAAAAATATATTACTTAAGGGGACTATTGGTATTGACCTTTGAGCCAGCATCAGGGCATGGACACACTGGACACATTGTTTTTGCACATTTCAGTATTTACAAACAGATTACATCAAAAATAATTATAAGTAATATTGTACAGAAAACATTTATTAGTTATGGAGTATATATTATCATAATAGCATGCATTCATTGCTGTATATCAAATTTATTTTGAATGGAAAACATTCTACTGAACATCCCAACATGATATGGTTTTAAAAATGAACTACTATTTTTACTCTGGCCGAAATAAAACAAAAAAGAAAAAAATGTTTTTTTCAATTTTAGTTAGTTTTAGTTTCAATTCTCAGTTTTTATTTGTGTAAATTTACGAGTAATGGAAATGAAGCATAGTGAGTCATTTATTCAATCGATTCATTCGAATGGTTGATTCTACAATGACTAAAAGAGCTCAAATGCAGTGAAATTTAAGAAAACACTTGCAGTTCCAAAAGAGTTTTTTAGTCTAATCTTAAAACTAGCTTATTAACAGCTTTTTAAACTGTATTGTTTTTATTTTGTGTGTGTGCAAATGCCTTAAAACTGCACTGTAAAAAATAACTGTTAATTAACAGTTTCTATATTCAGTTTTTTTGTTTATTTGTGGTTGTAAATTGCATTATAGGATGTTGATCTCTGCTCTGTTGACTTTTGATGTTAAAAATTCAACTCTACAGTTTAGCCAAGTGACTTTTATTGACATTTTTGTAGTTTAAAATGTATAAGAAAAAATATATATAAAAAAACTAAGTTTGTAAAATAACAGAAAATGTACAGACAGTTTTTTACAAGGTTTTTATAGCGTAATATACAACACCAGCCCAGACAATATGTCACTTTAAACTATTAAAAATGTTAATAAAAGACATTTTTTTAACTTCTGAAGGTTAAAAGTTGTTGGAAGAAAGATCATGATCCCCTAATGCAGTTCAAAAGCATAAATAAATGGGGGAAAATAAAAGCGTAAATCACAAAATACGAAAAACTATTTTACAGTGCATTTCTTTACTGTATAGTGTTACTGAACAAAAGTGTTCCTTTTAATTTAGGAATCATCATTAAATATTGTGTCTTTAAATTAGTCAACGCATTTGAACCTAAAACAAGATTATTGAATGCATTGAATCAAGACTATTTCAGACTATATAAAACATATGCTGGGATAGTTGGTGGTTCATTCCGCTGTGGCAACCTCTGAAAAAGAGACTAGGCTGAAGGAAAATTTATGAATAAATAAATTAATTAAAATCACACACACACACACATACACACACACACGTACACCGTCCATGATTTTTATTTATTTATTTATTATTATTGTTATTTTTTTTTTAATTAAGACTTGGCAGTAGTTACAATGCTACAATAATACTCGTTGCTTTTAAAAGTACTGAAGCAAACTGCAACAAACCATAACATAATGTATTTTATGAAGAGTGAGTAAAAAGTTTGATTGAGCTTTATATTTTAAATGGGGTACCTTAGAACAAGTTTTTACAGCAAAAATTAGGCCTAACACATACAAGACTGGTTTTAAATAATGTCTCTTATTGTAATTAAGCTAAATTTGCAGGTAACTTGTACTATGTAACAATCAGCATATTCTTATACAATCTGATCTTGCATTTTATATTTAAACCAAGTTCAGTCATTTTTGGTTAGATATAAGATCATAACTTGTGACTAGATCTGGATTTTTCACAGTGTGTCAAAGTTGTTTAAAAGTGTCTCATGCAGAAGGGATTCATCCCTTTGCATCATTTGCTTTCTTTTAATCTTCCAAAAAATGTCAACACACTGGCACAAAATCATTCAAGAACCTTCATTTCTTGGAGATGAAAGACTCATTTATGCAAGTGTGCATCTCATAGAGTAAATACTAGCCCTCTTGCAGCAATTACAGTCTTGAGTATTTTTCTTGGAGCCTTGCGCATTTACTTTGTTTTATTTCCGCTCATTTACCATGCAAATACGCTACAGCTCTACTAAATTAAATGAAGGGTGTCTGTGAAATGCAATTTTCAAGTCTTGCACCGTTTTCAGTTGGATTCGAGTCAGAGTTCTTGCTGGGTCGTTGCAAAATATTAACCTTTTTTTTTTTTTTTCAATTGCCTCACCGATCTGCGCTTTGAGTAGTGTTCTTGATACGTACTCTGTCTTTGAACTTGGATATCTGGCAGATTGTGAGATGTTCTCTCAAGGATTTGCCTGCATTTTGGTCTATCCATGTTGCTTTTGATGCCAAAAGCTTGCCAGAAGCTTCCACTGAAAAAAGACTAGCATTTTGTGTGATGGTAAGGAAGGTATTACATGAGTTTTTTGGACTAAAGACAAAATTCAAGCCTCACTTCAGGCACAAAAAAATACATTTTCAGGTCTTTTCATGTGGATTTTAGTCAAATATGTCGCAATATTGGCTTTTCTCTGTAATGAATTTCTTCCTGTAAGCCAATTCTGTTCTGGCAGGCGTAAGTAATTATTGATGTACATTTTCTGCTTCTTAGAGTTTCACTTTTTAGTGCTTTTTGTTAAGCTATAATGGTTAAAATGGTAATTCTTCAGTGTTGGACCAAAGACTGTACTCTTTCCTTTCAAGCCGCATGCAGCCCAACTTTAAACACAAGGTGTTTCAAAAGCTTTTCGGTTTTAGCCTGGATTTTTGCAATCTCTGGTTGAATCTTGCCATTTGCTTTACTTAGAAATGGCTTGCTTCAAGGAAAGTGATTCTAGGAAGCCTTATTATCAATACTTGGCCAGTATCTTCTATTTATGCTACAAAAAAGGCCTTTTTATTTAGAATTTTCATCTTGTTTCTAGTCCAAAAATCTACAGATTCTTAAATTAAGAAGCATTTTCTAGACAAACAAAAAATGTCTTGTTTTCCAAGATAATTAGTCAAAATTAAGTGAAGTTTACATTAATATAAGCAAAATATTCTGCCAGTAGAGTATCCAAAATAATCAGATTTTTTTATGTGAAATAACATTATTTTTGGCAGATTTTTTTTAGCTAGTTTAAGGAAAAACTCACCTAATTTTGAATTATTATTTTTGAAAACAAGACATTTTGCTTGTCTAGAAAATGCTTTTTGATTTTAGAATTTTAGACTAAAAACAAGACAAAAGTTTTAAGAAAAACATTTATGCAGTGCAGATATCGCAGTTGTCCACTGTTAGACTTTGCCACAATTTTACAGTTATTTACAACACAAATGCACTGTAACATACCACAAACAATCATTACAATTCACTAATTTAATGCCCACTGCATTGTTGGTAAAAAGCAAGCTTTTACAGTAACTTACCTCATATTTAAAGATTTGCTCTATTCTACTGTAATCAAAGTAAAAATCAAATATAAATCTTATTTATAAATATGTTGTGTCACTAAATGTATTTAAAATAGATTAACGAATGAGAATTACCTTTGTAAACCATTTATAGTATGAATATAATAACAAACATTTTTAAAAATACTGTTGTAAATGATCTCACCTCTGGGTTTGGGATTTCTTAAATTCAAAAGTACATACTGTAAATAAAGGCTTTGTACTACCAGTGTAAAATGTAAATAAATTACAGTAAAAGTACAGTAAAAAATGTTATACTGTACAAAATAATTGTAATAAAGGGAAAAAAGAAGTTGCAGTAAAGATATTGAAAAAAAAAATTAATTGCAGTTGTGCCCTGCTACTGTACAACACATTTACAGATAAAGTACTGTAAAGGGGCAGCTTCCGAAATACAATAGTCTAACTTCCGAAATACAACGTGTCTAACAATAGTTGCTCAGTTTGTTGAGGTTAATCCAAGCCCTGTCTGGATTTTGCTGTGTTTTTTTTCCACCCTTGTTTTGATGGGCCTCATGGTTCTCCAAGGACTATCCCAAGCTTGCCAGCCTTTTTATAAACTTGTCCAGGTGTTTCCAAAAAAACATCTTTGTACAAATGTCTAGTGGGAATAAAAGAAGCCTGATCTTTGGAAAGTTATTGCTCTTTTGTATTGCCTTTTCTTACTCTGTTTGTTTGTTTGTAAAGTTTTTTTTTGTTTTTTTTTTCTCAAGATGGACTTGTTAAATAGCATGAGTAATTAGTTGTCTTTATGTCCGAGAATTGTTGTTTAACATATCTAATATATATCCAGTACACTATATATATATATATATATATATATATATATATATATCCAATACACATGATTTCCTACGAGCATATGAATACCAGTCAATGTTGACCTTAATGTGGACATTTATTTGGTCCCCATGAGGAAAATAGCTTATAAGAAACACATAATGAAAAATCATTATGTCTTTGCAAGTCATAAGATACTGTGTCTGTACCTTAAAAGATACTGTACCTGTGCAAGTGTGTGTTTGCTTTTGACATAAATCAGACAAAAACCGAAACCTTTATGCATAGGCTATGTGTACGCAATAACTTGTCTGAATCGAATATGTGTGGAGCACAGAAAACTGTAAATAAGGTGTTTTAACTGACAAGGGTTTAAAACATATGCTATAAGCCAGGGGTGTCCAAACTCGGTCCTGGAGGGCCGATGTCCTGCATAGCTTAGCTCCAACTTCTTTCAACACACTCACCTGGAAATGTTAGTATACCATGGAAGAGATTGATAAACTGGTTCAGGTGTGTTTAATTGATATTGGAACTAAAATATGCAGGACACTGGCCCTCCAGGACCGAGTTTAGCCACTCTTGCTATAAGCTAACCAAGGCACAAGCTGTAAAGATTCCATCCTCTTCGGGAAAGGGGGAGGTGAGCAGCAGCTCATTTGCATTTAAAGAGACACAAAACATATTCTTTTAAATGCTATTACATGCTATTATTATTAAATGCTATTATAAATGTTTTAAATTCCAAATTTGAGTTTGAAAATACCTAAAACACACAGACTACAAAAATAGCAATGTACACATTTAAATGTTTGTAATATATAAGAATATTGGCTATAATAATATGTGATGTTCAGTATCATACACTTAAAAACCACAAACTACTGTATTTATGAACTTTTTAATGCTTAAAAAATAATAAATTAACTATATGATAATGCTTAATAAATAATTCATAGTGTACATTTAATATAAAGTGTATAAAAGTATAATACTTATTATAAATATATTGCTACTACTATTACTACTACTACAACTACTACTACTACTAATAATAATAATAATAAAAAAATAATAATAAAAATAATAATAAAAGTAATAATAATAATAATAATTAAGTATATAATAAAGTAATAATAAAGTATTATTATTACATATTTTATTGATAGACAAATAATAATAAAAATACAAATAATAATAATAATAATAATAATAATAATAATAATAATAATAGCACATATTTTATATACAATTTATATATAATTGCAGAAAAATTGTTATGTGAGCAAAAAAAAAAAAAAAAAAAGAAGTACTGGGACTGTCTCAAAATCCATCACTGTCTTCCTCTAAAAGCCCATTTCAGCTTTAACACACCTAATCCTCTGTACTGGACCTCCTCTATGGATCCCAATGTCACCACGAGTGATCCTTCAGTTGAATGTGATCAAGCGCTCTCACAAATAACTGAACTTAACTCTGTGCAGAACATCCTCAGTTCGTGAAGGAGCCGGACAGACACATCACTGCTGAGATGGAAAAGGTGGTCGACATCCCGTGCCAAGCTCGAGGTGAGTTTGTGTACCTCTCCAGTGTGTGTTTAAGTGTGTGTGGAAGCCTTAGATAACACTTTCCTTCCTATTGCCTTCAGGTGTTCCTCAGCCAGATATAGTGTGGTATAAGGATGCGGTTCCCATAAGCCCCGTGAAAACTCCTCGATATAGAGTCCTGGTCGGCGGCAGTCTGCAGATAAACGGCCTGCTCCCGGACGACACCGGCATGTTTCAGTGTTTTGCCCGCAATTTGGCAGGCGAGATCCAGACGAACACGTACCTCGCTGTCACCAGTACGTCAATGCGCCATCTGGGCCTGTCAATAACTCTGTCTTCATTTATTACACTTCTACCCGACATTCATCTTCTTCCTTATCTACTGTCAAGATGTGTCATTTTGGAAAGTCGCCGACTTATCAGCAGCTTTTACTTTAAAGAAAGAGGAGAGATTAAAATGAGTGATTATGTGAAGTTTAAGAGCGAGGGTTGGGGTGTATAATGGATTTTTTTTTTTTTTTTTTTTTTTTTTGTCTCCCATGATGGGTCTTTATTATGTCTACCGTTTATGTGGGATATAATAGACAGATTTTAAAATACATTGTCTGGGATTTGGTTAGGTTAGAGAGCAGTTGTTACATTTGCACACTTTCTGCTGGAATGTGTGTGTAAAAGTTAACAAAAAAGATAGCATAATGTGATAATACACTATAAAATATTACCATACTTTTAAGTATAAATAACTGTAAACATGACACAGTAAATAGATATAAACAGGCAGTAAAATTCGCAACCTGGTTAAGGATCTGGTTCCTTAGTATATACAGTTAATAACCAAAAATTGACTTCACCAGTTTTTTTTAATTCCTTTTTGTTAACATTACTGTGGTTTTTTTAAACAAATAAATTAATGACTTGTAGATTTTACTTTGAAAAACTGGTGTATAATATTATAAAAGTACTGAAAAATGGTAATCTACCATAATATATATATATATATATATATATATATATATATATATATATATATATATATATATATATATATATATATATATTTTTTTTTTTTTTTTTTTTTTTTTTTTTAATTTTTTTTTTTTTAATTTTAACAGTTAAGTTCTGGCAACCACAGCAAATTTTTACTGGATTTCTATATTTTTATTCAATCAACACCTAGTGGTCAAAAGATTCTTTCTTTCTTTCTTTCTTTCTTTCTTTCTTTCTTTCTTTCTTTCTTTCTTTCTTTCTTTCTTTCTTTCTTTTTTTCTTTCTTTTTGACATTATTCTCTTTCATAAACAATATTGATATTAGATTATTTGGTAGAGATTATTTGTTGACATTCCAGATGAACAATTTGCAGTATATTTTACTTATATTTGTCAGCAACAACTGAATCATTTTAGTTGATTTTAACACTGTTTTAATTTTAACACTGTTTAACATTTTAATACTGTAGTTTCACTTTCATTTGTTGTTCCAGTCATCTAAAATAGTAATACTACTATTTCAAGATAAATTCTACAAAAATACAAGCTTTTTACACATATTTTTGTGCAAATATTACCAGTTGGTCAAATAACCTGAAAGTCTTAATTTTAACTATAAAGTAAGAAAGTAAGAAATGCACAACATTTACATTTGTATTTTAAATAAAGGTTATATGGTAAATGTTAATGCAATGTAGGGGACTTTAAATTTAACATTATTCCACAAGCACATTTTTTTTTCCTTTCCTTTCCTTTCCTTTCCTTTCCTTTCCTTTCCTTTCCTTTCCTTTCCTTTCCTTTCCTTTCCTTTTCTTTCCTTTCCTTTACTTGATTCCCTTCAATGAAAAAATGCTGGATTCCATGTTGTCCCAACACAAATCGAGTTAGCTTAATTGTCTTTTACAAATGTAGGTGGATTGAACATATAACAATTTAGTTGTCACCAAAAAAACAAGAAAAACAACAAAAAAAAAAATCAGCAATTGTTGATTTTAAAATAATCAAAAAATCAGCTCAGTTTAAATAAGTAATTTGAACAAACATCAAAAATAATTTATAATAATAACAATTTTAGGTGTTTTTTTATTAATTTATTTATTTTTTTTAATTTATAATGACTACACATTAAGCATTAATGTAAAGCATCTCATTTGTGCATTAATGGCTGTTTTGTTAAATATTTTTTTTTATTGCAAGCTGAGCTGTTTCTCCTAAATGCGGACTTGCACGCTATTCTCAGAACAAGCATACAATGGAGCATTTTATCACTACAAAACCAATACATGATTATTAATATATATATATATATATATATATATATATATATATATATATATATATATATATATATATATATATATATATATTAATATATATATATATATTTTTTTTTTTTTTTTTTAAACACTCCTTCCCAACTGTTAGTTTGCTGTGAGTGAGAGACAGCAATGACAATCTCTAAGATAAAACACTGCCTGATATTGTATTTCAATTAAAACTTAATCGTAGTATTAAAATATAATTAAACAAAAACTGAAGAAAAAAATAATAATATATACATACATATATACATACATATATATATATATATATATATATATATATATATATATATATATATATATATATATATATATATATATATATATATATATATATATATATATATATATATATATATATATATATATATATATATATATATATATATATATATATATATATATATATATATATATATATATATATATATATATATATATTGCGCAGATGCACTGTTTAACTGTTTTCTTACTAGTGAAGTGTGCAGTTTTCCACTTAAAAAGTCCACCATGTAAATAGCAAATGTGCCATGGCGCGACACAACTGACTCTTAAAGAGAATGGGAGATGAGACTTTGATTGGTTTAATTCATGCTATGCTCAAAACACACCAATAATTCATCAAGCACAACCCTGTTAGGCCATGTGCCACAAGTGTATTTTTCCATCCTTTAAATAGCAAAAGTGGACTCAGACATGCTTTAGACTTTGCGCTTAGATTGTAAAATTGTTAGATCGTTCCTGTGTTTATGTTCTGTTATTTCACATTAAAGAGCTGGTAAAAATTCACATTAAAGGGCTGGTAAAAATAAAAATAAAAAATAAAAATATATATTATTTTCTATGCAAGTGAAATTACTAAACATTCTCATAAGAACCTGGGAAAATTTCAATTCTTATAAAAAGGTCATTCATTTACAATTTTTTTTTTTTTTTAAATATAGGTTTTATTTTAAAGTGTATATATTCAAATATATGTAAATTAATTTGAAATCAGTATGAATATACACACTTAAGAGTTTAAGACTTACATGTTTCAAAATGTTTTGAGTGAAACCTCTTATGCTTTCAAAAGAACAGCATTATAAATATCCTCACTGTCACTTTTGATCAATTTAATGCAAATTTTCCATTCTCCCTATCTTTTTTAATCTATTAAAAAATAAAAAGATGAGCAAAAACATATCCAAACTTCTGAATGGCAGTCTCTAATGCTGAAAAACAAAGAAAATAACAAATGCAAACACACACAGACACATATCAGATTAAAATCTGGTCCAAGTATACAATTTTAATAAACCTAGCAAAATTGCTGCATCATATCAGTGGATGTTTATCAGAAACAGGCTGTCTGTGTTTTATGTTGTCATTTTGTTAAAACAGAGAGTGATGCAGTGAAAGAGACAAAGGAGACACTTCTAACCTGAGTTTAATCCCTAATGTAACAAACTTTGGAGTAATTATACTTGTTAAATAGACACAGTGCAGGATGAAAGTAAAACTGGACAGAGCATACATGAATGAATTGGATTGAATCGGTGCCAGAGCGTGATTCCAGATCATTCCATACCAATTTAATTTCAAGGATAATAAATCCAATACAGACTTCATTAAACTTCCGGCCAACTGTCCCCATAATAAACACACTAAATGTCCTCAGAAAAGTCTAAAAGCTGAAATTATTGGTCACTCTTTCATGTATTGAATTAAAAGATTGAAGAATGAATTTTAATGTTGAAACATTTAAATTAAAGGAAAACTGTATTGCTGTATTATATTTTGATACTTTTTAAACTCAATGCCAATAAGCGTAGTACTTTATACACACACAATAGCATTTAAACGTGTGAAATGAATAAAAAAGAACATCATTTATTCGAAATGGAAATCATTTTCAACATTATAAATGTTTTTTTTGTTGTTTTTTTTTTACAGTTATTTATGATAAATTTAATGCAATTTTGCTATCCTCATATTTCTTTCAATAAAAGCAATGACGGCAACAACAAATAAAAAAAAAAAATTAAATGAAAAACAAACTTTTAAATCAGACTCAAGTCAGACTTTAATGCTGGAAAACAAAACAAAATAACTAAAAATAAATGTAAACGCAAATAACAGACTGAAAACCAGATCAGTCATCTTTAATACATTTTAATCAGTCTGATCTATAAGTCTTTTTTAAAGTAAAACAAATAAATAAGCAAGGTTGTTATGATATTTCTGTATGAGTGAACACACATAAACATACAATAATGTTTGGTTTTGTTAGTCATTCGGTAAACACAGGATTGTCACATAATTGAAAACTATATGGTCCCTGAATCAATGTCATTTGATATGTTGCATAATAATAGATGTTAAATTAAATTATAAGAATTTATATATTTTCATAAAATAATTAAAAATAAAAGAATTCCACTTATCGCATTGTTCGGATGATGTTTTTCAAATCTTTTGCCATGTTTTTTTGTCCTCAAATTGTTAATGTGCGTAGTTCTAGTTTCTTACGCATTTCATCTAAAGACCTTTGTTTTGTTTTTAATTTTTGGTACTGTTAAATGCTTGATTTTGATCGGCTGTTGCACATTCTAAGGTGTTCAGTTATTTTGAGGTAAACACACAGCTAAAGTAGTTCCAAGCAGATTTTTGTCCAGTTCCATTACAGCTGAATGCTTTTTACTACATCCTACAAAAACCCAAAATTGGACAAAACAAAACAAAAGTATTTAGATGAAATGCATAAAAAAATTATAACTACATACATTAACAGAGGACAAAAACCTGGCAAAAGTTTTAAAAAAACAACGTCCAAACAATGTGATTACTGTATAAATGGAATTCTTAAATTTTTACTATTTTATAAATACATTTTTATTTAAAAAAGATGACAAACAAATGTGCAAAATAAAATATGGATTGAATCTTTAAAGAACCTAAATACAAGTATTTGCAAGTAAAAATTGAAAAAACTGTACAAATTGAAAACAAAAATAAAAACATAATGACAAAATAAAATAAGGAAAATATAAATATTAAATATTAAATATAAAATAATTAATATTAAGTGATAAAATTAACTTACTGGAAGAATATAATATATAATTAAAATAAAGAATTGTTTTCAAAAATTTCTATCACCTTGCAATAAAATATATGTATTTTTTTAAACAATTGTTTTTATTGTTTCAGTTTTTGTTTAATAAAGAAATGACAGCATATGACCATCTCGTAAAACAACCCAGAAACCCCACCTTCCACCAAGGTAGACTTGTTCTACAGGGTAGGCCATTTATGTAGATACAACTTAATAAACTTATTTGGAATTTTGCAAAAAAAAAAAAAAAAAAACAATAGTGTGCTTGGTTTCAATCATAACTTTATTCTTTATTCTAAGACAAAAAAAAGCCAGAAAATTAAATAAACAAGTAAATATCAGGGTGAGAATGTAATTAAATCTGAAAATGTGGTATTGTGCTTTTGAAAACTGTCGGTTGGGTTTAGGGAAGTGGGTGGTTGGGTCAATCTGTGCTTTTGAAAACACTATTGTTTGGGTTTAGGGAAGGAGGAGAGAGGGTCAATCGATCGGTCAGTCAGTCAGTCAACAGCCGCCTCTAGTGGATTTACGCAGGAACAGCAGGCACGAATGGTTCTCACAAGAGAAATTTGAGATCTGAAAAATCGTACACAGTGGTCTATGGTGGATCTGCAAACATAAAATCTGTAAAAAAATCTCGCATTTGGAGCTCTCCAGAAATGTATAAATGTAATCCGTAACTTTTCAGAATAAGCCTAGGTTGACAATAAAGAAAGTAAATTTCAGGATAGAATTAGCTCACTATAGAAAGCATTTTGGGTCAGCGTGTACATATGTGCCTTTCTTTCCCACAGGTATTGCCCCGAACATCACAGCTGGCCCATCTGACAGCGCGGTGATTGATGGCATGTCCATCATTTTACACTGTGAGACCTCGGGTGCCCCGCGGCCCGCAATCACATGGCAGAAAGGTCAGTCTCTAATCAGTCATCTCTCGCCCAGAAAGATATCCATCAGCGTCTCTTCGGCTTGCCAGCGTTAATGTATCTCTGGAAGCTAAATCAAGTGTCCAATCAAGGGTTCTCTGATAAGCTGGAGACCCGTCCTGTCTGTTTGATCTTCATTTTCATTTCTCTCCTGTGTTTGCGCAGCTGAGCGCGTTTTGGCGAGCGGTTCGGTGCAGTTGCCTCGGTTTACTCTGCTGGAATCAGGCAGTCTTCTGATCAGCCCGTCTCATCTGTTGGATGCCGGATCATACACCTGCATGGCCAGCAACTCCCGGGGGATCGACGAAGCCTCGGCCGATCTGGTGGTGTGGGGTGAGTGTCTTTTCAAGTCGAGTTTCAAGCTTCATTGTCATTCCGCTACATGTGTGGACAAACAGTGGAACCAAATGTCAAGCCTCATGCTGCTACATAAATAAACATAATCATAAACATGGGCACAACACTGTAGGTAAAAGTAATTTTATACTTTTTACTAACATACCAGAGTGGTAATCCCTATAAATCGATAATATAAATACTTAACTTTACACATAACCTAAGATTGACTAAACAAATGCATAAGACAGAACAACATTTGGCGCAATATCTAGCAATATTGTTCAAGATATTGTACAAAAGAGGTATTTTAAGGTTGAAGAAAACAAGTAGTGCAACATTATTTTTGGTACATTAACAGATAAACATAATTTTTCTTATTGAGTCCTTGTAATATAAAGTTTAAGTAAAGTGTCTTACGCATTTAGAAAGAACAATGTTTCTATGAGTGGTTTGTTAAGCCCACTCACCTCTGTGAGGCGTACTCAGACTTTTACAAGGTTTCTTTTTTTTCTCTAGAAATACTAAGTGATTGTAAGAAAGTGACAGTTAAAGTTTTCAAGGGATGAAAAACTGGAAAGTACAGGTGGTTTGTCAGACCCACTCACCTCTTTGATGCACATTCAGAACTGCATAATGTTTTGAGGTTTACATGTGGTTTGAGGTTTTTCCATTGTATGGTCCTGTTTGTTATTTCAATCCAATTTTAGGGCTACAGGATTAATTGAAGGTGATTTCATGCACATTTTGTCAGGGAAGCCGGTTGTGTAATCAATATTCATTTTCAGCACTGGCTTTCAGATGGGGCAGCATTTACTTCACAAAGCCATAATTCATTTTTCAGCCATATTTCAATTTGACAAGATACATAAAATGAACGATTTCCTCAACGCATATCTGAAATCGGACATAATTGGATCAGACCATAAGTGTCTTGTTAAAAAATTTAAATTTTTTTGCTTAAGGCTGGAATCTTCTGTAGTTACATTGTGTAGTATAACATAATGAAAAGTTAATATTTTCTAAACCAAAATCTCTAGGGACTATTTCTCTCACTCTGATGTAATAATCAGGGTCAACATAATCAATAACAAACCTTGCATGCTGTGTCATGGCATATTACACAAAATAACCGGCACAAACTCCATGTGCAAGAAGGTTAGTTACCTAGCTCAGGACTATCATTGTGATTATTGTACCTGTATGAAGACTCTTTGACTTCATTTACACTGCAGATCCTAATGGTCAGTTCCAATTTTCTGACTGTATCTGCTTTTTTTGATGATCCACTTTTAATAGTAACTCATATATGATAACTGCAAAGATTCAATGACCCAAATAATAAAGATTGTGTGCTGAGTGACAGCTTTTTTTTCCGATATAAAAGCGTCAGAGTTTATGTATTCAGTTTGATTCAATTTATGTTTATTTGTATGGCACTTTTGAGAATAATTATTGTTTCAAAGAAGCCTTACAGTATTACAATCAAATACAGAAATGCATTACAATCAAATACAGAAAGGTTAAGGCTATTAGTTACCATAACTTTATTAGTTACTATTAACTTTAAGTAATTGACTTGTAACTAAAAGCTTTTTATGTACTTTGCTGATGTTTTTAATGGTGTGAGACCCATATTGACTGGTAAAAATGCAGTCTTTACCTGCTTACACTACAGAAACGAAATCCATGTAATTTTTCTTTTTTTTTCTTTTTTTTTTTTTTTACGCATGTGGGCCATATTCGATCTGGCCAGATAGGAGAATTAATTCAGAATTTAATCATTTGAACTATACAGTGTAAATGCAGCCTTGGAGATGCTAATGATTAAATTTGATTTCCGCTTTGTAATGTCAGTGCTTCTCTGATGATAATAGTTTGATGTATTGGTATATGTGCCTTTAACCGTTAGTTTGCCATTAGTGAAATACGAGACAGTAAAAAAAATAAATAAAACTTGGTAAAACTACTCAATATTCAACTTCAGTTGGAAATATTCCATGATACGAAGACTTTAAGCTGTGCATGATTTTTCTGTGGACACAGAGTTTTTCTTGTGTTTTATCTATATTCTTTTTGGCAAAAACACTGCTGATCAATAACTTTACATTTTCAATTAGCTTTAAAGTTTATAAAAGTGTTTATTTAGTGTTGTAGTCTGCTTTTTTAAATGAGTGTGTACCTTAGGGCTCATACAAACCAGCTATAAAGATTTGTAAGGCTACCAATTAAGTGGCTTTCCTTCTTGTCTCATCTAGGCAAATGGTAAATACACTGACAGATGTTTCACTATAAGAGGAAAGTCTGCTGGTGTTTTACTGATCATGATACAGTCATGTTGAATTGCATGCAACAATCATTTAAAACAGTTAATAATTAATACTGCCTATTTAAAGCCAGCTTGGGTTTAGGATGTCGAGTAGAATATTAGATCACACAAGTTATTCTTTATGGATCATTGAATAGATCACATTTGGGTAACAGTATGGCTTCTTTGGAACCTCAACAGAGGTCCAATATAAAAAGGAGCAGGTACCGTACTGTACACATTGGTGTGAATCCCGATGCATCTTATGATCAGGAGATTATCGTTCAATAAGGGTCATGTAACAGGAGCCATAATTCAGTTTTTACATTTATACTGTGCCCTAACTGAGGTGTCAAGATTTGTCTTGTTAAATTGGCTCAAATCTGCCTTTTTCAAGAAGAAAAGATTTAAATAAATTTACAGTATAATACACTCACTGGCCTCTTTTTTAGGTGCACATCACTTCAAAACTTACTTAATATTTCATGGCATAGATTCAACAAGGTACTGGAAATATTCCTCTGAGATTTTGGTCCACATTGACACGATAACATCAGGTAGTTAGTGCAGATTTGTTGGCTGCACATTCATGATGCGAATCTCCCATTCCACAACATCCCAAAGGTGCTCTATTGGATTGAGATCTGGTGACTGTGGAGGCTATTTGAGTACAATGAACATGGTGACAGTGACATGGTCAGCAACAATACTCAGGTAGACCGTAGTGTTGAAATGATGATCAATTGAAAGTAATGTGTGGCAAAAAAAATTTCCCCACACCAATACACCTCCACCACCAGCCTGAACCGTTGATACACGGCAGGATGTGTCCATGCTTTTATGTTGTTGATGCCAAATTTTGACACTACCATCCGAATGTTGCAGCAGAAATCGAGACTCATCAGACCAGGCAACATTTTTCTAATCTTCTATTGTGCATTTTTGGTAAGCCTATGTGAATTGTAGCCTCGGTTTTCTTTTCTTAGCTGACAGGAGTGGCACCCACTGTGGTCTTCTGCTGCTGTAGCCCATTTGCCCCAAGGTTCGATATGTTGTGCATTCAGAGATGCTCTTCTGCATACCTTGTTTGTAACGAGTGTTTTTTTGAGTGATTGTTGCCTTTCTATCAGATCAAACTAATTTGGCCATTCTCCTCTGACCTCTGGCATCAACAAGAAATTTGGGCCCACAGAACCACTGGATATTGAAGCACACTGGATATTTTCTCTTTTTCAGACCTTTTTCTGTAAACTCTACAGATTGCTGTGCGTGAAAATCCCAGTAGATCAGCATTTTCTAAAAGACTTAGACCAACCTGTCTGGCATCATCAACCTTGCTCAAAGTCACTTAAATCACTTTTCTTCCTCATTCTGATGGTAGGTTTAAACTGCAGAAGATCATTTTGACCATGTCTACATGCCAAAATTATGGAGTTGTTGCCATGTGATTGGCTAATTAGAAATTTACGTTAACGAGAAGTTAGACAGGTGTACCTAATAAAATGGCCAGTAAGTGTATACATACACACAGAATGACATTATTTTATTTTTTATTTTTTTTCTTAAGACTTAAAACTGAATTGAAAAGTATTAAAAGGATTTAGTTTTAGTTATTTCCCCGAAATGTTCAGAAATTACAAACATGCAAATCAAAGAAGAGATTCTATGAATGTATTTGTACTGAACACCGTTTAATATGCTTTTTATTAAACTACTATGACAAAATATCAGTCTCATCCTTGACCCTTACATATTTTTTTTCCTTCTCTGTCAGTTTTTCAAAAGGAGCTGTATTGCCTAAACTGTATGAGCTAAATTATACCGAATGTGGGCTGAATAAGCCAAAAACATTAATGCAGATTATATAATATTAATGAAACAAAGGAGCACTTAAGAGTACTTAAAGACAGACGCTTGCAAGACTGTTTTAAAGTGCGCCTTGCAATGTCAAATTAAAAAAGTTTTACTTTAAAGTACATTTTAAACATCAATTTTTTATAGCCGTTTTACATGTAAGTACATTCATCTTCATGAATTGACTAACAAACTAAAGCTGAACCACTTGACATTCATTTTAACTTGAATACATTACTCAGTGTTGCATTCAAAGTGAATCTCAGCTTCATCATAACAAAGGTGTAATATTTAATTACATGCCAGATTTCAACAGAAATCATGAATGTCATGAAGTTTATTTTAGACGAAATATGCATTGGCAGTAGAAGTTATCATAAAATAAAAACAGGTTCAGCAAATATCATTGTATTTAAATACGAATGCACTTGTACTAACGTTGGGTTAGTTACTTTATAAAAGTATCTCTACACCTGACTTCTAATTGGTTATTTGGTATCAGAAGTGGCTAATATGAGAGGAAAACATCTCTAGATTACGCTTATTTTACCAAAATAAAATATGCCTTGATTTTAAATTTTTTAATTACAACAGTAAGGTCGGATTTTGCATAGTTGTCACTTAACATAAACATGTACAGTATACAATGGTGCAATGGAAAAAGAATTAGTGTGTATGCATGAACTTGGACGACTGCATCCATACATCTCTGCAATGACTCAAATAACTTATTAATAAAGTCATCTGGAATGGCAAAGAAAGCTTTCTTGTAGGACTGCCAGAGTTCAGATTTATATTTAATGCCTCCCCCTCCATCTTAATCCAGACATGCTCAATAATGTTCATATCCTGTTGACTGGGCTGGCCAATACTGGAGCATTTTGACCTTTGCTTTCAGAAACTTTGATGTGGAGGCGGAAATTATAAGGATCCCTCTCCTGCTGAACAATTTGTCCTCTCCTGTTGTCTGTAATGTAATGGGCAGCACAAATGTCTTGATACCTCAGGCTGTTGATGTTGCCATCCACTCCGCCGATCTTCCACACGCTCCCATACGGATTGTAACCCCAAACCATAATTTTTCCTTCACTAAACTTATTCTTGTGAGAATCTAGGGTCCATGTGGGTTTCAATAGGTCATCTGCAGTATTGGTGATGATTGGGATGCAGTTCAACAGATGATTAATCAGAAAAAAAAACCTTCTGCAACTAGAAGTCAAATTATTATTTGTTGCTCTTATAACGGGGATCGGTGACTAGACTTTTGTCAGGCCGTGTAGCTATTTGTTTTCTAATGGCTTTGTCTAAAAAGTAACTTGGTTACTCAATACGTAATCGGATTACTTAACATTTAAATATCATGTGTATCTAAATACAACATGCTTCAAATTAAAGAAACCTGATTTTATGCATAACAATTATTGACATTCATTTTTCAAAACATTAATTTGTTTGGCAACCTAATATTTAGTTGAAAACTTTTGTTTCTTATTTAGTTTTGTAGAAAAAATATCTGAATAGCACTTACATATATAGTTGAAGTCAGAATTTTTAAATACCCTGATTTATTAGCCCCCTATTTATTTTTCCCCAATTTCATTTTAACAGAGAGGAGATTTTTTCAACACATTTCTAAACATAACAGTTTTAATAACTCATTTCTAATAACTGATTTATTGTATCTTAGCTATGACAGTAAATACAATTTTACTAAATAATTTTCAAGACACTTCTATACAGCTTAAAGTGAAATTTAAAGGCTTAACTAGGTTAGTTGGGTTAACTAGGCAGGATAGGGTAATTAGGTAAGTTATTGTATAACCATAGTTTGTTGTGTAGACTCAAAAATATATATATAGTTTAAAGAGGCTAATAATTTTAACCTTAAAATTGTTTTTAAAATAGTTAAAACTGCTTTTATTCTAGATGAAAAAAATAAGTATTTTCCCAAAAGAAAAAATATTATCAGACATACTGTGAAAATTTCCATGCTTCTGTAAACATCATCATTAATCAAAGGAGGTTTAATAATTCTGATTTCAACTATACAGTAAGTGTGTGTATCGGTATGTATATGATCTCTATTTAAACTCTTTGTAAACAGTTTAACAGTTTTAAACTGTGGACATGTTAAGCTTGGCAACATTCATTTTTAAACACAATGTGAGAAAACATAAGAAACACAAGTCTAGATACTCACTGTGTGCACCGCAGATGCTTTAATCTTCTCTAAAGAAAGGCAAAATGAGCATGGGTATGCCAAAAAGTACATCTGAGGGTTTCTTAAAAGGGCATTTACCATTTCATGACAGGGTAGACAGCGATTTCCAGGACACATGCAAAATGATTAATAATATTATAAAAACAAAATAACATTTATCAAAATGACTTCATTTATTTAAACAGCTTGTTAAAGACAATAAGAATATTTAAAAATAGTTTAAATGTATTTAATTTACCTACTTTTTAGACTGAGCAGTGTGTGGGACATGGCATAATCACATCCATTCAATAATAATCAAGGTTATGGTAAAATTTGACAAAGACATATTTCAAAACACTTATAATTCTACCTGTGTGTGTGTGTGTGTGTGTCTGTGTGTGTGTGTGTGTGTGTGTGTGTGTGTGTGTGCGTGCGTGTGTGTGTGTGTGCGTGCATGCATGCGTGCGGGTGTGTGTGTGTGTGTGTGTGTGTGTGTGTGTGTGTGTGTGTGTGTGTGTTTGTGTGTGTGTGTAAAGGTTTAAACAATTACAATAATAAAAATTGAATTTCATTACTTTCCATTATGTTCACAAAGCACTGTTTTAATTGTGTAGGACATCAAAGGCACTTCACAGTGATGATGACCCTTACATTGTTTCTCCGAATTGAAACCCTGTTTTAGTATGAGTTAATAAATCAATATATATTTTTTTTCTAAGCATATGCAACTGTCTTGATAAATGTAATCGTCTTTAGTTAACTTAGAAGTATTCCACAAAATGTAATACACTTATTACAAAAGCACTCTGCTTTTCTCAATTGATGCATAAAGAACTTTTGAATATATCTACATTATTTAATGCAAGAGTATTATAAATGAATTGCCTACATTTTTTTTATTAATGCTTTACTTTATTTATTCAGTGAAAAGTAGTTTAATTACAGTGACTAGATACATCTAACTAATTACATCCGACACTGTTTAGTGGATTATTATAAAGTATACATGTCCAAATGTGTGCTTCCATTACTCCACAAGGAAGGCTGCAGCATGTCTGACAGAAATTGGAGACAAAATCGATGGCATGGATTACAGAAGTACATTGTGATTTGTGTGTGCAGCTCGAACACGAATCACTAATCCACCTCAGGACCAGAGCGTGATTAAGGGCACAAAAGCAGCCATGACCTGTGGCGTGACCCACGACCCCAGCGTTACGGTCAGGTACGGCCCTCCGACCCTTGACTAAATATCTGTTGTGTTTGTCTTTCTTTCATCTCCTTTTATCTGACACTCCATCTTTGTTCCTTGGCTTCCTGTCCTGTGTTCATTACACTCAGCCTCGTAAGACTTGATTTAACTGTCACCTGCTGGGCTGCTGTTATTCATTCGATCAGGAGGGAAACGGATGAATATGTAAACAAAGCAATAACTTAGATGGAGACTTTAATTAAACACAAGACAGATGAGATTAAATGGGGAAATGATGTGGCTGCAATTACAAAGTGCTGATGTGTATGTGCAAGTGCATGTATGAGCGTGGGCCAATTTGTTATTGTGCTTATAAGCGGCTGTGTTTATTCATCAAAGTGCTTCTATTGTGCTATTTTAAAGGCTGCTCATTTAGTTTCAGAGGTCTCCTGCTATGGGTTTGCATTTATCTGATGTCAAATTTAGTTATAATAAACATTGCAGCTTCTGCTCTTTTCTCTCAGAGTCTGAAATGGTTGTATTAAGGATTCATCTTTCTTAACTTAAAGTTTGCTCTGATCGGATAGGTACAGCATGTTTAGGAAACTAAACACAGTTATCAAAACTGAATTTGCTTAGCAATTGTACAGAAAAAAAAGGTGCCTAAAGCCTTGTAGCAATAGTAGTTTCCTTTTTTGGGGGCTCAAAATACCCCTGTAGGCAGATGACATCAACATGACATCATATTGACACTGTACCCCAACGTCATGAGGATGTTGGATTTTGTTAGGAAATGAAAATCGGGGTTGCCTTTAGCACTCAATGTCAGGCCGACGTCAATGTCCAACATCCAACCTAAAATCAGCATCTAATCACGTTACATCTTAACGTTGTGTGGACATTACCACTATGACATCTATCAGATGTTAAATTTTAGTCACTTTCCAGCACAACCTAAAATCAACCAAATATCAACATTATTTTACTTTATTTTACATCAAAATAACGTCCTTAGGCTTGACGTCATGACCTAATCTAACCTAATATTAATGTCTTATGATGTTGTGTGCCTGCTGGGACACTTATAGCGTGTTTTAGTACAGCAGAAAATGCTAGCACTCTTCTAAAAATGCATAGCTGTGAACTTTTTTATCAAACAGAGCATTTTAAATATGCTTAGGGCTCAGCACACTTATCTACACTTTTTTTAATGCAGCATTTATTGACAACAACAGAAAAAAACACTGTCAATTTAATTCAATTCATGTTTATTTATAAAACGTCACCAATTGGCTAAAGTGAAGGAAAAAGAAACGTTGAAAGAAACTAGGCTCAGTTGGGCATGACCATTTCTTCTCTGGCCAAACTTCCTGTGCAGAGCTGCAGACTTTCAGCTCAAGCAAAAAAAAAGAAAAAAAATATATATATAAAACTTTGCGCCCGTACTTTAAATAATATCTCACACAGCTCAAAACTGCTATCAGATCATGATGTAAATAAGTGTTGCACATTTTGTGATGGTAGAGCCAAACCTACCTGTTACTTCATTACTATTGATCAATTTTAGTTTGAGGTTTAGTTAGGCAAGCTTTTTAAATAATAAAAAAAAAAGATTTATATATTTCAGCATATTTAAAAATGTAAGATATATTTTTAATAAAGCAATATAAAATGTAGTTGACATTTGCAGAAAAATATTTCTTTAAACAAATTCCTACAATTTATTTTGCTCTAAAATTTTAAATATTTAAAATACGGTGTGTCACTAACCCCGCCTCTAATCATAGCCATCACTGAGAGTGACCAAATCACACCAAAACAGACAATTGACATATAAATTGCCACTTTAAAAGAAAAGAAAAGAAAATTAAAAATAAATAAAGTTACAAACTCTACTCTTGTGAGCTTGTGATGGAAGTCCCTGAATTTTGTTATGGTCTAAGTCAGGGATGGCCAAACTCAGTCCTTGAGAACTGGTGCCCTGCACAGTCTTGTCTTAATATGTCTTAATATAATTTTTTTTTTTTTTTTTGGAATTTTGTAAAGACATAATACCAAACAAATAGTTTGTGAGTATTGAAAAATACTTAAGTATCATCCCTTTTTCATAAGCACATAAAACAGCCCAGCAAGTGAACAGCTTTATTGTTGTTTTGAACAGGAAAATGTAAAGTTTGTTGTTTACAGGCACATCTGGGAGAAAGGGGGAGCAGTCATTGATGTGAAGTCGAGTCCCCGATTGCGCCTAGACTCCAACGGCACGCTTCATATCTCTCAGACGTGGTCGGGCGACATTGGCACCTACACCTGTCGGGTCACTTCAGTAGGGGGCAATGATACTCGTAATGCTCATCTGAGAGTCAGGTAGATGACAGCTACCCACTTTCTGTGACTATAGATTTACATTCAAGTGCTGGTTTTCAATAGATTTTGGACACAGTTTTGGATTGTATCTGTGTTTTTTTTGTTGACATTTAAAGATCTGAGGCAGTTGTTTTTTTGAGAATGCACAATGAATAGCAAACAAAGATCCAAACATCACTGTCCTTTTCTCTCCTTTTTATCAATGTTTCATTGTTTCAGGAACAGAAGTGCATTGAGTTTTATCTGCACGACAAATAACAGGGAAATTGGCAAAGCAGTTGTGGAAACATTTGTATAAACAAGAGAGACAATATTTATTATAAAAACTGTGTTTATCTCCCTCACAGCATCAGTTTGCTTTGCTTTATTGACAAGACAAAGCAATTGGACATTTGTGTTGGCAAATTGTTTGTGGCTTAGAAAAACACACTATGGGTTGTAAACATTAAGATTTATTTTTTGTTGCTTTTGTTGTCGTTGTTTTAAGAACTTTATTCTTCTCACCAATGTTGCATTTGTTTTTGTTTTTTTATCTTTTTATTAAAATACAGTCAAAACTGTAATGTTGTCAAACAAACATCAGTTGAAAATCATTGTTAGCAATGTAAATATATTTTAAAATGTCATTTATACCTATGATTATTACTCCATGATTTAGTTTTACCTGATCATTCAGACATTAGGACATTAGTCTAATATGGTGATGATTTGTATTGCAGCATTTAAATTATTAAAAATACAAATATTAATAATAATAATAATAATAATAATTATAATAATACACTCAATTAGTCAACCAATCAATCAACCAGCCAGCCAGCCAACCAACAATTCAATTCAATTCCATTCCATTCCATTCCATTCCATTCCATTCCATTCCATTCCATTAAATTCAATTCAATTCAATTCAATTCAATTCAACTCAATTCAATTCAATTCAATTCAATTCAATTCAATTCAATTCATTTATTTTTTTAGACTTAGTGCCTTTATTAATCTGGGATCATCACAGCAGAATGAACCCTCAACTTATCCAGCACGTTTTTACCCATTGGATAACCTTCCAGCTGCAACCGATCACTGAGAAACATTCATTCTCACACACACACTATGGACAATTTAGCCAACCCAATTCACTAGTACCGCATGTCTTTGGACTTGTGGGGGAAACCGGAGTACCCGGAGGAAACCCACGCGAACGCAGGGAGAACATGCAAACTCCACACAGAAACCCCAACTGAGCCGAGGCTCGAACCAGCAACCCAGCGACCTTCTTGATGTGAGGCGACAGCACTACCTACTGCGCCACTGCTTTACCCCAATTCAATTCAATTCAGTTAAATTCAATTCAATTCAATTCAATTCAATTCAATTTAATTCAATTCAATTCAATTTAGCCAGCCAGCCAGCAAACCAACCAACCAACCAACCAACCAACCAGTTCAATTCAATTCAATTGACCTTTCTCTAAGCCACACGCAAAAACCGCCATCCACCAATCGTGGCTTAGCAACTGTAGCTATGCGCAGGGGCTCGGTCAAGCTTTCGAGTGAGGGGAAACAGACCAAAGCGTTGTGCATAAAGATTATGCAAATCTTATTCCTGGTATCCTTAAAGTTTGAACGGAATGGTGGAATTGTGTGAGGGGCGCTAAAGGAGCGGAGTTAAGTTGGTTTTGTTTTGATATTCCTGACACTAATTTGTTATTATCAGATTATTTTTTAATTTCACCTCTCCTGCTGAGCAAGAGCAAAGCTGTTAAATGGTCAGCGTATGAGGCAGCTAGGCTAAGTTAACTTTAATTTTGATTTGGTTATTCTCTAATTAGTTGCCTATTATGTCGTGAATATTCCCCTGTAATGCATACTGCCGTCCTTTTTTGTCTGACTTTCTCAAGTATCTCACCTGTTCGCCAAAATTGACATTTTATCCCTGGCAATGTCTGACACTGGCGCATACACATTGTAAAAGCTGTACCAGGCACGAAAGCTTGACATGTGTAGCAACAGTAACTAAGTAGGGCAGGGCTTAGCGAAGGGTCAATTCAATTCAAATCAATCAGTCAATCAATAAATTAATCAACCAACCATCCAGCCAGCCAACCAACCAACTAGTTCAAATCAAATCAAATCAATGAACCAACAAGCAAACCAACCAACCAATACTATATTTTGCTACTGAACATCCAGTGCTGTTGTTAGGTATTCTACAGGAGAGGTAATGATTTTGCGTTTAACTGTATCATGCAGTGTAAATATTTGTGTACTTTTTATATGATTATTACTATTATTTGTCTTTATCTGACTGTAGGCAGTTGCCTCATGCTCCAGAGAACCTGATTGCAACCCTCAGTATCTCTGAGAGAAGAACCATCAACCTGACCTGGGCTCAGGCTTTCGACGGGAACAGCCCGCTCATCCGCTACATCCTGGAGGTGTCCGAAAACAGTAAGTTCACAGACCTGCTCTACTTTTCCTCTCATTGCTCATCGATTGAGCTATCATTGTCTCTTTTTTTTGGGGACAGATGCACCTTGGACTGTTCTCTTGGCCAACATAGAGCCAGAATCCATCAGTGTGATTGTCGGAGGCCTCATCCCGGCGCGCTCTTACCAGTTCCGTCTGTGTGCCGTCAATGATGTGGGCAAGGGTCAGTTCAGCAGGGAGACGGCACGGTGAGTTTGTGGGTTCAAAAACATGATACTGTGCTTACAATACATTTTCTGTCATTACATTTAAACATGAGTTCAGGCAGTATATATTACTGCACGTTCGTTTTAAATGCATAACTTTTGAAAAGTCAACCAACTTTCAGAGGACTTTTACTATTGAAAACATGCTACCGTGCTTCTTTAACAAGATATGCATGAGAATGGCCAAATTGTCCTATAAACACATTAGAGCAATCGAATTGCTTCTGATATGTGTTTGTTGTGTGGATGGAGTTCTTTTCAGGAACATAAATATGGATGAGAAACATTTCTATTTTAAAATGATTAAAATGAAAACCCACTTGAATGTAGCCTGAAGTTTAAAACATCATACAGATATATTTATTGTTAGAGAGAGTTATTGTTGATCTGCCACTGAAAAATCTATTCAAAGCGGAAAAAAAAGCATAGCTTGATTTTTCTGGTTTTTATGACAGCTTATTCAGGCTTAATAGAAACTGTCTCACTGACATTGAGGACAATCAATCACTGTTCAGTTTGTTATTATGGGCTGTTTAGAAGACAAGTTTATCCTTATTATTAGCATCAGAGCGATTGTGGCGCACTGTACTCAGGTGAAATTAAAATCACATGTATTTTGTACAATCCTGTGTGCAGGCTAAAACAGGGTGGGATTTAGACTGTACAAAAGGTGCATAAAACTAAATGTTAAAAAACGAAAAAAAAGTATATATATATATATATATATATATATATATATATATATATATATATATATATATATATATATATATATATATATATATATATATATATAGTTTATACATAGTTTATATATATATGTTGTTTGGGAAACGCACCCCAGATTGGATTAAGTTGCACTTGTTAGCTGTTAATTATTAAGTAAACAAGTTTCACGGGCATTTTTTTAAAGTAAAATCATCTTGTTGCTTGGGCAGCATGGTGGTTCAGTGGTTAACACTGTTGCCTCATAGCAAGAATGTCGCTGGTTCAAGTCCCAGCTGGGCTATTTCTGTGTGGTGTTTGCATGTTCTTCCCATGTCCGTGTAGGTTTCCACTGGGTGCTTCGGTTTCCTCCACAGTCCAAAGACATGCGCTATAGGGGAATTGGGTAAACAAAATTGACTGTTGTGTGTAAATGTAAAAGTGTATGGGTGTTTCCCAGCACTGGGTTGTGGCTGGAAGGGCTGCATAAAACATATGCTAAAATAGTTAGTGGTTTGTTTCGCTATGGTGACCCCTGATAATCAGGGACTAAGCTGAAGGAAAATGAATGAAAGATTGAACTTGCTACTTTTAAGGCATCGACTTAACTTCCTTTTTTAAAAATAAAGTAAACTAATCGTTTCTTACAGTGCAGACGGTCAGTGAACAATGTTTTCTGGGGTGTCCTGAGGACTAGCAAAGACGTGCCAAAGAAAATTGCATTTAAGCATTGAAAAGTCAGCCATAAAAGCCTGGCAAAAAGTGGCAAGACTTTCTTCTCGCAGACCTACGGCTCTTGTGAAGAAGAAGGTGGTGCATTATTCAGCTGAATCAGAGCCTGTAGTCTGCAGTGCTGTGAGGAAGGGAAACGTGCACCGAGAGATTTTTTAGCAGCTTTTGTACAACTCTCGGCGTAACTCTACTACAGCATTACAAAGAGCACCAAGCGACTCGCGCCTTCAAATGTGCCCAGATCCCACAGGAGCGTCTGTGACGTCTGTGAAGCACATTCACGTGCATCACATCCCGACTCAAAGATGCCCCAAAAACCGGGGAAATGCCAAACAACATTTCTGCATGAATATGATGTCTTTGCTCATTAATATTCATACGTGCTTGCGTCTTAAGGGATCCTGCTATGAATGAGGCAGCCGTTTACACATATTTGATAATCTCATAGAACAGTCACATTTGGAGTTTCTTTGGATCAGCTGGAAAATGTAGCGCGTATGCTGCATTACAGCGGGAGGCAGACTGATTGAAAATGGAAAAGTCAAGCTCAAATCAATGTTTGAGGATGAGATCTGAAAGCATGTGGGAAGTAAACATTCTTTGCCCATATGCAACATCCTGCGCATGCACAGCTGTGGCAAATCAATAATCTGCTGTCCAGGATACCAAAGTCCTCCACAGACTTAAAAGAAACACACCAGGAAAATATTAGAAAAAAAAAAGTGCATGTTGCTGATGCAATGCCCCGTCAATAGCTGACATCCCTGCGGGCAAAAATGAAAAAAAAAAACACACACACTATTATGAGAATGCCACATTGTTCTCAAACATTTAATAATAGTCGAGGTGGTGTCGAAGTTTACTCTGGGGATTTCGTCATTTGACACCTAATTTATCATGTCAGTTAGCATATGCAAAAATGCGGTCTGCTTAGCATAACGGGTTAGATCAAATAACTGTATGCTCAGTATTTTCCCCCAATGTTTGCCATTTATTTTAGGGATATATCTTTCTCTGAGTGCTAACTTTGATGCCACATCTAAGATCAGTGTATAGTTATGTAACATGTACATTATTGATCAACAGTTTTGGATAAGGAAGATTTTTTAAGGACAGTCTCAACAGGAATCACAGCAAATGTGGAGGCTCTAGCAAAATCACTTTCATGCTAATAACTTTTGAACATTAAGCTAGAAAGCTGATTTCTTGGATTGAGGGCATTTAATTATACTTTGATTACAATTTTATCAACCTAGTGGATAAGTAAAATAATAACAGTAAAAGATTCAACAAATAGCAGACACAAGGCTGTATCTTCATGTGATAGTCCTGCAATAGTCAATTCAGATCAAATTCTGTGTCTGTGTGTTCACAACCCATGACATGAGGTGTCTTGGCCAGGAGATATTAAAATATTTCTGCCGATAACTTCCAAATGGTTTGGCTAATTGTTATGAAACCAGTCGTTTTAGGTTCAGAGTGGTATAAAAGTCATAGCTGTTTTGGCTGTTAGCCATTTTGAATTTTGTCAGAAATGCTATATTATTTGAGAGCCTGGGATAGGTCATAAGTGTCAATTTTTGGAAATAGAGATTTATACATACAGTCCAAAATTATCCAAAATCATTCATACCTCTGGCAAAATCTGCTTTAAAGTTACATTCATCCAAGCAGCAAGTATTTACTTTGCAAGTACATGTCAACTTACACTAACCCTAACCCCCACACTAACCCCAACCTAACAGACTACAAAAATCTAATGAGAATTAGTTGGCATGTAAATGAAATGTAACTTAAATTTAGCGAATGGACCCTCATTTTTCTCTTAGCTTTTATTTACCTTTGAACTAAAACTTTTCGCCATAATTTGCCAAGGGTATGCATATTAAATGGCTTGACTTAAATATCACCAATATTTGGCAGAGATAACTATCTGAAAATATTTGAAAATCTGGGATCTGAGTGTTCAAATAAATTCAAATATTAAAAGAAATGCCTTTAAAGTTGTCCCAGTTCTTAGCAATAAATTTTACTTAACAAAGAAAATTCTAATAATTTTGATATACTTATGGAAAGATATGTGCAAAATGGCTTAATGGAAGATGATTACAATATGCAAAACATGGGGTCTGCTTAGCATAACAAGTTGATGAAAATAACTAGATGCTTTGTTTGCCTTCAATGGCAGCCATTTATTTATAAATTTAGAGTGCTAACTTTGATATCACATCTAAAATTTGTGTATAGTTATGTAGTTAAGTCCCAAACTTGCACTTTTATTTATCCTAATAATTTTTGTAGCTTAAGCTAAAGTTTTTCCACTTGGCTTGAGGTTTTTTCATTACACATCGTATCTTTCTAGATCATTTGTCCAATTTACAGAAAAATCTAATCAGCCTCGTGAATTAAACATATTCACACCAAACTCTGACCTGACAACCATGACCTAGGGTACACAGTGTTAGTGGTCAGGAAATAAAAAAATAATTGCTATGTTTACTTATTAACTTACTGTACAAGTATCTCAACGCCCGTGTCATTTATGAATTCCTGTTCTGTAATCTGAACAGGGCTTTACTCTGATCACTCTTTTTTTAACAGTGCCACCTTTTTTCCCAGATTAAAAACACACAGTAATATTACTAGTTATTGTATGCCTTTAGACTAAAACATTGCACAACATTGACATAAACATCATAACAACAAATGTGTGTGTTTTTTAATGATACTTTCATTAGAATATTCTAAATATTTTTGGTTACAAAGTTTAACCCACTATTTTTTGTCAGTTTGACTTTGACGAATAGAGATATCTCATTCAAAAAAAAAAAAAAAAAAACTTTTAGGTGGCAAGCATTTTTACAGTGTGTGTGTCATTAAATTTGTTTGACAGTTTGTGGCATTTATTGGTTACCAAAATAGTTTTTGGTTGTTCGTACAACACATATTTGAACAAAAGACAGAAAAAAGCAATACTGTGAAATGTTAGTATATTTCAAAATAACAGTTTGCTATGTATGCATTTCATTCAGCTTACTTATCAGGAATCGCCACAGCGGAATGAACCACCAACTTTTCCAACATAAGTTTTACACAGTGCATGCCCTTCCAGCCACTGAATACAATCTCTCATTCACACACACACACACACACATTTACTACTGGCAATTGTGTTTACCCAATTCACATATAGCGTATGTCATTGGACTGTGGGGGAAATCAAAGCACTCTGAGAAAACCCACACAAACACGGGGAAATCATGCAAACTCCACACAGAAATGCCAACTGCCCAGCTAGGACACAAACCAGTGACTGTTTTGCTGTGAGGCAACAGTGCTAACCACTGAGCCATCGTGCTATTTATTTAGTAATGTTTAACTGTGGTTCAAAGTAAATTTAAGCATCATCACTCCAGTCTTCCATATTGCCTGAACTTAATCACCCTAATCTGCTAATCTGATTTTCAAGAAGCATTTCTTACCATCATAAATGCTAGCACAGATGTGCTGCTTAATGTTTTAGTAGAAATATGTATTCCTTATTGAATGGAAAGATCAAAAGGACAGCACTTATTCTGTATAAAAGCATTGACATAATTTCCATTCATTCCAGCAATTTCTGTCTTTTCATCAAAAAGTCTTTGTTCAGTGAAGAAATCTAAACCAACAGCATATTTTCCCCAGCGGTTCTCGACAAATGAGCATCTTTTATGTGTTTCATATACAGTATATATAAATATATAAATTATTGAATTGATTTAAAGTGAGCACATTTGAGCAGAGATGGTGTATTAAAATGAAAAAAAAAAAAACTATCTGAGTGAGCAGCTGCAATCGAGACAAATGCGAACGCTAACATCGATTATAAACCTCCTTGATTCTGTCAAAGTTGCGCTCTGATGCAAAGCATTCCCACAGTCTCGCCACTAGATCTATTCTCTTAAATAACAACTTCCTCTCGTTTTGCATCTAGCGCTCGCTCAGATCAGAAGCCATTCTCTGTCGGCACACGTTCAGACGGGGAACCCGCAGAGATGGAGGTGACAGAACGCCACTGTGCCGCTCAAGGATCCGTGCCTCTTTCTTTGATCCTAAAACACTGCGCTTTATCTCCGCCACAGAACTGCAGCTCTCACGAAGGAGATATCAAGATGTCAAGTTAAATAGATTTAAGAAGAATCTCGCTTTTTTTTTTACTTTGTGGCATTAGCCAATTTTGGCTGTGGCATCTTTGATCATCTTTACTCCTAAAGAAAGAAAGCACATTCTTGAGGGCCTCTGTTCAAAATGCAGCCAGTGTTCAGACGGATTGGATGGAGAATCAATACTTTTTTTTTTTATTGTACTTCATTGGCAGTTCAATATAATAAACCTGAGGAGAAAGTGAGCACATGTGTGTCACAAATGCTTACTGTGATAGTTTAATAAATGACCCGAATGCTGGATTACTGGTTCCGCTATTCAACTGATTTGCTCAAAAACACCCATTCCTGAAGGAAACATTGCATTTTTGAGCTGGGAAAAAAACTAAAGTTTTGATACAACTTTGTTTCCTGTTGGTGGGACTTTTAATATTGTTAAACAATGGTTGGTATGTATATTATATAAGTAGCATACATAGCACATTTCTAGAAAAAAAAACACATTGGACCCAATTCTGTAGATTTGCTATTGTGTTCACACTTTGTAAACAGCACTCTTATTTGTGTGATCTCATTATCTATGATATATATTTTTACACACTCTTTCACACACATACACTACAGCCATTTTAGTTTATTCAATTAACCTATAGCGCATGTCTTTGGACTGTGGGGGAAACCAGAGCACCTGCAGGAAACTCATGTGAACACAGGGAGAGCATTTAAACTCCACACAGAAATGCCAACTGAACCAGCTGGGCTCGAACCAGCAACCTTCTTGCTGTGATGCAATCGTGCTACCCACTGTACCACTATGATGCCCTATGATATTAATATGGATGATTAATATAACACGGTCAAGTTTAAGTTACTTTATATTCATTCATGTTCATTTTTAGAGCACATTTAAAAACAGTCTCAAGACCAAAGTGCTGTACATAAGACAAAGTCAAATAAAAACACAGAATATAAAAACATAAAATAAACAAGAGAAATTACTAAAACAATGTTATAGTAGAAAGGGCTATTAAAATAATATTTAAAAGCCAAGCTAAATGGGTAAGTTTTTAGGAGTGATTTAAAACTAGACAGAGATGGAGCCATTCTAATCTCAAGGGGCAAAGTATTCTATAACCGAGGACCCGCCACAGACAAAGCTTTGTCCCCACTACGTTTCAGTCTGGATAGAGGAACTAAAATATTTTAATCAATGGATCTAAGAGATCTTACAGGAGTGTAAAAGTGTAACAGCTCCACCTACTTCCAACACATTCATAATTTGAGCTAGACATTTTTCTTTGGGTTGATTTATTTTGCTGTGGTGACCCCTAATGATCTTTACAGGATACAGGATCTTTTCTTTATTTTGCTTGCTCAAAATCCAAAATCAACTGTGTTTTTTTCCAGGGTAATTAATATTCTAGACGTATTTCTTATTGTTTATTTGGTGAATAAAAGCAGTTTTTAATTTAAATAAAAACAAGGTCAGTATAAATAGCCCCCTTAAGAAATATTTACTGAATATTTTTGATGTACACAACAAATCAGTTACAAAATACTTTGACTGATTATTTTAACTTTCGTACATAACTGATCAAGTCTTAAAATTACACTTTAATCTGAATAAAAGACTATAAAATACTTAAAGGGACTTTGTCTGAATACAACTGTCTTGCAAAATATCTAGTAAAATGTTATGCACTAACTGTCACTATGGGGTAGATAAAAAAGAAGATATTAGAAATTAGTTAGTTAAAATTATGTTTAAAAATGTATTGTAAATAAATCATGTGTTTAGGACGGAAATCAAAAATGAATGAAGGCAAAAGTTGAATATGACTTACATGAGCGTGACTGAAAACTACATTTGATCAATGTTACATTTTACATCTGTTCTTTGGTACTTGCAGATTGTTTGTAAATTCAAGACTGCATTTCCTAATGTAAAACTATGTACACTAGATTTCGGATTAATAATGGTCTCTGCATAGCCGAGGACTTCCTATATTAAAGTGCAAAATCACTATTGAAAACAGAAGTCTAATATCATCAACAGTGGACATTTTGATAGTGTTTCACAACATGAACATGACTGAAGTTTAATCTTTTTATTACCCGTGTCAATTTAGGCATCAACTTCTGACGAAAGCGGGGAACTGATGCGCGCAGCACCGTCACAGAGAGAGCAAGTGCCGCGAAAGCCGAGGAAGCATGTACCCACGGGAGCGAATGCACTTGACACTTAGAGCACGCGAGAGAGGCATTCCTTTGCCTTTTTGAGCCCTCAAATGTGTCATTAAGTTTGACATGTTTCCCCCTTACACGCAACTTTTGTAAAGCACATTGCTGTGTCATCCTTGCTTGTAAAATACGCTTTAGAATGCTTAGTTTAAACAAATTTGATGAACGCGATCATGCCTGTTGATCTGAAGAAGTTTACTCTCGCTCACCGAAAACCAGGCTGAATGCGCTGCATAGCGACAATAACAAATGCCTGACATCGCCTGTCCGTATTCCTCAAAGTTGTTTAGAATGAAATTTTTAGAGATGCCTTTGATACATCGCTTTTCATTTTCTTACGTCCTTGTCGCAGCACCAGTGGCACTGAAATTAGGCACCAAAAATCATTTGCTGATTTGATTCGGTACATACTGGTTACAAAGGTACCGGTGCTATAATGACACCAGGTTTCGGAACCCAACCCTAATTATAAATATTGAGCAAGAGTCATTTAAGGTTGAAGTCAGCCACGCAACATGAGTCCTTGTAATTGAGTTTAGATAAAGTGTCGGTGCATAAGAGGGAAGAGTGTTTCTACAGGTGGTTTGTCAAGCCCACTCACCTAAATAAAGCACAATTTGAAATGCACACTGTTTCCAAGAGACTTTAAGAAAGTGTCTATAGTGCATTTGTGCAACCTGGTGCAAGAGTCAGAGACGAGAAGGTGTCCTTCTACAGGTGGTTTGTTATGTCACCTGTATGGGACATACTCAGTAAATACAGTAAATAGTAAATACAGGTAATGGTAAAGTACTAATCTTGTCCAGAGACTGTCGGAAGTATGCGTAAGCAGATTGTTTTAGTTGTAAAAAAAAACTCATGTGGTTTAATTTGTTCAAATAGCCCCAAAAGACTTTACTGCATTGTGCCAAAACACATTATTATAAACACAGTCAACATCCACATACTGCTCTGTACACTCACTACCTTTTTCGCTTACTTTTTACCGAGAGACTTATCAAACAGACTTGCCCAGCAACTTGCCCAGCAGACCAAAGAGAGCAGGGTTAGTAAATTGAATCGAGAGGTTTACAGACCTTAAGCTTTTCATTAAAAATGATTGTAAAATTTATTGTAATGTATGACCCTGGACCACAAACTAGGACCAAATTTGGCTGAAATTTATTTATTTATTTAATTTAATTTTTTTAAATAAACATGGCATCTGAAGGTAAAAAATTATTAGAGTTTGTATTTTTTTCCCTTGTTCACGTGGGTTTAGGTGAATTAAATAAACTAAATTGTCCATAGTGTGTGTGTGTGGGTGGGTGGGTGAATGTTTCCCAATACTGTGTTGCGGCTGGAAGGGCATCCGTTGCTTAAAACATATGCTGGAATAGTTAATGGTTCATTCCGCTATGGCAACCTCTGAAATAAAGACTAAGCTGAAAGAAATTAAATGAATGCATGAAATTCTATGGTAGGAAATTAGCAAAATGTGTTTATGGAACACCTACTACTGTAGTATTTTTGACATAAAAAGAAAATCTATCATTTTGACCCATACACCTATGTATTTATGGCTTTGGTCACAAATTTCCCCCATCAATTTGAGATGTTTTTGTGGTCAAGGGTCACATATTATGTTCATATTCTGAGAAAATCACAGTGTTTTCTGACCTTAGATGCATTCAAACCTGTTGTAGGAAACTGCAACACAATATGAGAATATTTTAAAATGCCATGATCTGACCTGCTTTTTAATAGCAATTATGTGTCATACAAGCGCTGATGTAAAGCAAGCTAAAAGAAGATGGAATCAATGAAATCTGAACACAAATGGACAATAGAGATGCATTTGAATGAACAACAATCCCAGATGGAAACAGAGCCAGTGATACTAAAATAACCCCAAGACATGTGGCCAGTCCATTTTCCCTTTTAATCTCTTTCTTCCATCTCTGTTTTTAGAGTATCGTTACCCGAGGAGCCCCCCAGCGCCCCTCCACAGACAGTGATCGCCAGTGGCCGAACCAACCAGTCTATCATGATCCAGTGGCAGCCGCCTCCCGAGAGCCACCAGAATGGCCCGCTTCAAGGCTACATCATCAGGTCAGACACTTTCCATCAGCAGCGCCTCATCTTCTGGTCCCGCCGGAACCCCTCAGTAGTGTCCACTCAGCGAAGATCTGCTATTTTTGAGTTTTCAAAATCATGATGCTTTTTCCATGTCACATGTTGCTTCTCGTCATGACACTCAGGTACTGTCTGTCTGGATTACCTGTGGACTGTCAGATGAAGAACATCACCAATCCAGACCAAACCAATCTTCTGCTTGAGGACCTCATCATTTGGACCAACTATGAGATCGAGGTGGCTGCTTATAACGGAGCAGGACAAGGCGTTTACAGTCCCAAAGTCACCGAATGGACACTACAAGGGGGTGAGGAATTTGAATATATCCAATCAACTTATTTATTGTCTAGTTTAAATTTAGTCAGGATCACTTTCGTCGAATATATACATTTGAAGTCAAGTCATATATATATGGGGGTGTCATAATTTTTTTTTGTTCACAAATTGATTTTAAGTTTCTGTAAATGCCAAAGACATGAGGCCATATACAAGTATACCATATACTTGGTTAATACATACTGTATGAACTGATATCAGAAATGACCTAAGAGGAGTTGGAAATAGAAGAGGGTGCGCAAAATTGTTCAAGCAGCCAAGCTGACAAGAGATCACATGTATGAGTTAATTAGACCGCTGTGTTAGATGTCAGAATTGGATTGGTATGTGTTATGAACAGATGACTATCAGCTGATTCAAGTTTGAGTAGTTTGTCCGCCTGAACTAATGCTAAGCTCCACAATAACAATTTCTTTGTGTTAATTAAAATAAGGTTTAATATTAAAGAAAATAAAATTATCTATTTTAGGATTGCTATGCCTCTTTTTTCCCAAGAATTGTTGGATCATCATCATTATATTTTGTGCAAAAGATTCAAAAAGGTTTCCAAAGGTTTCATTAATGTTAATTTATTTATAATAGTATACAGTATTTACTAACAAGAACTAATAATGAACAATACTTGTACATCATTTGTTATGCATAATTCAACATTTACTAATATATTATTAAAATACAAATGTATGTTTGTTAATATTAGTTAATGCACTGTATGTAAACATGAACTAACAATGAAAAACTTTATTTTGTTAACAAACAAAGGTGAATAAACACTATAATAAATGTATTGCTGTTTGTTCCTGTTAGTTAATACATTAAAAATGGAATCTTATTGAAAGCATAGCTTTACTGTATACCATAGGTGTAAAGTAACTAATTACAAATACTCAAACTACTGTAATTGAGTAGTTTTACTCAGAAATTGTAATTCAATAAGTAGTTTTAAAAATGTGTGCCTTTACGTTCCATTAAGTACTTTTTTAGTGCAGTAACGGTGCTTTTACTCTACTACTTTCCTTCAACCTGCAGTCACTACATTATTTGTTCCCCTTCGGGGGGAACTTCAGCACTATAAGTGGATTTGATTGTAAAATCCACGCATTGGGAGGTTCGGTTCAGAAGCTACTCGTCTGAAAGAGTATTGAACGGGCCAATTAAGAATGAATTGGCAGCGCAAGCCTGCGCAGGTGAGCGGCATAAGCAATCAACTGAGTATATAAGCTCACCTGGCGCCAGCAGACACTATCCTTTTCGCTTCAGAGACTTTCTGATCGAGTCGATGAGGGTTCCTCCTGCTGTGACCAGCGATTCTGAGCGAACGAGAGCATTCTCCCGGTCCAGAGTGTGTACACGCAGTGGCAGACGGTCGAGCTGGGTTTCTCCCTTGCCTGGCGTTCTTTGGGTCCGGTCCTCCAGAGCGGTGCGTATAAAGTTGCAAACTTCACAGAAAGAGCAACACAGTCGTGCAGCACGTCCTTATCAGGACGCCGCTCCGACTGTGCGTTTCTGGATGCGGTGGTTTCCTGTCCTCGGATGATGGGCGCGGGCACTGCGTTACATGTCTGGGGGTCCAGCATGTTAATGCGCTGCTCGCGGGCAGTTCATGTCGTCATTGCGGTGCCATGACTGTTGCGCAAGATCGCGGTTAGCCTTTGCAAAAGGGCGAACCACCCCAGTTGTCCCCTGCTCTGCAGCGGGCACTCGGGCAGATCTGAGGGTTTCAGCGAGAGATAATCCGTCGCCCACGGGCCCGCGGACCTCCCGCTCCTCTAAGCGCTCCATCCAAGCTTCGGGCGGGGGAAGCGATCCGTCTAACAGATGGTAGCCCTTACGCCCGATGACACCGGAGACCAGATGTCCACCGCGGCATCGGAGGGTGGGCTTTCATTGTCCGATGATGATCCAGACCCGCTCGCCCCCTTCGGGCTGGTGAGCGCTGTCACTACGGATCCTGAAACGGACATGTTAGCCGTGCTTTCCCGGGCTGCTTCGGCCGTGGGTTGGAGATGGTTTATCCCCCAGCTCCGCGGCCGGACCGACTAGAGGGGCGTTCCCTTCTTCCCGGAGGTGCACAGTAGGCTCACGCGGTCTTGTAAAGCACTTTTTTCTGCTCGTGCTGCGTGTTCCTCCACCCTAACCACTCTTGACGGTGAAACAGCCAGGGGGTATGTGGCGATTCCTCAGGTTGAGTGCGCGATGGCGGTAAATCCGCGCGGCGCCTCTTCTTGGCGGGTTCGCCTCGTCTCCCATCCAAAGCCTGTAAGTTATCTACCTCCCTCGGAGCTAGAGCTTACATAGCTGCGGGCCAGGCTGCTTCCGCCTTGCATGCGATAGCCACCTACCAGCGCTACCAAGCGCAGGCGCTGGCCGAGCTGCACGAGGGTGGGTCCAACCCAGGCTTACGAGCTTCGCACCGCCGCCGACTTAGCTCTTCGGACTACTGAGTCCGCTGCGTGTGCGTTGGGGAGGACGATGTCCACATTAGTGGTCCAGGAGCGCCACCCCTGGCTGATATGCGCAAAGTCGACAAAGTCCGCTTTCTTGACTTCCCCATATCCCCAGCCAGGTTCGGCGACACTGTCTGTGAATTCACCCAGGAATTCAAGGCGGTGAGAGAGCAGTTGGTGGGTGATGTCTTATCGGCGGTCCGTAGCCCGCTCCGCCCGCCGTGCCATTCATACCTGCTCCTCGCCGAAGGCGCCCGCCTACGAGAGCTGCTCCGCCCCCGCACACGCCTTCGGCGAAGCGAGCGCGTCGGGCACCTCGGAAGCAGGCAGCCCCCCTGCCCAGAACGCCGCTAAGTCCGGCAACGGACCGCGAAGCGCCCCTGGGACAGGCCATCTGGAGAAGAGGGAACTTGCTCTTTCCCCGCTGGAGGGCGGGGCCCCATTTCCAACGGCACTTTTTACTGCCATGAAAACATTATGAAAGGGCACTTTTCACTTCCCCAGATGTGACAGCCCGAAATCTGCCAGTCTGGGACGCTATGCTTTCTAGCTTGCAGATTCGGTGCGTTTCGCCAGTGGCTCACGAGCGCTGGGAGGACGGTCTCCTTTCTCCCACCCCTCGAGCCTCCCCTCCGGAGCTCGGGTTTGGAGTGAGAGCAAATATCTCACCTCCAGCTTTTCCGTGGGACCCGCGAGCTTCCCGGATCAGCACACCCACTCCGCGCTGCCCCACTGCTGGTACGTCAGCGATTGTAGCGATGAGTCCATTAGCGAGAGCTCTGCCTGCCTGGTTAGCGCGGGCCAGCTCTTCGCGGTGGCTCATACGCACAATCAGACTCGGCTATGCGATTCAGTTCGCGAAACGGCCCCCCAAGTCACGGGTGTGTATTCACCAGGGTCAGCCCCCTGTCCGCCCCTGTCTTGCGAGAGGAGATTGCTGTCCTCCTGGCGAAGGATGCAATCGAGCCGCTCCCTCCAGCCGAGATGGAGAGCGGGTTTTACAGCCCACGCTTCATCGTGCCCAAAAAGAGCGGTGGATTACGGCCAATCCTAGATCTGCGCGTTTTGAACCGCTGCCTGCACAAGCTGCCGTTCAGAATGCTCACGCAGAAGCGCATCATCCGGTGCGTTCGTCCTCTGGGTTGGTCTGCAGCATTAGACCTGATGGACGCGTATTTCCATGTCTCCACTCTTCCTCGCCACCGACAGTTTCTGCGGTTTGCGTTTGAAGGTCGAGCTTGGCAATACAAAGCCCTCCCCTTCGGGCTCTCTCTGTCTCCGCGGGTCCTCACCAAGCCCGCGGAGGGTGCCTCAGCGCCCCTTCGGCTCGCGGGCATCTGCATACTCAATTTCTTACGACTGGCTGAATTTGCCCTCTCTTTGATTATGCACAGAGTTGATTATGCACAGAGACAAAGTGCTCTGGCACTTCCACCTGTGGGGGTTTCAGGTCAACCGAGAAAAGAGCAAACTCGCCCCCGTGCAGAGGATCTCTTCTCTCGGGCTGGAGCTGGACTCGGTCACCATGGCAGCGCGCCTCTCCGGAGAGCGCGCTCAGCTGATGCTGTACTGTCTGAGAGAGCTCGACAGTAAAATAGTGGTCCCACTGAAACTATTTCAGAGGCTCCTGGGGCATATGGCATCCGCAGCCGCTTCATGCCGCTCGGATTATTCTATATGAGACCACTTCAGCACTGGCTTCACGATCGAGTCCCCAGACGCGCATGGCACGCGCGCGCACACCGAGTCTCTGTTACTGTGCTGTGTCGCCGCGCCCTCAGCCCTTGGAGCGACCCCTCGTTCCTACAGGCCTGGGTGTCTCTAGAACAGGCGTCCAGTCTTGTTGTCGTTTCAGCAGACGCTTCCAACACGGGCTGGGGGGCTGTGCGTTGCGGGCATGCGGCTGCGGACCTGTGGAAAGGTACCCAGTTGCATTGGCATATCGCTTGGAGCTGTTGGCAGTGTTCCTCGCTCTCCACCGTTTTTTTCCGGTGCTGGAGCGGCAACACGTGCTGGTCAGGACGGACAGTACGGCGGCGGTGGCGTATATCAGCCGTATAGGGGGTATGCGCTCTCGCCGCATGTCTCAGCTCGCCCGCCGTCTGCTCCTCTGGAGTCATCCGCGGCTGAAATCGCTGCACGCCATTCATATTCAGGCAAGCTCAACCGTGCAGCCGATGCGCTCTCACGGCAGCCTTGCGTCCTGGAGCATGGAGACTCCACCCCGAGTCTGTTCAGCTGATATGGGCGCGATTCGGGGAAGCCCAGATCGATCTGTTGCTTCCCCCGAGATCGCTCATTGCCAGTTGTTCTTTCCCTGACCGAGCGCTCTCGGCACGGATGCACTGGCTTACAGCTGGCCTCGGGGCACGCGCAATACGCGTTTCCCCCAGTGAGCCTGCTCGCGCAGTTACTGTGCATGGTCAGGGAGGACGAGGAACAGGTTGCTGGTTGCGCCCCTCTGGCTCAACCGGACCTGGATGTCAGAGCTCTCCCTCGCGATAGCCCTCCCCTGGCAGTCCCTTCGAGAGAGCACCTACTCTCTCAGGGACAGGGCACCACCTGGCACCCTCGCCGATCTTTGGAGATTTTAGACGCGAGGAAGACTTAGGTAACCTCCGATTGCGGTGGCTAATACCGTCACTCGGGCTAGAGCCCCCTCCCCGAGCGCGCCTATGCCCTGACGTGAAGTCTATTCACTGAATGGTGTGTCTCTCGCTGAGAAGACCCCCGTAATTTGCCAGATCAGCGTTGTGCTTTCTTTACGCCGAGAGAAGCTGGAGAGCAGGCTGTCGCCCTCCACACTCAAGGTTACGTGGCTGCCATCTCCGCTCTCATAACGCGGTGGCTGGCAGCACCGTGGGAACGCATAACCTCATCATCCGGTTCCTCAGGGGCGTTAAGCGAATTAATCCACCCCGCCCCCTCTCATGCCCTCTTAGGATCTCGCCCTCGCTACACAAGCCGCGTCAGATCCCTTCGATCCTCGACTCAGTATCTTTCTGTCCCTGAAGACAGCTCTGCTGGTCGCGTTGATATCGATTAGAGGGTCGGGGACCCGGAGGCATTTTTCGGTCAGTGACTCGTGCCTGTAATTGGGCTGGCTTCTCTCACGTATGAGACCCCGCCCGCGATATGTGCCCAAGGTTCCTACCACTCCGTTTTAATACGAGGTAGTGAGCCTGCAAGCGCTGCCCTCGGAGGAGGCAGACCCAGCCCTTATTTATTGTCCAGTTCGCGTTTTGCGTATTATCCGGACCGCACTCAGAGTTTAGATCATCTGAGCAGCTCTTCGTCTGTTATAGCGGTCGGCAGCAGGGAAGTGCCGTACCGAAATAAGTTCCCACTAGATTGTGGATGCCTTCTTTCACTATCAGAGCCGAGATGAGCCGCGTCCCCCGAGAGCGCGTGCGCACTCCACTCGGAGCTTCGCATCCTCTCGAGCGCACGCACGCGGCGCCCCTCTAACAGACATCTGTAGAGCTGCGGGCTGGGTGACACCCAACACATTTGCAAGGTTTTACAATCTGCGAGTGGAGCCGGTTTCCTCAAGGGTATTAGGTAACCCTTGGTGATTGAGGAAACAATTCGGTAGGGTGTTGAAACACGCTTGCTGCGTCATTTTCCCTAACACGGAGATACGTGCGCCTTTTTATCTGTCAGTAAAGTTCCCCGTCAGGTGAGCCCTGCAGATTCCTCCGTGGCCCCCAGCACTGACTCAGCGGAGGAGTCACTTGCTGGCCCACTACGTTGTAGGTCTGCCCGCTGGTCAGCCCGCGTTTTGGGTAAAGGTGCCTGCTATGCGTGGTCCCCACTAGGCGATCCCATATGCTTATTCAGCCACGGTTAAGTCCCCCCCCTGGGCGGACCCGTGTCTTCCCTCCCCGCTAACCACTCCTTTGCTATGCGTACTCCCCCTTTTTAGGGCTAGTCCATATGTAAATTCTGCCATCTATCCCCCCTTGGGTAACGGATGGCCTCCGCAGCGTCCTCCCTATCGGGATTGCACGCTTCCCAACGTACTGTCGTATTTTCCTAGAATTATCTAGATGCTCACGACTTCCCAAAAAATATATATAAATCCGTAAAACTTCTGTTGAAGTAGGATAAATTAGGGCCAGGGACACGTTGGAGGACCGCGCCCCCCATGATGTGGGTGCGTCACGCTTGCTTGACTATCTCCTCATCGGGGGTGTTGGTAAGGTGCAGTCATTATGGCGCTTTCAATGGGCTCCCAATGCGTGGATTTTACAATCAAATCCACTTATAGTGCTGAAGTTCCCCCCGAAGGGGAACGTTCGAGGTTACTAAAGTAACCCTTCGTTCCCCGAGGAGGGGAACGGAAGCACTATACTCCGTCGCCATAATGACTGTCCCTTAGCTGTTGAAAGTCTCTTCAGCTTAAAAAGGATAGTGTCTGCTGGCGCCAGGTGAGCTTATATACTCAGTTGATTGCTTATGCCGCTCACCTGCGCAGGCTTGCGCTGCCAATTCATTCTTAATTGGCCCGTTCAATACTCTTTCAGACGAGTAGCTTCTGAACCGAACCTCCCAATGCGTGGATTTTACAATCAAATCCACTTATAGTGCTTCCGTTCCCCTCCTCGGGGAACGAAGGGTTACTTTAGTAACCTCGAACGTTCTTGTCTATGGAGATTAGAAAAATCAGACCTGCAATTCCTGTCCAATGAAATCTCATCATAAGGAACTACCTCAAGACATAGGCAATTCATAATTGCAGCAAACTGTTTGGAAGCATTCAATGTCCAAAATATTTACACGCATTGACCCAGAGCCTGTTTAGATGCATGTCACTGAAGAGAGATGAGGTATGTTTACTGTATGATGACCGAAATGGTCTTAAATACCCAGGAGGCACAAGACGTCAACATTACATGTAACCCAACATCATAGGAACATTGCATTTTGTTTTGAAATTAAAATCAGGTTGATGTCAGAACTCAACGTCAGGCCAACGTCAATGTCCAACGTCCAACCTAAAACCAACCAAATTTCAACGTCTAATGATGTTACAGCTTGACATTGTGTGGATGTCACCACGATGACATCTATTATGCATTGGATTTTGGTTGCCAACGAATAAATTTCAGTTCTTGACATCCAATTTGATGTTGATGTTGATATTGGCTCGACAATGGATTTTGAACTAAACTTGAGTACTTTTGAAAGAGCTACTTTTCACTCATACTCATAACAGATACTTTTACTCTACTGGCACTACATTTTTAGGCAAGTTATGGTACTTTAACTTGATTATGATTTTTCAGTACTCTTTCCACCACTGCTGTATCCTAAATGCTGGGTTCCACGTGATTCCGTCATGTTGTCCCAACACAAATCGGTTAAGTTGACGTAATCATTTTTATAAATTAAAGTGGATTAAATATAACACAATTAAGTTGTCCCAAAAAAACCTCAATAATTGTGTAATTTCAACTCATTTTACTCATTTTGAGTGTAGGTTATTTATTCATTCATTATTCATTCATTTTCTTTTCTGCTTAGTCCCTTTATTAATCTGGGATCGCCACAGCGGAATGAACCGTCAACTTATCTAGCACGTTTTTACGCAGTGGATGCCCTTACAGTCGCAACCCATCTCTGGGAAACATCCATACACACTCATTCACACTCATACACTATGGACAATTTAGCCTACCCAATTCACCTGCACCGCATGTCTTTGGACTGTGGGGAAAACCTGAGCAATATTTCAACATATTTTATTAAATTGATATATACAAGGTTATGTAATATAATTATACAGATTTTAAAACTTGGATATGGAGCTTTAGGTTTGACCAAAATCACCTATTTAAACTACCCTAACTTACTGCTAGATCACTTTTTTATCTAAGATAACACTTTATATAACAAGACCAATTAATTGTACCCACACAAAGAAAAAAGTGTTTTGTTTTCAATCACTGTCTATTCTCTGATTTCCCTCTCCATCTCACTTCATTAAATCTTCTCTTTTTTTCAGTGCCTACGGTGCCACCAGGGAACGTCCAGGCGGAGGCTGTCAACTCCACCACAGTCCGCTTCACATGGAGTGCCCCAAGTCCACAGTTCATCAACGGCATCAACCAGGGATACAAGGTGAGAGCGTCTACCTACTGTCCTCTAGTGGCCAATCGCAGGACTGCGGGGGCTCTTGTTATAATAACGGTTTCATTAAATCCAATATCTGTCATGCTGAGACAGCAGCAGGATTCACATTGGCTTGTGCTAAGCGATAGTGGTCACATCTGTCCCCCCTTTTTTTTTCTTCACTTTAGCTGTTGGCATGGGAACCAGGCCATGAGGAAGATGTTACCTTGGTAACCGTGAGGCCCAATTTTCAAGACAGTGTTCATGTGGGTTACATCAGTGGGCTGAAGAAGTTCACCGAGTACTTCACCTGTGTGCTGTGCTTCACTACACCGGGAGATGGCCCTCGCAGCACCGCACAGCGCATACGCACACATGAGGACAGTAAGTGACCCTTTATCAGACTAGAGCACCCCTGACATCAGACTTTTTTTCAGATGACAAGGGTTTTTCCAAAGAAGTAGTTTCATCTTCAGAAGTGGTCATAGTTTGATAAACTTCTGTATTGGTCAATGGAAAGTGTAAGAAATATAAATGTTGCATTCACAATCAGGGATGGGTGTAATTATAGTATCTAATTAGTGTAATTAAAGAACTTTTTGGCTGAAAACATAATATAAGGCAATGTATTACCTTTATTTTTTAGGTAATTTAATTATAATTACTTATAATGTACTTACATTAAATACTATACATAAATTCAACAATTATATAAACAGTGCCTATATAAAATCATTAAATCATCATTCCGTTGAAATAAATATATTTTTAGTCATATATGTGAACTCACCGGCCACTTTATTAGGTACATCTTATTAGTTAGACCATTTTTTGCCTTCAGAACTGCCTTAATCCTTCGTGGCATAGATTCAGCTAGGTATTGGAAATATTCCTCAGAGATTGTGGTCCATATTAACGTGATAGCATCACGCAGTTGCTGCAGATTTGTTGGCTGCACATCCATGGTGTGAATCTCTCATTTCACCACATCCCAAAGGTGCTCTATTGGGTTGAATTCTGGTGACTATAGAGGCCATTTGAGTACAGTGTTATGTTCAAGGAACCAAAATAACCAAAATAATCCAAATAACTTTTCCAGCCTTTGAAATGTTTTTGTATCCTCCTCCTTACCTGTACCTTTCTACAAAATTATTCTGAAAGTCTTTTGAAAGCTGGGTGTGATGTGAGTAAAGGTATTTTCTCAGGGTATGATGATTAATTGTGATGGAGAATAAATATATAATTTAACTTTAAAGAATATTCATCAGTTATCAAGAAAATTGCATATGCTTAAAAAAATAATTTATTTTTTTTAATGACACTATAAGGTATAAATTCAGAGAAGCAAAGAAATTGTATGAATACATACATTTACAACAATAAAATGTTTTTTTTTTTTTTTACAATTTATGTCTGTTTATGGTATCATATACTTACATCAATTGAAAAAAATAATATAAAAAAAAAATTTGAACATTTGAAATGTAGTGACATTCATTTCAAATAGTTTGTGTTTTGTGACATATATTCTTTAAATATAGCTTGTTTTTTTTACTAAAAAGTCATTTTAGACTCACATGTAAAGAATTAAGAGTTTAGTTTCCAATTTAATTTCGCTCTGCTTATTGAGATTTATGTGTGTTGTGAAGTAATGAAACATTTAGCATGCTATAAGTATCATTAACATACATAAAGGATAGTTCACTCAAAGACAAAAATTATGTTATCATTTAGTTGGTTCTAAACCTATTTGATTTATTCTGTTCAACACAAAAGAAGATATTTTGAATTATCTTCCATAGTATTGGGCTCATACTTCAGCCTCCACATCAAAGTTCCTGAAAGCAAAGAAGGTTAAGGTGCTCCAGCCCGGTCACCAGACATGAACATCATTGAGTATGTCTGGGGTAAGATTAAAGAGGAGGCATTGGGGATTAATCTAAAGAATCTTGATGAACTCTGAGAGTCCTGCAGAGATTTATGGATGCAGTATTCCAAGTTTATGCGAGTCATACTTTACACAATATTAATTATTTTTCCACTACACTATGACTTTATATTCTATACTGTACATTATTTCTGTTAAATAACAAGACTTTTGTCTATGCAAAGTCAGACCTTACTGTTCTAAATAAAACATTAAAATTCAAGGCCTGATCATATTTAATTTGTTACTTTGCCTTTTATACAAGCCACTTCTGATACCAACTGACCAACTAGAAGTGAAGCTATTATTTGTTGATGCTAAAACTTGGATTGACTTGGACCAAGACTTTGTCGGGTAGTGTAGATCTCAATGACTACTGGTTACTAGAATTCAGGTAACTATTCCTTTAAAAACACCATCTAGACAAAAAAAAAAAAAAGGTTTTATAGCTTTACTAGTGAAAGTCTTGTTTATAGAAATGAAAGTATCAAAAAACTCTGTGAATCACAGCCTGTAAAAAGGATCCATGACTATATTAGGGTGTCTGTTTGAAGAGACTTTGAAAAGTGTGGTTGTCTGTGTTCTCAGCTCCAGGTCCTGTAGGTCACCTGAGCTTTACAGAAATCCTGGACACATCTCTCAAAGTGAGCTGGAAAGACCCGCCTGAGAAGAATGGCATCCTCACAGGTACCTACATCACCCCCATTCAAAGATTTAGTCTGATATTTTGACTATTCGCTCAACTGCTTCCCATCTCAACTCTGTAGGGTATCGCATTTCTTGGGAGGAATTCAACCGGACAAACACTCGTGTCACGCATTACCTGCCGAACATGACGCAGGAATACCGGGTCACCGGTCTGACCGCACTCACTACCTACACTATTCAGGTGGCTGGAATGACCAACAAAGGTCAAGGTCAGCTCTCGTCCTCCACCATTTCCTCCGGCGTGCCACCAGGTCAGTTTTTACTCATGTTTTGTCTTACTCCGACATTGCATTGATACCGTCATCTATTTCATCATTTTTATGAAAGGACTAATTGCTGTCTTCAGGTATCAGAGACTATAGTAGAAAACTGGGCGATCTGAAAAAAAAAAAAATTACTTGAGGCCTGCTGTGAATCCAAGGTTGTACATTTCTTGTTATTACTGTGTGGCCCTATTAACCTCAGTCTTGATATCTAAGTTAATGAAGGTACGCTGAATATGATGGCTTTGTGCATTAATATTCATAATCTTCAGCCACCCCTTAGACACAAGCTGAGACTAAACAAGGCACAGTGAGACACAGTGGATAGAAACGTTTGAAGTTTTCTTCGGTGATGCTCATAATGAAGCATCTGTATGCTGAAAGGATCACACAGTTTTAAAATCAAACTCACTTTTTGTTCCTTGTGAAGCTAATTCGCAAGCTTCTTCTTCGGGCAGAAATTAACTGATGGAAGACAGAGATGTGTGTTTTGCAAATAAGCACAATGTGTCATGAACACAATGTGTTGTTGAGGTTGCAACATAGGTTCATTCTGAAAACATAGTGCTATTATGTAGCTAGAGGTACGTATGGCAGCATTTCATCTTTAAAATGAATGCTACGGGGCGGTATGACGCCCTTCCTTTTCATGCTAGCAGCGGACCGCTTACCTCCGTGTGGATGGCTTTTTCTACTGTTACCCGGTTGTTCAGTGATAGATTACAGGAAGGCTTCTCCTACCCCCAGCATAACAAATATTAAAGGCTGGAACATTGAAATTGTGGACACACATAATTATCGAGGGGTCGGTATTGACAATATGTTGACATTTTAACCTAACACCCAGGCTGTCTGTAAAAAAAGTCCAACAAAGAGGAAATGGTAATTTTCTAAGGAAACTTAGATCGTTTCAAGTTTGTACCTCTATGATGACATCGTTTTATAAACAATTTATTGAATCTGTTTTATCTTTTTGCAATGTAGCTTGGTACGGTAATCTGAGTGTGTCAAACAAGAACAGGTTGAGTAGCCTGGTAAGGGTGGCATGCAAGATCATTGGTTTTAACCAAGCTGGTCCTATGGTAATTTACCATACTGATGTTTTAAAGACAACTCAGGGTGTTCTATGCATCCCGGATCACCCGTTGTACTCTGTGTTTCAGCTGTTGCCATCAGGAGGTCATTTTAGAGTTCCTATTTGCAGGACAAATAGAGTTAGAAATTATTTATAATGGTGGCCATTAGGTTGTTAAATGAGTCAGGGGATAGGGAGATGCACCTACAACATGATGTTTTGTATGTTGTGTGGTAATATTTTATTAATGTGTACATGGTACTTCTCTTGTGTTATGGCACCTTGCTTCAATTTTAGTTTCCCAAAACAGGATAATAAAGTTGAGTCTGAGTCTGAGTCAGTGGCATACGTCACTGGAGATGCAGAGATGCAGAAAGAAGTTGATCGCTATGACAGGGTTTAGGTCCATAGTAGAATGGTTCCATAAAGCGGGTAAGACAGGTAAAAAATAAAATAAAGACATAAATAGTAGGGTGAGAATGTGGTAAGATCTGAAAACATGGTAAAAATCAGGCTGCCGCAATGGCTTTTCTTTTGCTGGATTGCTTTTTAAAACATTGACGGTTGGGTTTAGGGAAGTGGGTGGTCAATCTGTGCTTTTGAAAACACAATTGGTTGGGTTTAGGGAAGGAGGAGACTGGGTCAGTCAATCGCTCAGTCAGTGAGTCAGTCAGTCAGTTAACAGTGGCCTCTGGGGGATTTATGCAAGTAGATCAGGCACGATTGGCACTGGCGAAAGAAATTTGAGATCTCAGAAAGCAATATGTCAGTCATATTAAGTGCCATTTTAATAGCAAAATTATTCCAGTCCACTGAAATGTTTGAACCCTGAAAAGTTTTTACAATAAATATGAATACATTTATTTATAAAGATTAATATTAAATGCAGAACAGACTTTCATTTTATCTTGCACGGAGAAAAAAATGTTTTCAAAAAAGCCAGAATAAAAAGGCTAATTACAGCAGAAAGTGCAGTAGTAACCATGTCATATTTAGTTGAGTTGATATTGCCACACAAAAAACAAAAGAAAAACCACATACTTCACGTAATGGTAAATTATTGTGATATTGTACAGCATGAAAGTGCTGTAGTAATCCTGCCATATTTAGCTTTGCTCATTTTTCGTGTGGTAAATGTATAATGTACTACTGAATTACCACAGGATTACCACAGGACATTTGTGTAAGGGTATACACAGCGACCTCTAGCAGATTCGTAAAAACTAAAAATCTGCAAAAAGACGTACCTCCTGGGACATATTTGGTGCTCTCCAGGAATATAAATAGGGCTACATTTTAGAATGAACCTGAGTTGTGAGAATGATTTGACTTACATATATTTTTAATCCAGCAGGAGGTATTGTCAGTGAATGGTAATAAAATTGCACCTAGGCATTTTATTTTCCCCACTCAACCATTTGTAACCTTTCGCCTTGCGATTCCCACTGCTCTCATTCTTATAGAAATGCCTGGACCTCCTACCAACATTGCCATCTCCAACATCAGCCCTCGCTCTGTTACCCTGCAGTTCAAACCGGGCTACGACGGAAAAACATCCATCTCACGCTGGCTGATTGAGGCTCAGGTACTACAGAACAGATTTACTCTGAGAATTTACCTCAGTTTGTTGCTTTTGTTGTTATTAGCTGACATTGATTTTCCTGTCCATTGTTTCATGTTCAGATCGGTGTTATTGGGGAAAATGAGGAGTGGGTCATGGTCCATCAGTTGTCCAACGAGCCTGATGCACGATCCCTTGAGGTCCAGGGCCTGAACCCCTACACATACTACAGGTTCATGCACTGTAAAATGTTGAGTTTTCCAATATAGTGGAGGCCGAGATGGATAGAACACTAGTATTTTTTTTTGTCTCCCAATGGTTGTGAGTCAGTTATTTCTTATAAATGCTAAGCGTTTACTGTATTGTGTGAAATATCAGTGACAAAAAAGAAATCAGTAAGGAGCAAATATATTTTCACACCACCAAATTTACTTAAAGAAGCAGAGTGGCTCAGTGATTATCAATGTCGCAGTAAGAAAGTCGCTGCATGGTTCAAGTCTTGGCTGGGCCAGGTGGCATTTCTGTGTGGAGTTTGCAAATTTTCCCCATGTTTGTGTGGGTCCTTCTGGTGCTCTGATTTCATTCACAGTTCAAATGCATCCGCCATAGGTGAATTGAATAAACTAAATTCTCCGTAGTGGATGAGTGTGTGTGAATGAAGAGAGTGCATGAGTGTTTCCCAGTACCGGGTTATAGGTGGAAGGGCATAGGGTTATAGGTGGATTGTATTTATTTATATTTATCAATGTCAGTCCCGACATCTTTAGCTTACAGTATATTGGCCATTGTGAAAATTTATTTGTGTTGCCTGTATTTAAAAAAGCCTTAAACAAAAATAAAAAATGTAATTGATGACTAGATATATAATTATTTCATGACTCTAGACACTTCTTGGTTAACACAGTGATATAATTAAGTGAAATATTATGCTTTTAGCCATATTAAAACATAAATCATGTGCATGGGTAAAATCTACTACGAGTTCTGGCAGTTCTAATGTTAAAGCTGCTTTTGTCACACAATAGTTGTCTTTGACCATAGTTTTTCATAACTTTATTAGGTTTCTTGGAGGATTTTAAGGACGTTATCACAGTTCTTCAAGATTTAGCCTATCTTAATTTGCTCAGTTTCTTTATGGTGATGGTAAGATCAGATCTTTGTTTGGAGCTGCTATTCTTGAGCAAACAAAAACCTCACTTGATTATTAGTATTATTGGCCAAATTTGGAAACATAAACTGGTATTTCCTGCTGACACACTACAGAAAAATAAATAACTGACTTAAAGGGATAGTTCAAACAAAACTGAAAATTTTGTAAACATTTACTCACACTTGTACCAAACCTGTTTTAATTTCACTAATTTCAATTTCAATAAACACAAAATATTAAAAAAAAAAATGTTTGATACCAGTAGCTACTGACTTTCATAGTATTCCTTTTTTTTTTTTTTTCTACTATGGAAGTCACGCGATACAGATTTCTAACATTTCTCAAATATCATCTCTTGTGCTCAACAGTAAAAAGGAAGCCCATACAAATTTGCAAACACTTAAGGGACAGTAAATAGCATGTATATTTCAATCTTTGTGTGAACTATTCCTTCAAAATCATTTTTAGCTTGCGAAAATGCTAGTGTTCAAAAACTTTTTGGCCTCCACTGTATTGAACGTTTACAGGCTGCTCTGTAACTTGGTGTCTAATTTAGGTTTCGGATGAGACAAGTAAATATAGTGGGCACAAGCCCACCCAGTCAACCATCCAGAAAGATCCAGACCCTACAGGCTCCTCCAGACATCGCCCCAGCCAACATCACTCTCCGCACAGCCAGTGAGACCAGCCTGTGGCTTAGATGGGTGGTACGTACTGTCTGTGTCCATTACTTTGACCGATACAATTAAAAGGAAAAACATGTGACAGCAGCTATGTTTGCTAATTAAAAGTATGCACTAAAAAAGTTTTATTGTATAAAAAAAAAGTTAATTGCTTAAAACATTTGCAAATAAAGCTCTATATGTTTCCATACAATAAGTCTCCAAGTTTTCAAACAAGTCTTCTTAAACAACTGGCGCTTGATATCAAAAACTTGCAGAGCCTACTGTGGGCATTTTTCTTTTTATAAATTACTTAAGCTTCAGAAGAGAAAACCAATGAATGCATGCTGGGGATTTTAGAATGATCAAAACAACATTTCAGATGTTGTGCAATGTGGTCAGTCTGCTGGTTTAGTAATACGATCCCATCACACCGCTTTTGTTATCACAAAATCGTACTTTTTTAATTCACATGCTAGAATTTATTCGTAAATGTGTTTCCGAGATACTGTAGTTTATGCATATTTTTTCCTAGCAGATAAAAAGTGTATCCTATGCCCATGTTTTTATGCACATTTTCAAAATTAATGCACCTCTTGGCATTTCCATTAAGCATTGTTTATGTGATAGTTATAATAAAATTAGGTGGATGCAAGCATAGCTACTGGTTGTGTAGTAGTCCTGAGCTTGCATTTTCACACAGATGATCATTTTATTGCTCAGTGTTTGCTCATTAATAACTAGGGATACTTATTGGGCATTCTAGTCTCATGTTTTATTTAAGTAGTAACTTGTATTGATGTTTAATCATATTTAGTTCCAGAGTAGCCTTATAAATGTGTCAAGGTTACATTTTATACATTTATCTTTTATCTAATTTACTAAAAGAGTGCACCCTAGCTATAACTGCAAGGTTCTTCTGCATAAAAACCCAGATATGTGTATGTCAGTTAATGTGAGCGCTGTATAAAATGTGTTGTGTTTGAACTGTTTTTGAGGATGGCATGATTGGCATTTCTACACGATTCTTTTGGCATTTCTACATGATTGCATGTTTAATGAGCCTTGTGTTTGCTGAGAGTCACATAAGATTTTATTGTACAAATATATCTATGTGGAAAGTTCTTAAATGGTGATGGTTTCAGTGTGTTTTATGCAAATCACTCACCTCTGGAATGCATAATAAAAATAGTTTTTTTTTTATAATAATGATTCCTTTCGTTAATATAGCGCATTTCTGGACACTGTAAATCTCCTCATCCACCACCAGTAAACCCCTACTCTTTTTTGAAGGACATCCTGGAATTTTTAACAAGCAAAGAGAATCAGGACCTAGGTTTAATGACTCATCTGAAAGAGCGCTTACTGAGCAGTATAAAGTCCCCACCAACATACCGGGGCATATGGATCCACACAGATTGCAGGTTGAGTGCCTCCTGCTGTTCTTACTAGCACCACTTCCAACAGCAACCAAGCTTTCCTATGCTGTCTCCCATCCAGAGAGCTAGCTGCCAGTGCATATTCTATATTAGAATGGATACATGAATGAAAAATAGAAAAGGATGCTTTTGTGATCTAGGTTAAAATACGTAAATGCTTTTATATATCAAATGAAAAGTAATATTAAACAATTTAATATTTACCATATAACAAAAACAGTTGATCAAACATAATCAGCAAACTGAAGATTCAGAAGATTATTATCATATATTAAGATGGTTAATCAACCATAGATCACATACAGCTGCAGCTGGAAGTTAACGAGAATTACTTATATTATGTATTAAATTTCCTACTAATTGTATTTCATTGATTATTTTAGTCTGCCCTACCCCAATCATTCACCCACCGTCACAGTAATGTAAAAACAGATCTGGGTCTTATCTATCTAGTATACCTTATTACCCGTAAGAATTATTTATAAAATTTTCTATTATTTGTATTTCATTAACATTTAACCCTATCCCAACCCTAAACTCAACCGTCACAGTGTTGTAAAAACAGATCTTCTCTATTACTATAGCTGATTAACCATGTGGATGGATGATAACAGCCTTCTGAGCCTACCAAGAGGCAGAAGGCCCCTACTGGTCCATATCTATTGTTAACCACTGATAATGTCTATTCAATCCAGTGATAACATTCGAAGCAAGTGGTTTTGGTGTATTTATCAAATATATAGGATGCTTGTAAAACATCTTCATGGAACATCTTAATAAACAAATTAATGATCTTTATTAACCTAACTGGGTCTTTATTAATATTCAAAGGATTTTTGAACAATAAGGAATAATTAACTATTTTGACGAATTTAATGTGTTTTTGGCTTTTACATTTACATATACATTTATCTTTTTTTTTTTCTGCATAGATCAGCCTTTTCCTCTCTCATTATATACTTAAATGTGAATCAGTGGGTGGAGCTAAACAGACAGTGATGTAGAAGTGGGCGTTGATCTTCTGTGGAGGATTTTAACCACACTTTACTTATTAAAGTGACACATTATGAAAGTGGATGTCTTAGCTTGTGGAACTAACAAGTTTTGATAGTATGCTTTTAGAGAACAGTGACCTTTTTATGTCCCTAAATATCTAGGGATTTTAGAGTCCTCAGGTCATTACTCTTTTGAAAAAAAAAACATTTGTGGCTCATTAGGTCTTTCTCTCTGGAGATAAAGTTCAATTTGAAAAAAAAAAAAAAAGTGTAGACTTAATATTGAAAGAAAAGTTTCCATTTATTATTTTTGGGGGTATTAGGAATATTCCAGTTATAAATGTATTTTCATAACAAGGATAGGACCTGGTCATTTGATGCTGAATATTTAAAAATGCTACAGTAGGATTTTTTTTTTAAATATAATTTAAAGTGTGTCTATTTTCCAGCCTCTGCCAGAGTGGGAATACAATGGCAACCCTGAGCTGGTGGGTTACAGGGTGCAGTACTCTCGCTTGGGCTCAAAAGTTGGCTTCCTCTCCCACATCATTCCTGACAGACAGGAGAGAGAGTTTACCATCGAGGACTTGGAAGAGTGGACAGAATATGAAGTTAAAGTCCAGGCGTTCAACGGCATCGGACCAGGACCATGGAGCCAACCAGTTCACGGCAGAACAAGAGAGTCAGGTGAACAAATCTGCTGTTTTTTCTGTCTACCTTCTGTTTTGTACTTTTACAAAAAAAAAATAATAATAATAATAAAATAAAATAAAACCTTTCCAAAATGCTTTTACAACACCACTGACCTTTAAATTAATTATGATGGCGGGCTATGAGAACGCTTTATTGCTTAAAGGTTGTCCTTTTATTGCCTGGGAGTCTTAATGGAGTTTGCTGTTATGATTCAACTGCCTTTGTATCTCCTAAAACTGCTTTGGAGTAATACAAATAGATATAAATGACACAATTGCTGGCATGCAATATGATTATATGCAGGTTATGTAACTTAGGTAAGTGATGAGATATATGTGAGTTCACATCAAGTTTTAATTGCAAACTTTAGTACCCTAGGAATCAAAGTTTGTTTGATTGTTGAGATCTCGTCTAAAACTCAAAAGGAAATGATACATTCCCTGGAGACCTTTTCTCAATTTGCTCTCCATTGCACAGCCCATTAAAAACCTCATTTTTTCATACGAGTGTTTTAAAAATGAAGTTATTTTCTCATCAGTCAAGCAGTCTGTCATTCACTGTTTGATAAACAGCTGGCAGCACAGTCTGCACCACATTTTTACCATCATGTACCGAGTTGTAGCCAGACTGTACTGGCACATGCTTATCTTGCAAACATGTGACAGGTACAGCGATTAACAGAACTACACGCTGTTCCTGTTTGAAACTCTGATCGCACTTATGGTTTTAATTGCATGTTTTCTTGTTTTCTCCATTTGTTAGTCCCCTCTAGCGGCCCTGCGAATGTTTCGGCTTTTGCTACCACCTCCAGCAGCATCCTTGTCCGCTGGGGCGACGTGCCAGAGACTGACCGCAATGGATTAATTCTAGGCTATAAGGTACTTTGTAAACAGGATTCTGACCAGATTTATTGACCTTTAGTCCACTTTAGTGGCTAAGAGATGCATCTGTTCCTCCTCATGGCTTTCAGGTGGTGTATAAGGAGAAGGATGCAGAGTCAGTCTTGCATTTCTGGACGGTCGAGGGAAACACCACTTATAGTGTCCAGCTCACTGGTCTTGGGAAATATGTGCTTTACGAGATCCAGGTTCTATCCTTTACTCGGATAGGAGATGGCATGCCTAGTTCTCCTCCCATCTTTGAGCGCACACTTGATGATGGTGAGCGTCTGAAATGCTTTTAAGTTAGTGATGCTCTAGTTAGTGATCTAGCTTATTGAGTCCTACCTGTAGTACATTTACTTTTTTATTATTATTATTTAAACAGTACCTGGGCCTCCAGTTGGGATCCTTTTCCCTGAAGTCAGGACCTCATCAGTGAGACTGATCTGGCAGCCCCCTGCCCAGCCAAATGGCATAATCCTTGGTAGGTCAAGTAAAGGCTACATAAAAACTATTGTTTCTAGTGGTGGGTCAGACATGGAAAACCATGGTTTGATTTAGTTTACAATCCTCTATTGTAAAACTTATACCATTTGGAAATACTATGCAGCAACATAAAATGCATATCTTTTAATCTACCATTTACAATATTTAAATACAAAAAGTTAAGCTGAAGATCATATATTCTAATGTATCTATATATTTTAGCAGCATAATAACATGTTCGAATAAAAATAATAAAAACACTCCCCGTCAAAAATAAATAAATAAATAAATAATTGTTTATTAATCCTTGGCAAGAGAACCACATGGTCTGGTATTTTTGCATGAATCGTTCCATCCCTAATTGTTACTTGTCACACTGCACCATTTAATCCTAATGTGTGTTCACAAGTAAAAGTCCTTGACACACCAAGCACAGATTTCCCTACAATAAGAGCAAACCATTAGTGTTCCAGATAATACTATTACTATCCCTTTACAGGTAAATGTCCTTTAAAAACAAGACACTTGTTTTAACTTTTTTTTTAAACATCACTGTTATGCTGTTAAGTATTCTCATAAAAAAAAACTAAATTATGCAAAAAGTCAATGCAAACATGATGTCAATATAGTCTAATTTCTACTGGGCCACTCAAATAACACACCTGATTTGTCTCAATCGCATCTGCCATGCAAGTAAAAATTATTAAACTCAAATAGAAAATTTTAAATTAGAGACCAATTTATTTGCAACCAGTTTTGGTTGCCATGGCCCGGATGGGAGTATAGAGCTGTCCGGAAAAAATTTCCCCTGCTTCAAGAGGTGCATAAGTGCCTGAAACTTGGGGCTGTACTTTTTGGAGTTTATCTCTTGTAGAAGATAATTTTGGTTCGAACCACACTCGTATACGTGTAAGGACATGGATGTTTAGGGGAGAGAGTAGTTGAGGCTAGTTTTTGAATATACCTTTTACCTGGTTTTATTTCCTTCTCAGAATCTGATCCAAACTGAATATCCTGTCATATGAGTAGGGCAGCTAACAAAGACATCAAAGAGTGAAGGTGTACTCTCATATCACTTACTAGCTAGAATCCACTTTGCTCACTCTTCCTAAAACTTACTCAAATCTGGTTCACAGCACTATTGTAATTCACCTGGTTCTATTCCACTTGCCCCGAGTGGGATTTGAACTGGTATTTTATTTGGCAATGGTATACTAACAATGAGGCCAAAAACCACAAGTATGTGTCTTGAGGCCTCCATTACACAGAAAGTCTAAATTGTCTGGCCTCAAGTGGCACTAGCGACTGACACCAAAGAATGTGGTCCTTGTGTCAAGGTACATATTTATTAGTGCTCTCCCACCATGCTGGTTAATCTCATTTTGAAATGAATATGCAGTTCAAAAAGCAATGTGTGTTGAACCACTTACATAATTGTTCATATTCTATTGACTATAATATTTGTGTTTTTCTCTCACCTAGCCTATCAGATTGCATTCCGCAGAAACTCGTCCAGTATTACCTCTGCCAACGTTGATGTGCTCAACCCAAGTGCACGACAGTATACAGCAACTGGACTGAAACCGGAGAGTGTTTATGTGTTCCGCCTCACAGCACAGACTCGAAAGGGCTGGGGAGAAGCAGCTGAGGCTCTAGTGGTCACTACAGAAAAGAGAGGTACTGCATCTTATCTTTTTCACAAGGTAAGATGTTGTTTACTACATTCTATTGATTAAAACGACTCATTTGATCTCCCCACAGCACGGCCACAACCCACAAGTCGCCCCGTTGTGCCTCAGGAAGAGGTCCAGGCCCGCAGTGTGCTGTTGTCATGGGAACCAGGCAGTGATGGTCTGTCACCTATTCGGTACTACACCATTCAATACAGAGAGCTGCCCGACAGCAATTGGACCGTCCACTCTGCATCAGTCAACCATGAGGCCACCTCTTACGTCATCGACAGGTGTGTCTCAACTGGTCCTGCACCAAACTTTCTAGAGGTCATAGAGGACAAAACCCTTAACACTCCAGCAGTCCCACTGAGCTTCTTTTTCCCTATTCACAGGCTCAAGCCTTTCACTTCCTACCAGTTCAGAGTGAAAGCCACTAATGATATTGGGGACAGCGAGTACAGTGAGGAGAGTGAGGCAATCACCACTCTACAGGATGGTAGGTTCAATTGTGGAATGCTATTGGGGAACAAGTTCCTGAGGCCTGAGGTGAATCATAATGTGGCCGAAATAGGACACAGTCAGCAAAGGGGAAAAACTGCGGGGTTACCTTATTCTTAACTTTTGGCGTCTAACTAGAAAGCTTAGCCTGATCTTACGAAAAAATCCATTTATTTTATGTGTTCTCAGAAAAGTGGATCTTTTGTAAAGATTTCATTCTTTAAAAACAATATTAGGGAGGTCTGCTTTTGTAAGTATGATGTATCATTTGGATGCCTCATTGAGCCAAACTTATATGTTTCATTTAATGATCTCATTTAGTAGTCAAACCTATTTAATTTTTCAGTTATTTAAGCATAGTCATTGGATTTTGACTTGCACAGTAACTGATGGACAATTTCAGCAGACGTTAGATGTAAGAAGACTGACTTTTTTTTTGGACATAACACAGTCAATTTAGTCAAACTGTGACCAAGAAATGGATGATCATAAAGCATTGCGTTCACTGTTCCATGTGAAAGTAGACTTTACAGTAGGCTGTAAGTAGATGGAAACATCTAGGCTCCATTTCAGTCATATTTTGATGTACTTTCCTCTGTCTCGTTTATTAAGATATACGCCATTGATTATGTTAAACAAGTGTCCACTGTTGGGAGAACATCTGAATGGGTTTTAATGGAATGCCCTAAATCCTTTAGCAATTGGGAATTACACGGTTGTGTCATCACAGTTGTGTTGCATTCTGGGACATATAGGTGCTGGAGTGGACAAATGAAGCAGACTTACTTCCTCGAGTATATTCAAGTAGGCTTCCCTCATTCACTTAATGAAGTGGAACACACTTCAAAATAGTGATGGTAATATCCCAAGGAAAAAAGTGCTGGGACGTTTGTGGGTACATGTCTAAAAGTTGAATTGAACGCAGTCCTATTTTATAAGAACACCTTACTTTTATGCTGCAAGTAGATAGAAACAACTGAGCTGCATTCCCGTCCAATTTTTTATGCTTTTTGCTAAATTCCATCTGTCTCGTTCACTAAGAAATATGTCATTGATTATGTTAAACAAGTGTCAACTGTTGGCAGAACATCTGAATGGGTTTAAATGGAATGCCCTAAACTCTTGAGCACTTGAAAACTACACTGTTTTGACATCACAATTGTGTTGCATTCTCGGACATATCGCTGCTGGAGCTGAAGTTGTCAACTCAGTTAAAATCGAGGGATCAAGGGTATGTTCAAGTAAGCTTTCCTCATTCACTTTATAAAGTGGAACACACTTTAAAATGGCAATGGGAAAACCCTGAATAAAAAAATTGAAGGGGAAGTTGCAAGTGGAATGGAATGGAATGCATCCCTATTTTACAAGAAACTACCCCACAAATTGTACTGCACCCCTAAACCCAACCATCATTGGAAGTCAAGCTAATAAAACATGTATGAATAAAATCGTACAAATTCATACAATTCATACAGCCAGTAAACAAAAGCAAAAACGAATTGCTGTGAGATTGTGTTGGTGTAAGAGTCCATTTATTAGCCCAATGACGAAACTAACAGCATGGTTGAAAGTTTAATGCATGTAAGCCTTTTCTAGTGCTTCTGAAAAGAATTTTATTATTTACTAGAATTTATTTATATTCGTTTTTAGCTCCGAATTCAATCTGACTAAACTTTCAATTATCCTAAAATTTAAATAGTATTTCTAATTGTAAGAACGGATCATATTCATAACTTATGATTTAATTTAGAGTTTTGATATTTTCTGGGGTCCGATATTCTAAATTGTACGTTCATTAGGGACCAACGTCGCTCAGAGTTCCACGCCCCGGGTTTGTGCTTCTTCTCACCGACAATATGTCGGCACTCTGAAAATAGTCAGAGGATGCAGGATTGACTAATATTTAGATAGGTTGGTTGCATAACGCTCACCTAATCCCTAAATAAACAGATTTTTAGCCAAGCCCATACAACTTGCTGCTTCCAGTGGTCAAATGACTAAAAGGTCTACATGTTATCGGCACGCTATGGATACGAATAATCAAATGTGCCTATTGATCAATTCAATTAATGCCATTCTATAAAGGTAACAAAGACTCCTCGTAATCCACTGGATACAATGAATTCACAAAACTCCAGAATTAATCAAAGCTTAACATTTTATTTGTCAGTTAAAATTGTATTCTGCCTATTACATAAATCATCAGGAAGCCAATTCAGAGATGAGACTAACAATATAACATCCATTAATCAAAGATAAATCAAAGAGTTAGAGATGCATACCTGACCAGAGAAGTACATTGCAGCATACGTCTCAGAGATACTGCAATGGGGTGTCTTTTTACAAGATCTCCCCCAGTCCTATACCACATGTTACCTTATATACTCAAGTCAAAACAAAACAGCCATAAATTCAAGACAATAGAGGTGTCACAGAAACCCTGGCCTGGTGAATTTGAGGACTTAACCCAATCTCTTAGGAGGGAGAGAGTCTCATCAAGATCTTAACAGTTAAAAACCAAATCAACATATACCAGTGAAATATTACTGTAAAATTAAGACCACTTTACCAATCACACAGAGACATTTAAAATCATACCAAACATGAATATAGTGCTGCAAGATACGCCATATTAAAACCTTGAACATTTTATGTAAAATGTGCTCTAATCAGAAGGGTCTAGAAGGGGGGCTTGAGGTGGAAGGAGAAGGTGACTTTCTCGCATTACCCCCTGCTGTAGTGTAGCTCTGTTTCTCCAGCCTGTGTTTACATTGTCAACAGTGATTTGAATAGAACAGTTGAACAGCTGGTTTCTTTATAACTTTTCAGATTAGAAAGTGCATTGGAGCATTGCATCTTATCTCATGAAATTCCATAACAGTTCTCAGAGTCTAATATTTTGGATTCTTACATTGGAATGCTACTAAAAGTTCTTCTAGTGGCTATTCTGCTCTTATCAGGCTCTTCGCAGTTCTGCAGTCATTAACTGAACAAACTGTCTGTTTGTATTCCATTAGCTCCCGACAAAGCTCCCACAATCCTCTCTGTGACGCCACACACCACTACATCTGTGCTGGTCCGCTGGAAGGTGAGGTCTGATTCATCACGCTGTTCTGAGAAAGAATATGGTCATTTATCTGTTGGTGAGCGTTGTGTTTACAAATGGGAGATAATGACATAATCTGTTCGAACCCATCCAGCCGCCCCCCGAGGAGGAGATCAATGGCATTTTGCTTGGTTTTCGTGTTCGCTACAGAGAACTGAGATATGACCGCCTACGTAGCTTCACAGTGCGCACTGTGAACAGCCCCGCAGGCAACTGGGCTGAGCTCACAGGTAAGTCTTAATTCAGTCTTCTAGTTTGTCTAGTGCCTTAAACAAAATGTACTACTGTTACCTTGGCATTTTAAATGATACTTTGTATCATGGTAGAGTCACGGAATAATGTGATGACTTGATAATAATATTCATATACCATATTAGTATCATGTACTTCAAGTAACTGCAAATAATAACAATAAAGCATTATTACCATGGCACTTTTGCAGAAAAATGTATTATATTAAGTAAAATTGTATTTATTTTAAAGAAAATTCATACTTAATACAATTCTTTAAACAAAATTCATTTTATCATGATTGCAATGGAGTGGGATAAGGCGCAATCAGATTATTTTCTCCACGTTTACCACATTTTCTCATCATTCGTCTGCTACATAGGACATATTTCATTCCTTTTGTTTTTTTTATATATTATAAATATATAAATAAAATAATATAAAACTATTAATTTTGCTATGGCATGTGGGCTTTAAAATAAAGTGAGTCTTATTGATTCATCAATTGATTAACCATGTTTTTTAATACTACTTTACGTGTGTAAAACTGTTATTCTAGTTAATAAGTTATGCTTAAATATTCCTAAAATAAATATTTTATCTGTTTTTTGACAATGAATACTTGTAAGTTGCCCAGTTTTATTTAAAAAATAAATAAAATAAAAAACTTGTGTTTTGTAATTAAAGTGTTTTTGCTGTTCATTGTTTACATGACAATCGCATGTCGCATCTATAAAACCACAGAGACATGTGCTAACTCAGCGAAAACTCAACTCGTCTGTTTTATGTTTCCATACAGATTTTATAGTGGCTTATTCCATTAACATGCATGTAATGGAAGCTTTCTGTGTATAAAACTGTATTAATTGTCTCTTCAGCAGTCTCTGTTTCTCTCTGTGTATAGAGCTGCCAGCTTTTCTGCTAGCATGAGCTATTGCGCTAATCCAGCTCTTGTTTCTCTGTTTCTTACATTCTCTTTATCCCCCTTCTCTTTTCTTTTGGTCTTCCTTGCTGCCTCTTCTCTCCTCCATCAAACCGTAGCCCCCTACAGTGTGAGGAACCTAAGTGAATCCTCACTTACGCAATATGAGCTAGACAGTAAGTCCTGATATTCATGGTTGATCTTTCATCAGTATGTCCATCATCGTCATCATCATCCTTTAGGTTTACATCTGTTTTGGGGATTTCAAGCCATTCATAATTGAAGAAAACTGTTAACTAACCCACAGATTAATTTAATGTAAATATCAGTTTTCAATAATTATCAATAATAATCAATAATTCTGACTTCAACTGTATATAAACACACAGACACGACTACCTGACAAATAATAAATGTCTTGTAGCCTATAGTTTTAGGAACAACAAATAATAACTTGACTTCTAGTAGATCATTTGTTATCAGAAGTGACTTATATGAAATGCAAAGGCCTCTAGATTGTGCTTAATTTACTCAAATAAAATATGATTATTCCTTGATTTTTAATTAATTAATTAGGACATGAGATCTAACTTTGCTCAGACAAAAGTTGTGTCACTTAACAGAAATAATGTACAGTATAGAATATAAAGTCATGGTGCATTGGGAAAAAAATAAAATAAAAAATGTCTATGACTCCCATGACTTTGTAGGACTGATTACATACATGCAATGACTTAAATAACTTATAAATAAAGTTTTTTTTTTTAGATAATATTTGGTCGAGACATAACTTGAAAACTAGAATCTGAGGATTTAAAAAACTCAAATATTGAGAAAAACGTATTTTAAGCAGTTCAAATTAAGTTTTTAGCAATGTATATTTTTATTTAAAAAAATAGGTTTTATAGGTGAAAAGTAGAAAGTGCTCGAAAATGGAACATGATCATTACGTGTATGGTATTTTTACAAAATACATGTACATGTTTTGTTTATTTTTGAGAATATATATAAAAAGTTTAAAGCATTTGCAAATATATTTTAAAAAAATTGAAGACAATATACATTTGGACAAAGATTTAAAAGATCTAAAGCAAAGAACACTCTTTTGACTGCAATTCTTCTAAATTAGTTTAATTTGACATTATGAATACTTTAGATTTTCATCCAGATTCTATTGTTAGGTTATATATTTCAAATATATAAATATAGGTTAAATATTTTAAATTTAAAAAACAATAGCCTTACAGTTACTAGTATGCTCCAAGTTTAGGGGAAAACAATTACATGGACATAATAAACAAAATAGGGTTGTGGGTGGTGGTTTTCCCAAGGGAAACAAACAAAAAAAAAAACTTATGCAAAAGATCCCCTTTGCTTGACAACCAAGTGAATTATTAGAATTTTTTACAACAAGCAAACACATGTTTTAATATATTCATAACTGCATTTGTGTTTTACCGTCATGCTTAAAAAAAAAAAAAAAAAAAACGCTAAAATAAAAACCGCTGAATTTCGCAATCGATAAACCCTAATGTTAACTTCTGTACAGCAGTCCCATAACATTCTGACACTCGATTACACTGGAATACCTTGTCAGAAAAGTCTTGTGGCTGGGAATGGGCTTTTTACAGTGTCTGTTATAATGTTAATGTTGTTTTTAGTGTGTTTACATTAATAAATATGGCCACTGTGTAAATGCACAGTACTGTTACGATCTTATTGCCACATTAGATCATTATGATAACATAATACATGGCTTCAGTGATTTCCTGATGATAAATACCACAAAATAACATGACTGGAATCACTACAGTAGTTGCCAACATCTGAACTCATATGAAGCAAGATATTGCAAGGACATATGATGATGTGTGCAGGTGATGTAGTTCTGTCCCAATTCTTAGGGGTACATTTTGAAGCCATCCCTCTAAACCCTCGGTTGAAAGGACTAAGGAGAAGGGGTAGGGGTACAAAAATAAAATTGTCACTGGGCCTTACTATGTATAACAGCTATATATTTATATATATATATATATATATATATATATATATATATATATATATATATATATATATATATATATATATATATATATATATATATATATATATAAACACACTGAATGGGTATGCACTTTTTCCATTAATAGTAGTAGCCCCTTAAAGTATCCCCAGTCATGCTGCTTGGTGAGCATGTTGAAGTTAGTGTGCCGCTATCTTTAGTCTCTCCCCAACTCATCAATTCCCTCATCCTGCCAAACTCAATCTCTGAACCCTAGAAAGGACTCTTTCTCACAGCTCGTTTGCTTGCTCACACAAGAGCCGAGTCTCATTTGTTTCTCCTCTCACGTCTGGTCTTTCCTGTGCCCATTTCTCTCCACACTGTCATTGACTTTTCATCACAGCATCTCACTTCATTGGAATGGGATCATTATGTTTTAGCACCACTTAAGCTTTTATCAGGCTATATTGAAAAGAGTGTGTATGTGTGCGCATTTTCTCTATTGTTCAGATCTGAATAAACACAAGCGCTACGAGATCCGGCTGAGCGTTTATAATGCGGTAGGGGAAGGGCCCACCAGTTCGCCGCAGGAAGTGTTTGTCGGAGAGGCGGGTGAGGACTAAAACTTTTACTAAGTCAATATCATTGATTTCACGATCTAATAAAACGTGCACCGGCATCGTCACTTAGTATAAGTCTAATAAATCAGTTCCTCTCTGTCCTTATTAGTGCCAACCGCCGCCCCTCAGAATGTCGCTATCCAGTCCTCGACGGCCACTCAGCTTGATGTGACGTGGGATCCTCCTCCAGTGGAGGCCCAGAATGGGGATATTCAAGGCTATAAGGTACAACAAACCGGTTCTGTCCTTCAAATGATTCTGTTGTGACTCAAAATGCAACACATAGTTCTGTATATGGTGTCAGCTGCCAAGAAAGTCCTGGGTTTGGAAAAAACAGTCTTGGTTAGTGAACATTGTGACTGTGCTTGCAACCAGTGTTTGGGCTGATAAATGCAGTAGTCACTAGGGCTGCACAATATTGGAAAAATCTGATATTGCAATATTTTGTATTTCTTCGATATATATATATTGCAATATACAGTATATACAATTTCACCAGATGACTTAAGCATTCATAATTATTATTATTTTTTTTTTTATAGATGAATTTTTTAGGATCATTCTGTTGGCGAGTAAATCAGGTGCTTTAATTGACAAATTGCAAGATTATAAATACAATAGAGCAAGTATAAAAGTGAAATAAGCAGCACTTTATCATTTTCAAGGTAGCCAAATCATATTCAGGTACAGAAATTGACAAATCAAATATAAAAGAACACTGCAAAGACTGTTTAAGTAGTTTCATTTGTTTTGTTTTATTGTTTTTTTTTAATCAAAATTACAAATGGTAGCATTTATTGTGCCTGAGTGCTTTAAAATCTCTTAAAGTTTATAATATTGATTATTGTGCATTTTGAACTGTGGCTATATAATCTGGATACAACATATATTGTTCATAATGCCAATTTAACATAGAAGATCCTGCTATGCGCATATTGTGGATGTTCACATTGTGATATTGATGCTAAAACGATATATTGTGCAGCCCTAATTGTCACTAATTGAAGTGGTTCAAACCCATTATCAAAGTTGACTTATGCAGTGTTGAAGAAAATTACCTATGTAAGTAATGCCTTACAAAATTGAGTTACTCTTCCTCAAAAAGGTAACTAATTGCATTACTTATTAACTTTTTATGGACAGTAATGTGTTGCATTACTTTTTTAGTTACTTTTGCATTATTTTTCCTAACCTGGCTGAGAAGATCTCTTTTAGAACTTGCAGGAGTTATTTTATTCACATTTTTTATAGAGGAGCTCTGCATTTAACAACCACCTATATAACCTTCACCTTCATTTTCCTGTTTTGTAATATCAAATCTTGAGAACATTCTGACCCCTGAGCTATACATATTTTATGCAGATTATTGAACGCATGTGCACTGCTTTAAAAAAAGAGTCCTGATGATGATGTGCACAAGCCGACTGTCTGTTCCCTCGCAGTACCCTCTCATTGAGTGTGTGATTTAATTTGATTACGTTCATTTTAATTCAGCAATATATTCCTTAAAAGCCAATTAAGTTAAAATTAAGCAAGTCAAATATTGTTACTTATTTTCAAAAGTAATGTGTTACTTGTGACTTTAGAAAAGTAATATAATTAAATAATGTGCACTACTTCTAACATGTTACCACCAACACCGGTCCTAAAATTATTGAACAACTTGGCTCAGTGGAATTTTTTTTTTTAAATCTAATTGTTTTGATCCACTTCAAATGTTGGTTACTTTACAATGTTGACTGCTGTAAATGTTTATATAGTTTCTTCCCAAAATAAAAATTAACACACAAAAAGGACTGGTGAGAAAACAGCAGTTAAGAAAGTGTCTCATAAAAGTGATGTGGATTTTCACATGTGGAGTTAGGCACTCAAGTTTAGTGAAACAATTGTTTAGAAAATTGCTCTGCAAAAAAAAATATATATATATTTTCTGACCTAGATTTTTTGTCTCGTTTCTAATTTTAAATATAAAAAAAAATCGTAATTGTTAGGGTAAGCATAAAAAGTGTAAAGCCAGTAGGAAAACAAAATTATTTTGCTTACACCACAGGGTATACGCTAAGGACTTTTAATTTGTCTGTAACCTGGGTTAAGAGCTTTTGGTGAACTGTATGCCATTGCAAAATTGGTGCGTTTAAGGTCTGGTTTTTTTAAATCAGTGATCTCCACTGGCTGAGAGATATCAGATACAAATCGGGTCTCAAATTTTACAAGAAACACTTCATTAAATTACATTTTTCCCCACCATGCCTTTAAAATATGAATATTTTTTTAACCCATTATTTAATTTTTTTTGTCTCATTTTTCGTTTGAGCAACTAAATGAATGCCAAAGTCTATTTAACTGATTGTATTGTAATTACAGTACAACATCGACGCTGTAAAAGGAGCCATATAAGAAAAAAAAAAGTCACATTAATCGTTCAACAGAAGTGTATTAGTATGGGAAGAAACACTAAAACACTTGTTTTAAGAAAAAACCCACTTAAGTTTGACAAATTATTTTTTTAACAAAGTTTTGCTGTGAACTGCCATATATATATATATATATATATATATATATATATATATATATATATATATATATATATATATATATATATATATAGACCAGTGGTACTACACTTTGTTTTTCCCTCAGAGTTCAGCTCCAACACTGATCAAACACACCTGAACCACTTAATTAGGTCCTGAATAGGAATTGATAATTACAGGCAGGTATGTTTAATATGGGTTACAACTGAAATCTGCAGGAAAGTAGATGTCAAGGAACAGGGCTGAACACCCCTGATCTACACACACACACACACACACACACACACACACACACACACACACACACACACACACACACACACAAACACATTTGCTTTTGTGAAAAGTGGGTAAATTACATAGATTTCCATTCATTTTATACTGTTCAAACTGTATATTGTATTGCCCTCACCCGACCCTACCCATAAACCCAACCATTACAGGAGATTGTGTACAGCTGTACTTTCTGAAATAAGCTCATTCTGTTTTTTTTATTAATAAGCTTTTTGAGAAATGAAGACATCAGCAATGTCCTAGTATTTCACCTCTTTTTTGTAATACCTGTATCATATACAGATTTGACACACACACACGCACACACATACAGTTGAATCCAGATTTATTAGCCCCCTTTTGATTTTTTTTTACTTTTTAAAATATTTTTCAAATGATGTTTAACAGAGCAAAGAAATTTTCACAGTATGTCTGATAATATATATATATATATATATATATATATATATATATTTTCTTTTTTTCTGGAGAAAGTCTTATTTGTTTTATTTCAGCTAGAATAAAATCAGTTTTTAATTTTTCAACAGCCATTTAAAGGTCGAAAATATTAGCTCCTTTAAGCTATTTTTTTTTTGATAGTCAACAGTACAAACTATTGTTATACCATAACTTTCCCAATTATCCTAGCTTTCCTAGTTAACCTAATTAACACAGTTTAGCCTTTAAATGTCACTTTAAGTTGTATAGAAGTGTCTTGAAAAATATCTAGTAACATTTTATCATCATGGCAAAGATAAAATAAATCTGTTATAAGAAATTATTTATTAAAACTATTATTTTTAGAAATTTGTTTGTTCTTTCCGTTAAAAAGTAAATGCGGAAAAAATAAACAGGGGGGCTTATAATTCAGTGGGGCTTGTAATTCTGACTTCAACTGTGTGTATGGGTATATATAACTTACCAGGCCAAAATCAATTTAATAACCACCAATTGTCTTTTCAGGCTGCCCAAGAAGCCAACCTCCTGATTTTTATGTAACCTTCTAGCTTTAAACCTTAAAATATTCCAACTACAAAAGCCTTATATAACCTTCACACATCAAACTATTATCTTCAAACAGTTCCAAACATCCAGGCAAGGCTTTGTCAAGCCAACATTCAAAGTCTGTCTTGACAAACTGTACCTTTTAAGTTGTTTTGCATTTCAGTTTGGTGCCACTAGTTTAAATTGCACTTTAACCATGTGTTATAAGTGCTACTGGTGTAAACATTGCAACATATATAAAACATGGAGAAGAATTACAATCTTACAATCATTAATTAAATACATATATTATATTATATTATATTATATTATATTATATTATATTATATTATATTATATTATATTATATTATATCATACAGTTGAGGTCAAGTTTATTAGCCCTCCTGTTATTATTTTTTCATTCTTTTTCAAATATTTACAAAATATGTTTAACAGAGCAAGGGGCTTTTCACAGTATTTCCTGTAATACTTTTTTTTTTCTTCTAGAGAAAGGACTTTGAGCTGAATACTTGTATTTATGTATTTTCATCATGGCTACATAAATCAGTCATTATAAATCAATTATCAAAAGTAATTTGTTTATAAATGTGTTGAAAAAAATCTTATTTTCTTTAACATAAATTGGGGAAAAAAAAAACAAGATGGGGCTAATAGCCTAATTCAGGAGAGCTAATAATTCTGACTCCCACTGTACTGTATTCAATTTTATTTGTTTATACTTCATTGAAGCTTAAATTCCTTTTATATTCCTAATTGAATAGGTACCAAACAGTACATCTGTCTAATTAGACACTCATATTCTTATCAAACAAGAGACTTATGTCTTTTAATACTGCAATAAAATAAGCACTGCCTCAGCCGCTAAGTCTGATAAAGTGATTTAATCTAACTTGGCTCCCAGCCAGAGAAGTTGGAAGACTCATAAGATCAGAGCATCTTTCTGAAGTGTCTCATTTGTTCCTCCAGATTTACTACTGGGAGTTTCAGCTGCAGAACGAGACGGAGCGACTGCGCACTCTCTTCCTGCCGGAGCTGAGCGTCAAGCTGAAGAACCTGACCGGCTACACCACATACATGATCAGCGTATCGGCCTTCAACGCGGCAGGGGACGGCCCGCGCTCATTGCCCACCAGAGGGCGCACTCAGCAAGCAGGTGAACCCATGCAAAATACATCAATCAAAACAGCAACAATCAACAGAATAAACACTTTCAGTCTGAATGCAGAGCCTGATTTTACCAAGTGCTCAACACCAAGTCCTGGAACAACATAAAAAAATTTGGCCAATCAGATTTGAGAGACAAGATTACAGTTTATGTTTTCACAATTTATACAATGTATGTGTATACGTGTGTGTGTGTGTGTGTGTGTGTGTGTGTGTGTGTGTTATCCATTTAAATGCCTAATACAGCGTTTTATTATATAGAAATTCACCCCATTTCCATACAAGTCCTACCTTAAATCAAATTAAAAAAGCAATAAAAGAAAAAAAACGTAACATCGCTTACAAAAAAGAATGTGTTTTTGCCAATGATCATCCATTCTATTTACAATTGACTTTTATAGTCATGCTGAATTCAAAATGAAACAGTTATATGGTTGTGATTCTATTTTTCCCCCCAAGATTTCATTTTTATGTATTCCGCTTATAAGTTTGGAGTTAGTCAAATTTTTATTTTTCATTTTTATAATGTCCTTGAAAGAACATATTTTGTATACAGTTAAATATACATTACATAGCCAAAAAAATTGTAAAAAAAAAAAAAAAAAAAAAAGTATTTAAAAAAAACTGCTTGTTAATAAAAAATTCTAATCTGCCAATGTCATGGCAGCAACTAAAGGCATTTAGGCATGTAGACATGGTCAAGACGATCTGCTGCAGTTCAAATTAAGCATCAGAATGGGGATGAAAGGTAATTTAAGTTTAAACAAGGCATATTTGTTGGTGCCAGATGGGCTGGTCTAAATATTTCAGAAACTGATGATCAACTGGGATTTCATGCACAACCATCTCTAAGATTTACAGAGAATGGTCCAAAAAAGAGAAAATATCCAGTAAGCGGCAGTTCTGTGGGCGCAAATACCTTGTTGATGCCAGAGGTCAGAGGACATTGGCCAGACTGGTTCGAGCTGATAGAAAGGAAACTGTTACTCAAATAACCACTCATTACAACTGAGGTGTGCTGAAGAGCATCTCTGAACGCACATTATGTCGAACCTTGAGGCGGATGGGCTACAGCAGCAGAAGACCACACAGGCTCACCAAAATTAGAGAATAGAAAATTTTAAAAATGTTGCCTGGTTTGATGAGTCCGATTTCTGCTGCAACATTCGGATGGTAGGGTCAGAATTTGCCGTCAAGAACATGAAAGCATGGATACATCTTGTCTTGTATCAACAGGTCAGGCTGGTGGTGGAGGTGTAATGGTGTAACGGATATTTTCTTGGCACACTTTGACCCTATTTGTACCAAATTATCATGTCAATGCCACAGCCTACCTAAGTATTGTTGCTGACCATGTCCAACGTTTACACGTTATTTTGCAAAATGCTAGTTTTCAGCATAAAGTGTGATTGAAGGCAAGGTTAATTAGGTTAACTAAGTTAGGTTTGCAAATAACTAGACAACTGTGGTTTGTTTTCTAGCCAATTGAGACATTGAAAAAATAAATATTATTTATTATTTAAATTAAACTGTTAACCCCTAAATAATGTCTTTTGATGTTGTTGTTGTTGTTGCTGCTGCTGCTGGTGCTGTTGTTGTTGTTGTTGTTTTTGTTGTTGTTAAAGTGGCTATACTGTATGGCTGTGCATGTAAAAAATTACTTTTGTTGCATGTTCAAACTACTTATTTACTATGAGTTGAACCTACACAATTCTTAAAGTTTTTGGGGGGGCACAACTTACTGTAATTGTTTTATGTTTAATTCACTTTTATTTGTAAAAATGATTAAGTTAATCAATTTGTGTTGAGACAACTTGAAGGAATTGAGTGGAACCCAAATGTTCTTTTTAAATTATTCTCAATTTAATGCATCAACTCAGTGCTGCAGTGCAGAGTAATAATGAGTTTTAATATGTGTCATTGTTAGTGTTTTACTCCAGCATGTTGTCTTGAATCTGCTGCAAAGGTTATTAATGTTCAGCTGGATGGCGTGTGGTGTGGGACTGTGGAAGTGGTGGGTTTTTCTTTGAATGCTGGGGTCAGTCTGCAGGAACGGAAGCTCAAGACAGTTGGTTATGGTATGGAGATCTGGGAACCGGGGTTGGGGAAAATGTGCCACATATTGAGCAAGTATTTGGCAGGTCAGCTTGAGGAGAGCTGTGTTCCAAACGACTGAGAAAAGTTAATTCAGCTCTTTTCCGCTCCCTCAAAGACTGTGACAGTGTAGTGAGGACGTAACAATGAGACAGACTGAATCTTGGCTCAGCTTACAGTAAGGCACTGGGAGGAGAGCCAACAGAAGCCCCACATGCCAACGTTCCGGAGGGCAAAGCAGATCCTTTAAATTTCAACAATATTACCCTGACCTCTCACAGCTGAGAGAGCTTAAATATACATCTGCTACTGAGAAGTACCTTTCTTTTCCTGCTTCTTCACTTTTTCTTTCCTTCTTTAAATGTTGTCTATAGCTGAAGTCAAGGCCAGAAATGTATTTTGCAACACTTTTCTGTTGGTGGAAGAAGTGAGATATGAATTATGAGATATCCATCCATCCATCCATCCATCCATCCATCCATCCATCCATCCATCTATCTATAATTAAAATATTTATAGACACTTTTATTTTTTTAAATATATTTATTTATTTATTTTTTTCCTGAATTACTCACTTTTAAGTATGTTTTCTTTAAGTAGTAAGTGTTTTCAGTGACAAAATACTTGCAACAACTTTGATAAAACCCTACAACCATTATAAACGTTGTTCTGTTGTAAAACCTGCAAAATACACACAAAACAGGTTCTGACTTAAGCACACACACATCACTTACAAGCAAGATTTACATTATTAATTTCACAGTTTTATGTCTACCCTCCGTTCAGTTCCTAACTGAACGGAATGCGTTTGCGCCCTACACTTTGCACTTTGCGCATGGATCGTCAAAACAGAGCCCATAAGGTTAGATCCCAATACATTTGCTATGCCCCATATAGTCTAAAACCTGATAGGTGGGCAAATCTTGGTTTAATCTTGGTTCAAAGCTTGGTTTAATAAAACAAATATAAATATGCATATAACAAATAATACTGCTAATAATAATAACATCATACAAAAGCAAAAATTGTCACGAATAAACTGAAATAAAACTAATATTTTAATTATTTTTCATATGTTAAGATATTTGCATTGGCAAAGCAATGGTGCAGTAGGTAGTGCTGTCGCCTCACAGCAAGAAGGTCACTGGGTGGGTGATTCGAGCCTCGGCTCGTTGGTGTTTCTGTGTGGAGTTTGCATGTTCTCCCTGCGTTCGCGTAGGTTTCCTCTGGGTGCTCCGGTTTACACCACAGTCCAAAGACATGCAGTACAGGTGAATTGAGTAAGCTAAATTGTCCATAGTGTGTGTGTGGATGTTTGCCAGTGATGGGTTGCGGCCGGAAGTGCATCCGCTCCGTAAAAAAACTTGCTGGATAAGTTGGTGGCTCATTCGCTTGTGGTGACCCCAGATTAATAAAGGGACTAAGCCGACAAGAAGTGAAGATGTTTGCGTATTGCTGTACATCTTTTGTGTATTAAGCAGTATGTGAGCGAGGCGCACTAATAACGTGCTCTACGCTGGACTTTAGACCGGCTTTGTTCTGGTCTATAGAACAGACTATTATAGTTTCTCAAAATAGCAATGTGCCAGCAATACGCCTCAACATGCCTCCCTTTTTAGATCAGAACGCCTATGGACACACATATGAGCGCAAATGCATTTGCTATTTAAACAGCATGGCGCAAAACGTCAAAACAACTCTTGCGCCAAGCTGAAACTAGCAAACAACAATTGCGTCACTTCTTGCGCCACAGTGCGCCAGGTGTATGATAGGGCCCTATAACACTTTTTGACCACACTTCGTTGTTATTATTGTTCATTTAATAATTTGCTGGAAATTGGAACTGAATTTAGAAATAGTTTTGAAACAAATTTTTGCACTTAACAAATTAAATTAATTATGTATAGACTAATGGTTGTCTGTGCAGACAACACGTTTCCCTATTCAAGAGAGTGATGGAGAAAGTAAAGAATGATGAGGCTCATCTCTCATTCTCATTCTGCAGATGCTCTGTTTTCTCGCTAGTGAAGTGTTCAGTTTTTCCACTTACAAAGTTCGTCAAGTAAGAAGCAAATGTGCTATGGCGCGACGCAACTGACTCGTAACTGGAATGGGAGATGAGACTCTGATTGGTTTATTCTCAAACCACACCGAAACCTCATTAAAAAGAATAAGTTCAATCCTGTTACACCATGCGCTACGGCGCAAAGCTGATTTTTCCGTCCTTAAAATAGCAAAAGTGGATTCAGACACGCCCTTAATGCTTTTGCGCCCTTTTTGCTTTGAACTTTGCTAAGGCAAAGTTAAATGGTAGTATAATGGGTATTTTGAGCTGAAACTTTACAGACACACTATGGAGACATTTATGTTAGATCTTAAAAAAAGAGATAAACTTTGAGTGTCCTTCAGCTTTAGGTCTAATGGAATGTATTAATCAATCCAAATAAACTTTCATTAAAATGGTGTTGGTTTCTCCACAGCTCCAAGCGCTCCCAACTTTATCCACTTCAGTGAACTCACCACCACCTCAGTCAACATGTCCTGGGGTGAGCCCAAGCAGCCCAATGGCATCGTGGAGGGATACCGCGTGGTCTATGAGCCCTGTACGCCTGTGGATGGTGAGAAACTACAGCATGCTAAAAGCTCTGCCAGAGAAAATTATTGGGAGAGCTTCAGTCAGCAGTTGATTTACACTCTTATAGGCCTGCCGTGCTTTTTTAAACTTACAAATGTCTTAAATTTGCTCTTCAAATGTATTCAAGATTTGGCATGTAATGAATGGCATTCTTTAGTGAAGTTTCCTTCCCTTTGCCCTGTTATTGAGTGTGGGGTGGGTTAAAAAATGGCCAAGTGGTGCATTGGGTAAATTCCAGCTTAATTGGGATTAGAGAGGGAATGACTGTGGTTTCATTATGGCTCCAGATTGGTCAAGCCTGAGGGAAGAGCAGATGTGCTGGGCTGTTGTTTACCAATGGCTTGTATATCTAAGAAGCTGAAGGATACACCTCACAGGCAAAGGCCTAGCTTTCTCTATTAGTTTAACCCCTAGAGCATGACCGTAGGCAGTGTTCACATGTATATGAATCGAAGGATAAAACCCTGAAAGTAGTCCCTGAAGTCTTCAAATAAAGCAATGTATTAGAGACACTTTGTCATTGTCATGGCATTGACAGAAAGTTTTACTTTCTTTCAGGCATGTTCAGAAATACAATTGAAATCAGAAATTTTCCCCAATTTCTATTTAATACAGAGAAAAAAAAAAGTTAAAACAATTTTCTGAACTTAATAATTTTAGTAACTAATTTCTAATAATAATATTTTTTGATGACTAGAATATGAAAGAGAACAGGAATAAAATAAAAAAACATTTGGACACATTATCTCTGTCAATGTCACAGAAATGATCATTTAACCCAGTGGTTCCCAACCTGAGAGGATAAGTATTGAGGTAGAAAAAGGCATAAAAATGCTCCACTATTATAAAGGGCTTTGCAATTAATCGAAAATCCGATTTCGATTTCGGTTTCAAACGATTATAAAAAAGCATTAATCGAGATAAATTATTATTGCATCATATTTTGCCACGTTCCAGTTGTACACGTGTTGCTCTTAAAAGCGCAAAAGAGCTTATGTGTGTGTGCAGCACGATCACGCAGTCAGAAGCATGCGGCCGGTCAGCATTCACTCTCATTCGCACACTGAGACGAGCAGAGGAGCACAGACATCTAAAGTCATCTTAACGTGAACGCTTTAATGGTCAAATAGGTGTCAAAACGCGGTGTTTAGTGATTATTTACATTAACCCTCATTTGTGTAATAAACAAACGAGTTGAGGATCAAAAGACGTGAAAGAGAAACCATTAAAGAGACAGCGAGAAATATTCCTGCTGCCGCCTGTTTTTATCATTATTAAACCAACATAACGAGAAAACCCTCGCTGCTCTTGACTGAAGGACTGCTGTAGCTTAAGTGTTTTTCTTACAGTGAAGATGCTTAAAGCACAGTATGTTTTATATTTTTATTCTATTGTATTTATTTCTCTTTCCTTTGCAGGGTGGAAAATAACTGTATGTATCCAGTTGAAGTCAGAATTATTAGCCCTCTTGAATATAAGCAAACCTTTTCCTGCCCAATTTCTGTTTCAGGGAAAGAATATTTTATTAACTTATTTCTGAACATAATAGTTTTGATATCTCATTTCTAATTACTGATTTCTTTTTGTCTTTGCTATAATGACAGCACATAATATTTTACTAGATATTTTTCAAAATACAAGCATTCAGATTAAAGTGCAGTTCAAAGGCTTAATTAGAGTAATAAGGCAAGTCATTATAACGGTAGTTTATTCTGCAGACAATCAAAAATATATATTGCTTAAGGGGGCTAATAATATTGACCTTAAATTGGTTTCAAAATATTTAAACCTTTCTTTATTCTAGCTAAAATAAAACAAATAGAAGAAAAAATATTATAGGAAATACTGTTAAAATTCCTTGCTCTGTTAAACATAATTTGGGAAATATTAAAAAAAAAAAAAATCTCAGGAGTGCTAATAATTTTGACTTTAACTGGCAATGGTTTTGAATAATCGTGATTACAATTATGACCAAAATTATCGTGATTATGATTTTTCCCAAAATCGAGCAGCCCTACTATTATATATGTATTTTTAAGTACCAAAAAAATAAAAAAAAATCTAAACGCATGCTTAAAATTCCAACATAATAGTGAAAATAATTAAAATAAATAACTTTAAACAATTATTTAAATTTTGCTCACTCGCGCAATCTGCTTGTCAACGTGTCGTAAAGGCAAAATCAAAACAAAAATGGCAGACAAACGTAAATGCAGTGATTCTTCAGAGGCGAAGAAAAAGATTAGACAGTATGACAAAGCCTACCTAAATTTTGTTTTTTTTGAAGGCCAAGACAAGCTAAAACTGATTAATTAATATTTTCTATACATATTACTATATATTAATATTACACAAACACACACACACACACACACACACACACACACGCACACACACACACACATATATATATATATATATATATATATATATATATATATATATATATATATATATATATATATATACACAGTACATATGTGTGCGCGTGCGTGTGTATTTATATGGTGGGGGGGCTCCAATGTTTGTATATGTTCATGGGGGGGGGCCCCAAAGAAAAAGGTTGGGAACCACTGATTTAACCCATCCTTGCTGGAAGCACAGAGTAAATAATGAGTGTTTCTATGTGTCATTGTTAGTGTTTCGTTTTAGCGTGGTATCTAGAGTTTGAGTGTTTCTTCTACAGACTCCTCTCCTCACACTTCAGGTGTCAGTAAGATTGTCACTGTGGATGTGAAGGGCAGTGCCCCCTTGTGGATGAAAATCAAAGATCTGGCAGACGGCGTAACCTACAACTTCCGCATCCGCGCTAAAACTCTTACCTATGGACCAGAGATTGAGGCCAACATCACCACTGGCCCTGGAGAGGGTACTTTCACCTCACATTCAGCTCAACATTTACTATTACCTTGAACTGTATAATTTCTGATTTAACTGTATAATTTCTGTTTTATAAATATAGGTGCTCCAGGGCCTCCCGGAGAGCCATTTATCTCTCGATATGGCTCTGCGCTCACGCTCCACTGGTCCAATGGGGATCCTGGACGTGCCCCCATCACTCGATATGTTATAGAGGCAAGACCATCTGGTGAGTTAAAGAGAGAGAAATCTATTAACATGTTTCTATCAAAAAATATAAATTAGAATTATGCGCAAAACTGGAATACCACGTAAAACTTTTGCGAACGAAGCACCATTTCCAACCAATGAGTCAAAGAGAACAAAATCGTCACTTTTCTGGCGACAGATATCAAAATTGCTTTATTAGGAAAAGCCATAATGAGCCTTTTTTCTTATATAATAAATTACTTGCACCTCAATATCGACATATATACACAATAAATGGTTGCTTTTGGAGGCATTTTTAACATTTATGCACATCTTGGTGTTTCCATTAAATATTGTTGAATGGAAACTTAGCTATTTATAGTAATAACAGCAGTAACAATGTTATTTCCCCACCAACAGATGAAGGACTTTGGGATATTCTAATCAAAGATATCCCCAAGGAGGTGACATCATATACTCTTAATTTGGACACACTCAGAGAAGGGGTTACCTATGATTTCCGTGTGATTGCAGTGAACGACTATGGCTACGGTTCTCCAAGTGCTCCTTCTCCTTCGATATCAGGTCAGTAAGCTTGAACGAACATACCAGAAACAATATTGCGTTACTTTGTATAAAACACATTTTTCTGCTTCTTTTTCTAGCTCAAAAGGTCTCCCCCTTTTATGAGGAATGGTGGTTTCTGGTGGTTATTGCTCTCGTGGGGCTCATTTTCATCCTTCTGCTCATCTTCATCTTGATAATACGTGGACAGAGCAAAAAATACACCAAGAAAACAGACTCAGGTGGGTTGATGAGGCAAAAGTACTGAAAATAGATCCACAATTTTTTCTCAATTACTTTGATTGCCCTGTCCCTCTCTGCTGACTCACGTGACTAAAGTGAGATGGAATTAAATTTACCTTCATTTTTCCATCATTGATGGGTATCGTTGTGGTGCTCTTAGAAAAAAGTGATTTTCCACTTGAGAGAGGCTCAAGGAATCAATAGTAGCGTCTGTTTGCTTCAATTGGTGCAGTCATTGCCATCAACATGATTGCTGACTCATTTTGCTGCCTCACAGGGAGACAGTCTTGCGGCCACACGTACAGTTACATCATTTGTCATCTGATGTCTCAGCTTAAGAATGAAGGTGGCCATCAAATCTCTTAAGTTGGATTGACAGAACCATTCAAAAATGGTTTTGCCAAGTACAAAATGGATCACAACCCTATAAGATTGAGACACACCATGCTGAAGTCAAAGAACTAGCAGGAAAACAAATTGTGTTGTCTTCTCATCTCACAGTTAGATCCAAAATTATCACTACCACATACCTATGAGAGAGGAAAGACTATAACTATACCAAATGCTTATAATTATGAATTTTAATGTATTTTAATTGTTATTTATATATTTGAGGCTTTAAATTGTTGTAGTCAACCATTTTTTTAAACATATCAAAAATTGGCCAATAACCACTTACAGTTCCTGTGATTGTTTATGGGTCTGTGTATTCTTTCTGTAATTTATGTGGTATGCCATGTGTGTTGTTGTGTGCGAAGGTATGTTGCTGCATCCCAATTCGCATACTTATACTATATGCCTTAAAAGAATGTACATTTTTGTGAAGGAAAAATATATACTTTTGAGTGTGTAACAGAAGAGTATGCAAGCTTTGGGACATACTACTTCCTTTTTAACAGATCGTTATGTTGCTGAGTTATGAGCCCTGTCAATCATCCACACATAATCCACATTTCTTTTCTATTTAATTTCCTATCTTATTGGACAAGCCACAGCATGTTAATCTTCCATTCACGAGTCTTTCATGCAGAGAAAATTTCCTAAGATCTTTGGATAATTAAGCATTCAGATGTTAATGTCCAAACACATTTTTTAATAAGTGCAGTATTGTTGTTGCAGATGAAATATAACACAGAAAACGTGATTTAAATATTTTCCAGTTGGCTAGATATTAATTGACAAACATCTTAACTGAAGCCTCTCTACTTGGCGTTTGGTCTCACGTGTAAACCATGTTTGTAGTTAATTTACACTTTTCAACCGCGTTTGTAGTTCAAATTCATGTCCAACGTGTAATGTACTGTGGGCAATATCAGCAGTTAGAGTATGGACGCTTCTACACCGGACAATTTTTATCAGAAATAGTAAACCATCCGGGTAACTTCTGCATACTGTTTTCAACATACTACAATTTGGGTCATACTAATTCTATTTTGCAATACTATTTAAGATGAATAGTATGCGAATTGGGACACAGCAAGTGTGTTTGTTTACCTTTTGCACTGGCCACATACTCTCGAATCAGCTGACTTAATCAGCGTTCTCCAGCTGATTCCTGTTTTGTTGGCCATATATTCAGTCGGTTGTTACAGCTGGTTATCAGTCCATTGTTGTTCTTGTTTCTGTTTATTTGTCTCCCAGAGTTTCTCTGCAGTCTGTTCATTGGGTGACGGGGTAACTTTTTGTATTTGGACTTTTTTCTATTTTCTTTGTCCTCGACTTTCAACTCTTTTGTACCCTTTGATTTTTGATTAATATAAGACTTGTTTTTCTATTTCACTTATATTAAACATCACTTTACTGGCTATTGAATCCTCTCTGTTTTCGGTCGTGACAGTTCCTCGTTAAAAGTTGAGTTTAGTTTAGTTTAGTTTAAAGCTATTAATCCCCTTGGGGCAATTCATTTCAACATGGTGGTGCTTCACATACAGTATAACAAGAATGACACACTTAACACAATAAACATCAACACTTAACAAGTACTTAAAAACAAAAAACAAATAATAGTCCATCGATTAACTACATTTATTACATAACCTAAATGCTTTAGGCACAAAAGTACATTTATAAAGATTTGTGGAACATCTTATTGTCCTTAGATGTCTACCAAGGAGCATCCACTCAAAATGTTTATTTAAGGGATGTTTTCTGTCTCTTAATATTTTATGTGCCATCCTCAACACCTGCTGTTCATAATAGTATGCAAGACTTCGCAGGGGAACTTCCAAAATCTTTGAACACAAATTAACGATGCCTTGAAGATAATTCTTTTTTTTTTTTTTTTACAAAAAAAACTTACAAAAAACTTGTAGTCTACATTTAGCATACTAGCTGGTATTTCCATTTCTAATTCCATATGACCAGGTTATCATGAAAGTATTACCATTTAATAAACATTAGAAGAAACATTTGTACTCTGAGTTTTGCAATGTGTACTGCTTGCTTTCATTACTTTCATTTTTGTCCATCTTACACGCTATTCACTGAAGTTGAAATCTAATCTAAGTGATTGTTCTGTCTCAATGGCTTGATGCCAACATTGCCAATCAGCCAAAATGCCATTGATTGCATTCAATCAAAGTTTAAAAACACTTAATGATGGCCCCCCTCATTTTTACATTTGACAAAAGAGCCATTTGACTGACCCAACCATTCTTTAAAGATTAGATTAGAGTTTGTCAGATTGAGAAATTGCTTTCCTTCCCCACCACTAGTTGTGTGGACTGTAGGCTCCATGTATGTTGCAACTTTCTCCCTAGTGCTGATCTATGTGTATGTGTGTGTGTGTGTGTGTGTGTGTGTGTGTGTGTGTGTGTGTTTGTGTGTGTGTGTGTGTGTGTGTGTGTTTGTGTGTGTGTGTGTGTGTGTGTGTGTGTGTGTGGGATGCATTCTCACATGGCTGTCTGTGAGACTGGTCAGTGTTTAGTTTTGTGCCAGGGTCAGGGTCAGGGTTCTGGATGTGTCAGTAGCACAAGGGATGTGTTTGTGTAAAACACAATGAGCCTCTCTTAAGATATGCCCACCCGACTGGATCAGTTCGGCCCTGATCTATTGCTTGACTAAAGTCCAATGAGAACAGACATTCTGCAGGATGGGATACTACACAGTTCATGTGACAGAAAGGTCACTGCCCTCTTCACCTATGTGAAATCACACTTCAGCTCAACTACGAGCTTTACAGATCAGAGGTCTGGCCTGAAAATGTGTGCAGAGTCACCTTGTGGGATTCAATTTTGCCATGGTCACAAACTCAGCAATGCCAAAACCAGACCCTCTGAACTGCTTAACACCCAAGCATACTATGGATCATGGTCCTTTATCAACCCATACGGACACATTTGTACACAAAGGTCTTGATTGTGATCCCATTATTTTTTTAAACAAATGTCAAAAGGGCAATAGTATTCTATGGAATATGCATGCCCCTATTGACCCCTATGTGGGTGTGTATGTTTGTTTGACACATTGAGCATGTTGTATAGGCTCAGACCTTTATTTAGGTGTATGTTAGATCTGCATTGGAATTTAAAAATTATTATTATTGGGCAAATAAAACATTTTCAAATTTTGGTCTTTCCTATAAATTTCCTATGTATACCAATTTTTGGCCAAATTAGGGAATTTATTTTATTTTATTTTTTAATTTTTTTAACCACAAAACTTTGTTGGTTCAAATCCTTTTTGGTGTCTGTTCAGACAGAAATATTTTAAATGTATTGCCATGTTTTGAACTGCCCAGATTAAGGTAATTAACAAGCAATTTCCCAAAGTGTCTTCTAGTATGCTTAAGTATTATCAGAACTGATAGATTCTTAAGGTTATTGGATCAAATGAGAGATACATTTGAATAATTTGATTCTAGTATGTTCATAGGCTGTCTTGTATCACTGTCTATAGGTGCTCACTCGAACTGCACATCCCTGCCCCTATCCCATGGAGAAATGGTGCGGCTGGATGAAGGACGCTTTCCTGCCCTGGAACTCAACAACCGTCGACTCTCAGTCAAAAACTCCTTCTGCCGCAAGAACGGAATCTACACCCGGTCAGTATTTGTTTATAATAATGCATGATTTTCATTCATAACACACACCATGTTGTTGCTTCACAAAGAGCCTTCACTAGCTAGATCAGTACTTTGTGGAATAGTTTGCTCAGCTCATTTATTTTCTTTGCGGTAAGCACTGTCAGTATGCCGTTCAGGACATTATTTTTACAATGGGTTCAATTCTCAAATGGGTACAAACAAAGAGCCAGAAAGAAATTTATTCTGTCCACATACAGAGCTTTGGCCTAGCCGTTGATTTAAATTCTACTTCAGGCATCCGTTAAATGGATTGAGCTGGCATGGATGTTAATGACAGTCGCTCTTTTCAAATCTCAAACTGCAATCTGTCAGCTGAAAGAACACACCAGACTGTGGAAGCTGGACTACTCAGACCTCCCTCCTTTGTGTCTTATTGACATTCAAAGTGCATTGTGTAGAAATTGACCGTTTATGTAAGCTGCTTCAACAAAGCATCCTTCTTCACATTCTCTTGCGTTTAGATCAGACCATATTTATAATGAAGATATCGTGTGTCCTGTAGCTGAAGCTCTAAGAGAAAGATCTTTAAAAAAAGTGAGTTATTTATTGACTCACTATTAGTCAATATGATTTGGATTTTATTATTTTAGATAATCTTTGGTGAATTGTTTTTGGAAGCTTGTCAGAAGCAACCCAAAGGTCCAACCCAAAATCCAATAGTTACTTTTTTGTGATATCATCAATATTGTGACTAGCAATGATTACCAATGTATTTTCTGTAATGGATTGGAAATGAAATGCTCCAAACCAACAGCATTAACTGTCCAATGAGAATACACCTGAGGTTTAGAATAATGCAATTCTGTAAACCATAGATTTTGGTCAATTATATTTATTGCTGAGTGAGAAGACAGTTCTACAGAAAGAAATATTAAATTAACCTGTTGGCAATTGTGCTGTACAAACTTGAGCAAATTATTTTGATATAGTGGTCTCATTGGGTAAACGTGACCTATTTTGCAAATTTCACAAACCTTTTCATTCGAAAAGTCTAGATTTGTTTGTAGATTTTGCATTATGTAGTGTCAGATTATCATTATATATAAAGTGTCAGTCTACTTCATTTTTTTTTTCTTTTGTTCACACGTTACTTCAGGACTTTTACATACATTTTGGATTTGGAAATATTTACATGAACAACATACATAATAATCTAAATCATATTTGTTAAACTAATGAATTGAAGTTTCTTCACGAAGGAGTTTGCAGACTAATTGATTGGTTGAAGGGATGTGTCTGCTTTAAGTTTCCTCTGGTGGTAATTGGAGAAACCTCTCTGGGCCCATTATACTGGAATGTGCTAAGGGGTGGGGGGTGTTGTGCTGGTCCTCTGCCCAGATGCAGAGGCCCAAGATGGGGATCAAAGAGACTGGGCAGTGAAGGACTACCACTTTGGATGCAGTCTTGCTAATTAGCTCCCATCAAGATGGAGCCACAAGAGATATCTGGGTAGAAAAAGAAAGGGTTTGGAATGGGGCGGAAGAGATAGAGGCAAGAGATGAGGGTTGATAAGAAGAATTGGAGACCTTGGCTCTTTTAAATTATTGAAACCTCTCTCTGGATGTCAAGGGATGTTGGGGGGCTGTTCGGCGATGCTCCGCCTCTATGCTTCAGCCTTCTTTAAATCTCAGCCTCCTCTGAATTTTAAACAGATACAATGTCATAACCCTCCCTCCCCCTAGGTCTCACGCTTTATTCCCCGGGGCCCAATTTTTGTTGGGACAGCCCCTCCACCACCAAGGATTTCCATTAGTATACAGCTCACTTATGTTCCCCTTGTTCATTTTCAGGTAGAACAAAGCATCATATGTTTTGTTGTTGGTACAATCGACTGAAAGATGCCATGTTTTTAAAAAACCCTCTTGAATACCAGATGTCCTCATTAGCATGCTGCTATGTTCTTCAAAGCTACCTCCCTGTGTGTGTTATTTCAGCTTGATTTATAAGGCAATAGAAGTAAAGTACTGAAGCAGGGCAGCTTAGATGCCTCAGTTCAAAAGCTAATGTCTCCAGTGACCTTGGCTTTGAGCATATCAGACCACATTATGGCTAATCAAGTTAACCCATCTTGCCATGCGGCAATTCTTCTGGCTTTCTTTTTAACAAATAACTTATCTGGTTCAAAGAACTACAATCCAACCCCCATAGCCCTAATAAGGGCTTGCTTTGCTATTCCTTTCATTTCAGAAAACTCATCATTCCTTGTTTTTCCTGGCCTGTGCAGACTGTCATATGAGTGTATTCATTTGGTCAAAATTGACTTTGAGAATTGATCCATAAGATTGCTGCATCATTGGGTCTTTATGAGTTCCTTGTGATGACCTTTAAAACCCTGCATCCTGTAGTATACATTTAACTTATTATTACTGTCTGTTTTAAGGTAAAAGCAAAATAGAAAAATTATAAATATGGTCTACGGTTATTATATTAAAAGGTTAGCACTGAACATTGAACAGGTGTAAGGGGAACTGCTTAATAAAGCAAATTTAAAAAGTAAACAAAGTTGGATAATTAGCCTTTGGATACAATATATGTTTTATCCAGCATTAGCCTGATATTATTTTGATCTCACACTTTTTGAGAAGCAGAAGTTATCACTTCATCACCACTGTAACTTTATTGATGACAATTCTGACTAATATGTTTTGGATGTGCAAAACACACCCATGGTTGGTACGTCATCATAGTATGTGGTGACAACCATCACAGTAAAAGTGCTACTGAAGCACAAACTCATGTCACCAAAGAAATTTAAAAATAACTGACAATCATATACAATCATAATAATCATAGATAACGCTTTAGCAAGTTTGTGACAACCTCTATTGGTTTTCCAACACACAGATTTGATTGATTGATTGATTAATTGATTGATTGATTGATTGATTGATTGATTGATTGATTGATTGATTGATTGATTGATTGATTGATTGATTGATTGATTGATTGATTGATTGATTGATTGATTGATTGATTGATTGATTGATTGATTGACACTACTATTGCCTACATTTCTCAGTTGTGTGGTGGTAACATTGCTACTTTCTAAATTATATATATATATTGTAACATTGCTACTTTCTAAATTATATATATATATATATATATATATATATATCTTATGGGAACATACATACATGTCTTTGGACGTGGTGGGGAAACCAGAGCACCTGGAGGAAACCCACAACGACACGGGGAGAACATACACACTCCACACAGAAATGCCAACTGACCCAGCCAAGACTCAAACCAGAAACTTTCTTGCTGTGAGGCGAGAATGCTACCCCCTGCGCCATCGTGCTACCCATAGATAAATGTGAATAACTGTACTTATCAATTATGCAACATACGCTTCACTGGCAGTTTTATCACTAAGACAGCACTGACTTGGACTGAAGTTGCTTTTAAAAAATGTATAATAATAGCTTAGATGTAGCTGAGCTACTTTTGCCATGTAGCCTTAGCTTAGCTTTCTACATTTCCCAGGTGGTGGCTTTTAGTGAAGTTAAGCTACATTTTAAGTAGACTAATAGCTTAGCGCACTAGTAGCTTGCCCAACACTATTGGTCTGTTTTTGCTTACAAAGACCTGGAAAACCTGATTTTATATTATAATTAATTTTATATAATGAATTATTTTTTATCCACAAAATGTAAAAATTCAGGCGAGGTATATTCCTTCAGTGACAGAAAATTGCATACGTCCTATTTGAATGAGCATTTTTCTGTGTTGGTTCTCTAGATCTCCACCACGACCCAGTCCCGGCAGCCTCCATTACTCAGATGAAGATGTCAGCATCAAGTACAATGACCTGGTCCCTGCTGAAAGCAGCAGTCTGACCGAGAAGCCCTCAGAAGTGTCCGACTCACAGGTGATTCAGCGCAACAAGGCAAATGAATTTCCTAGAATAGCTTAGTGTTATTAACTTTGCTTGAGCTTATTAACTTTGCCTACAGTGTGTTTTTACTAATAATGAATATGTTGCATCAGTGTATGTTATTCAAAAGTGTCTATTCTGATGTTCTTCCTCTGAAATTACTTACCATTTTGGCTGATCACAAATCCTTCTTACACTCTTACCCTAACAGCATCATGCCAGTTTGTTATCAAATACCCATAGTTTCTAACTTTTGTCAACTCCCTAAATGTAAAAACAATGAAACACAAATAATCGATCAATCTTTTCTCAGTGTATATTCAATGTCATTTAACATTTAAAGTTAAGTGGTTTAAAACCCAAAACACTAAAAGCCACCCCCCACAGGAAAGAAAACACACAAAAAGGCTATCTTTAGCATTTGAATTACCTCGCTAAGATAAAAGTGAGATAAAATGAAGAGTAAATGAAGTTGTTTGCTCAAGTCTTTTTCCTCTTAGGTCTTTCCCAAATAAATCTCACCTGTCTCATCTTGCTTTACATAAACAACTGTCTAATTGCTTCATTTGTAAAGACAAATATTTTGGACAAAGGCTGGGAACTCCAATAAGTCTCTTGGAATAGCTCGAATAAAATCATACTGAACCATTATTTCTGCCTATCCAATGAATATATGATGATAATGGAAATGGAACTTTTTATAAACCACTGCAGCTTATCTCATCTCTACCTCAATTCTATGCATTGCATTGGAAAGAAAGAGGAAAAATTTAACTTCTCATATCTAAAATTTCCATTTCATAAAAAATGAGGTTAATTTTTTGTGTGTGTGTGTGTGTATGACAGGAAGTGTAATAAAAAAAAGAGTTCATTCTCTTCACATTTGTTGGTATTTGACTATGTAACTACAAAACTATTTCTAGTGTCATGGGGATTTGTAAATCATTTTGACCCAAGCTGGGAGAAAGTAGGGGGCATTTCTCATGTCTGAGCATTTGTCTTTCCAAGCACAATCCCACGGGGAGTTTTTTGTCAGTTTATCAGCTACCCAAACTGTCACAACATTGCTCTTTCAAACAACCCCCATGTGTTAGCATAATGGCGTACCGAACAAGTGATATGAGATTTTATTCAAGAGACAGCAGCCATAAAGTAATTTCTAAGAATCGTCTGTCGTCTTTAAACTTGCAGATTTTTATTTTGTTGTTTTTGTTGTTGTTGTTGTTTGTTTTTTTTTTGTTGTTGTTGTTGTTTTTTGGAAGCTCTATAAATAATGTTTTTGCACTTTTAGGAGGCGTTTATGTTTTCGTATAAATCCACTGCTCCAAGATGTTTTGGGTGAGACTGTAGTTTATGTTTAGTAGTGTGGCATCGTAGAGCAGTGCTTATAGTATCTGTAGAATATAGTCTGAACAGTGTGTATCTTTCCTATTAAAACAATAGTTCATTCTAAAAATGTATGGTCTACTCTTTTCTGTAGATCACCAAAGGAGAACATATGAGGTGTCTTAGTGCATAGTGACTGTCATACTAAACAGATTGAAAAGATTCTTCATAAAATACTTCTTAAGTAAAGGGTTCCAAAATAAACAAAGAAAATTTTTGACAAATGATGCAAGTGCTTTAAGTGCAGTATATGTTGAAGACCTGGAAAGTTAAATTTTGTATAGGTAATTTGGAGCTGGGCATATATATATATATATATATATATATATATATATATATATATATATATATATATATATATATATATATATATATATATATATATATATATACAGTTGAAGTCAGAATTATTAGCCCCCCTGAATTATTAGACCCTCTATTTTTTCTAAATTTCTGTTTAAAAGAGAGATTTTTTTCAACACATTTCTAATCATAATAGTTTTAAAAACTCATTTCTAATGATTGATTTATTTTTTCTTTGCCATGATAACAGTAAATAATATTTGACTAGATATTTTTCAAGACACTTCTATATAGCCTAAAGTGACATATAAGGGCTTAACTGGGTTAATTAGGTTAACTAGGCAGGCTAGGGAAATTAGGCAAGTTATTGTATAATGATGGTTTGTTCTGTAGACGGTCGAAAAAAACTGCTTATTATTATTATTTTTATCAGACATACTTTGAAAATTTTCTTGCCCTGTTAAACATCATTTAGAAAGTAATTAAAAAAGAAAAAAAATCAAAGGGGGGCTAATAATTCTGACTTAAACTGTACGTATATATAATTTTATGTCAAACTTATATTTGCAAAATTATCTACAGGATAAGTTAATGCCAGTAATGCAAGTAAACACTTTTGTAATGTTTAAGTTTTTTATGTCTCCACTGATGTTTTGAGTGTCAGTTTACAGTTTACAGTTTACTACCCACAAAAATGTAACAAACAGTTGTGTTGCTTCATAGTTTTGTAAGTAATGTAACATTTCCAGCAAAAATGAAGAATGCATGCTAATTGAAAATGTATCTGCCTAAACTTTTGCTAAAAGTAAAATACTTTGCCCTGTTTTTTTTTTCATACCTCTTTTCAGATAACAAATCCACTAGAAGGTGCTGTCTATAATAATAATATATGCAAATATATGCTAATATATGCAAATCTGAAGTATGTTACTTAAAGCACATTTTTTTCCACATTTTTAGATACAAAACCTTCTTTTAAGAAGATGGCAGGACTTGGTAAAATTATGTCATGTTGTCCCAGCATAAACTGATTAAGTTAAATTGAGTCTGTGTGTGAATGTGTGTGTGTGGATGTTTCCCAGAGATGGGTTGCGGCTGGAAGGGCATCCGCTGTGTAAAAACTTGCTGGATAAGTTGGCGGTTCATTCCGCTGTGGCGACCTCGAATTAATAAAGGGACTAAGCCGACAAGAAAATGAATGAATAAATTACAGATTAAGTAAAAAAAATAATAATGACAATTAAGTTGTCCCTCATTTCAAATCATTTTGAATAAGTAGTTTAAACATGCGGCAAAAGTCTTTTATTTTTGGAGTAGACCAGTAACCCACACCAGAAAAAAATAAAATAAAATCCGTATGGCGATTGATTAAGGAGGCAAACATATGTGATTACAAATCATAGAAACCGTTAACTGAGTCTGTGGTATTTATTTAGGGTTGTGTATTAAATAACACATTTAAATAATATTTTTTTAATGTTGAAAATATGTCCCTGTAAATAGCATTACTGTGAAAAGAAACTGTTGCCATGAAACTGTTCTGTAGCTTTCATTTTATCAAGAAACTGCAGTCAAACGCACATCCAAGTGCATTTTCAGAAAAATGTTGCCTGAAGCATATATTTGTAATGAGCATTTTTTAGACATTAATTGCATATAGAGCATTAAAATTAATAGCATTTTTTTCTTTACTATCAACAATTTACTGTCTATACTGTCACTTTTAACCAATTGAATGCTTACATTTTGAACATACAATTAACCCTAACCATAATCACCCTGGAAAATAGAGTAACAGGATATATCCTGTTACATCCTCAGTCTAGAGACAAAAGCAAAATAAAGACAAAATAAATGATAATGGAAGCAATAGCTTCAGGAGGTGCAAAGCCAAAATAACATACAAAAAGATTCTCCAACTACAAAATTTACCCTCTAAAAAAACTCTCCCAAACACAGAAGAAAACATTTAAAAAACAAATAAAGGCAGCCACCTCCCCAAAACTTTCAAATAAACAAACAAACAAACAATAAAATCATTCAAACATTATGGAGATGCACATGCAAATAGAATGCAAAAAAAAAACAACATACCAAAATATCAAAACTTAGCCTACCAAAGATTGACAGAACACAACTAACAAATAGTTTAGCAGGACAAAGTTGAAACCCAAAGATATATTTTTTCTGTTCTCTTCCAGGCCAGCGACAGTGAATACGAGTTGGACCCGAACCGCCAGAAGACCCACTCCTTTGTCAACCACTACATCAGTGACCCCACCTACTATAATTCGTGGCGCCGCCAACAGAAGGGCGTCTCGCGGCCTCCAGCGTATGGCTACGCCCAGCCCGACACGGTGGCAGAGCAGGAGTCCCGTCCCCATCCACCTCCACTACCACCACTGCCACCCCTACTGCCCCACAGCAATCCCTCCCCACAACCCCAGCCCCAGGCCACCCTGTTCAGGCCCAAGGGCAGCCGGACTCCCACCCCATCCCTGCTCTCCTCCGAAAACCACAGCCAGCACACTCTGTACAGGCCCCCCAGCAGCCTGGGCTCCTCCGGCCAGGTACCGGCCACTGGATTCTCCTCGTTTGTTTGATACAAGACTTGCTTTCCAATGAAGCCTGGATGGAGGGACTCCTGCTGTGTTATTGCTAATACTTGTTTTCTTTCCTTCTTCACTGCACCTTGTTGGACATCAAGAGACGCTTTTGGATATCATTTGGCCTGGCATATCGCAGGTTTATATGTGCACACAAGAGCATCAGAACGCAGACAATCATTCTCAAAGCCAATCGGAATGTTGGTTGGGCATTTTAAATGATTTTCACTTCATCCGGGACTGAAAATTAAATGGATGTGGTTAGGGGAAGAAAAAATGTCTTTATATATATATATATATATATATATATATATATATTGGGATTGAAAAAATATTGGGGCCCTAAAATCTGACACTTTAATTTTTAGTTACTTTTCATTAAAGTTTTAGTGCTTTTAAAATTTCAAGACTGGAAAGAGACAAGGCTGTTGGAGTCCACTGTGAATGTTTTAATGATGATGAGAACAAACTGCATTTTGCATAAATGCTGCAGATTTCCAAAACGCTTGTCTTTATAATTTGTTTTATGTTGCTCTAATGGCATTCACATGAAAGTCAATGACAGAATATTTCTGTGGGGAAGAACAAAAATGTCTGTAGCAAAGACATTTTGTTGAAATTGAATTAAAAGTAAATATTTTTTATCCAGTTGGAATAGATTTTGAATGAAAATTTGGCTCATTATGTGACAAAATCAGTTTTTTCTCCATTATTTAGTGTTATGGGCCAAATGTGTGATTTGATGAGTATGCATTTGTTGGTATGATCATCGACTTTAGGATTCAATCCAGTGGTCAGAAGTTTTACATCACTTAACTGAAACTGAATATGTTCCTAAATTGTTATCCAATAATTCAAAATATAGTTCCAAAGTAAACTTGCATGAAGTAAAAAAAAAATCTTATCCCTTCTCTTAACATTTGTTGGTACTCGACTATGTTACTACAAAACTATATAAAAACTGAATTTGTTTCAATGTTAGTCATTTTATAAAGACTTTCTGAAAAAAAAAAAAAAAGGTTTTCACTTCTCGGCTAAACTTTAAGGGATAGTTCACCCAAACTGAACATTCTGTCATCATTTGTATTTGTTACAAATCTGTTACAATGAGTTTCTTTCTTTTGTTGATCACAAAAAATAGCCATTGACTTCTGAAAAAAATTTTCCCAACATTTCTACAGAATATAATGTTTTGTGTTAAACAGAAGACATAGATTGATAAAAACTTTAGGACTTCTTGGGCTTGAGTAAATGGAGATGATGTTTTCATTTTTGGAGGAACTAAACATTTAAGAATAACCTAGAGAAAAATCTCAGCTCAAACATTTTGGTAAGGTTTTCTCAAGGTTATGATGAAACATTGATCAAATGACACAAATTTTTGGTTGATTTTAGGTTATTTTGGAAAGTGACCAAAATCCAACGTCGAGCCAACATCTTAAACCAACGTCATATTGACGTCAGATACTGACATTTATTCATCAGGTATGACAACCAAAATCCAATGTTTGATAGACGTCAAAGTGGTAACATCCACACAATGTCAAGCTGTAACATCATTAGATGTTGCACGTTGGAAATTGATGTCAACCTAATGTTGGGTTCTAACATCAAACTGATTTTAATTTCCAGACAAAATGCAACGTCAATCTGACATCATATTGACATCCTGTGCCTGTTGGGCAGTAACATTAACAGAATATTCTTCAAATAGTTGGTCTTTAAAAAGTTCTCATACAATGAGTCAGTGAAAAGCACCAAGTTCCTGGGGGTGCATATTACCAATGACCTGTCTTGGTCTACCAACACCACCTCTCTGGTCAAGAAAGCTCACCAACGCCTCCACTTCCTGCGCAGGATGAAAAGAGCTAACCTCCCTCCACCGGCACTCACTACCTTCTACAAAGGTGCCATTGAGAGTATTCTCACCAGCAGTCTCTCAGTCTGGTATGGTAGCTGCTCTGCTGCTGACCGGACAGCTCTACAGAGGGTGGTGAGGTCAGCTGAGAAGATAATCGGATCAGCCCTACCATCCATTCAGGACATATACCCGCTCCGTTGCTACAAAAGAGCTACAAACATCATCAAAGACTTCACCCATCCCACACATAAACTGTTCACTCTCCTACCATCTGGGAAACGCTACAGCAGTATGCGTTGCAAGTCTACTAGACTCATAAATAGCTTTTTTCCTCAAGCTATTAGACTGCTCAACTCACTCATGAAAACTGGACTATAAAATCACAATCCACAGCCCACACACACAAAAATCTGTGGAACTGTGAGAAAAGCAAACTCAAATGTTTTTATATTAATATTCCTTGCACGTGTAACATGTTTACAAAATACACTTACCTCTAAGCTGCTACTTTGCACTTTGCACTTTTGCCATACTGCACCTAATTGCACTACAATAAATACCTCAACTTGGTCATATTCTGGAACAATAGGATATATGGTAACTGTTCACAGTTTATTAGTGTCTATTATTTAATTCATCTTGCACTATATTAGTTAAATGTTTAGTTTATGTCTAGTGTGTGTCATATTTTTGTTTTTTTAAATTGCACATTGGAGTATGGGAGAAACGCAATTTCAGTCTGCTGTGTAATGTACTGTTGCATGGTTTGATTGACAATAAAGTTGACTTGACTTGACTTGACTTGACTTGAATATATATATATATATATATATATATATATATATATATATATATATATATATATATATATATATATATATATATATATATATATGTGTGTGTGCTTTTATTATGCTTTTTATGCAGCCGAAATAAAACAAAGACTTTTTTTTTTATACAAAGACAAGTATTTATTTACTTTTTTTTTCTAAAACATGTTAGTTTGAATATTTTACTGCTCTCTTCCCAAAAAAATAGCATCCTTATGTTTTTAAGATTATAATATATATATATATATTATAACAATATAAAACAAATGGCTGTCCAATTACATGACAACATGGGCCTGAAAATGTTAATTGCTAATGTTAATGCTTAGTAAAAAATGCTTGATAAAAGGGTTTCAAAGTGCAAGTCTTAAACAAAAAAAAAAATACATTATATTATATAAACTACAGAAAATTGTGTATTTTTACATCATGCCCATGTATATTATGTGAGCAAGTACAGCTAAAACAACAACACAAGTTGAAAAGTTCTTAATGGATATGTCATTAAAATGTTCTTTAAATGTGAAAGGCATTTGAAATGCAAGGTAATACTGTAGGATCCAGTACAAACCGATCTGCATTTAAGTTTGCAAAGTATGTCACCTGTAATGTATTTAACATGTTTTAAAAGAAAACATAGTAGTCTCATCATTATTACTGGTGCGGTCAAAAACAACCATTGGAAATGTATCTTTATTGACAGTGTGAAGATACAACGTGGGTCTCTTCAAAAGGCTGTGCACATTTAATCTCATTAAATCATAAACACTTTGTGGACTCCCAAACTTCATTGATTCAGTCAATTTTTCAGAGACTGATAAAAAAATGACTGCTCTTTCAGATGACATTGTATGTATTTCTCTGAATATATTGTAGAATGTGTTTTTACGGTTCACATTTTGACATGGTGTACACATACAGTATGCTTTCGTGTATGTCAGCAGATATGCTTAATTTATTTATAATCGATTTGGTTTTATACTCTAACTTAAGAAGAACAACAGCGGTCTTATGTGGAAACTATTTTAAAGGACTTGAACATTACGATGATCATGCTTCACGATATCTCCTGTCTTGTTCTCTGTGAGGTGACTATCACTGTACAAAACTTGATGAATTATATTGGACCAAGGCATGGTTCACATCTAAAATAAATTACTCTATTTTTCAGCGTTTTTGTGGATGTCTCATTTTTCAAAGACTGCAAACAACTGGTTGTTTAAATGGAAATCGAGTTTGAAAAAACTATGATAAATGTATTTTGTTTATATACACAACCATTTAAAAGTAAAGGTTTTGTGTGTGTGGTTTGTTTCATAGCCATAACTTTGTCACCAATGGTTTTCTAGAGATTTTCAATAAGATTTAGATCAGGTTGTTGGTCTGGCCATTTCATTATACTGTAAAAAGTGATTAGTTACTTTACTTTTAAACAGTAAGTAAACCCACTGCTTTAAAAGCAACTAGTTGACTTTTTTTTTTAAGTGAGTGGATTTGTGCTAACTTATAACTGTTAAGTTGTTTTAACTTAATTGTTACAATTATGCACCTCAATTACTTGACAAGTTTTCTAACTTATTTAAAGTTAACTAAATGCTTTAAAGCAAAGAGTTTACTCACAAGCTCATCACTGTCCTTATCAGCGCACATATTTATGTACATGAGCTACTGATTCATGACCTCTGGAACTAGGGAGCTGATTGAGACACACAAAGATGGAAAATATTTTTTTATAAAAAATCCAAATACAAATTAGATGTATTTTTGTTATGTTTTTAGAGTGACTGACTGTAGCATTGGTATCCTAGAAACCAGCAGTAAACAATAGTCATGTCAGTTTTAGCATTTGCATTAACCTTTTTTTCTGAGAAGTACAAAAACACCTCAAGAAAAAGGTTTTTGATTTTCCAAATTTGGTGCTTACATCACTGGCTTCGCATGAGATTTTTCAAAATGTGCATTAACACAGGATGATGCAAACACATAAAGACACACAAGATACACACCTTCTCGCTGTAAATGAAAGTTTAAACTTTTGGTTTGGACAGCCTGTTTTCTTTTAACAGATCACAATCTTGCAAACTTATTATTATTAATCTTTTTTTTTTTTGCATTTTAAATCTACAGGATTTGTTAGATAATTACAAAATTAACAACAACTGCCTTTTCTTTAAATTAATCAGTATTCACTTTTCGAATATCTGTTTCCTGTATCCCATTGTGCTGAATATATGCATATGTAATATATGCAACTTAGGGTGTTATGGTGGCACAGTGGGTAGCATGATCACCCCACAGCAAGAAGGGTACTGGTTCGAGCCCCGGCTGGTCAGTTGGCATTTCTGTGTTGAGTTTGCATGTTCTCCCCATGTTGGCAAAGGTTTTCCTCCGGGTGCTCCGGTTTTCAGATGCAAAAACCTCTAAATCCATCAGACCTCTTCTCGGGATAAAACAGCTTTGCTGTCAAAGGCAAGTGGCGTTTAGCGGCTTTTGCCAACAAACTGTTATTTCTGAATGCCCTAATGCTGGGATTTAGATAATTTGAAGGAAATCTATTTGTTGATGGTGTAGTATGTGCCTA